TTGGGATTTCTTCCTCTTTGAAAGTGATCATGCTTTTCACAAGTCGATGGCTCCACACTTGCGTGTTGCAGTCTGATCACACTGAGCCCTGTTTGCAGTGAGGATCATGATTGAGTTGCATTTTGAATGACATTGATGTTGTATCTTTTATTGTTTAAAGCTGACATCAATGGGATAATAATCCGCATTTATGATTGTTGTCAGAAAATTGATTGAACCAACAAATCAAATTTGGAAATGATATAATTGATTTAATGTGTCCCTGTAGAGAAGTTTTGTTTTGAGAATAATATGATATATTGTCAGTGGGATAGCTACTGAAGTAGAGAATCGTCAGCTCAACTAGAACTGCATGTATTTCATAGCACTGGGTGCGATAAATGAGTCACACCAAGGACCATATAGATGATAATCACATAGGGTGGCATGTTCAAGTATGCATGCAGCTTGCTGTATCCTGGCAAGGACCATGTTCAAGTATGCATGCAGCTTGCTGTATCCTGGCAAGGACCATGTTCACCATGTTCCATGTTCAGAGTATGCATGCAGCTTGCTGTATCCTGGCAAGGACCATGTTCAATTATGCATGCAGCTTGCTGTATCCTGGCAAGGACCATGTTGAAGTATGCATGCTACTTGCTGTACCCTGGCAAGGACAAGGTTGAAGTATGCATGCTACTTGCTGTTCCCTGGCAAGGAACATGTTGAAGTATGCATGCTACTTGCTGTTCCCTGGCAATGGACATGCATGTTTCCCTGAAGTTGAATGCATGCTGTTCCCTGGCAAGGAACATGTTGAAGGATGCATGCTACTTGCTGTTCCCTGGCAAGGACCATGCTGTGGCAAGGAACATGTTGAAGGATGCATGCTACTTGCTGTTCCCTGGCAAGGAACATGTTGAAGGAACATGTTGAAGGATGCTGCATGCTACTGCTGTTACCCTGGCAAGGAACATGTTGAATTATGCATGCTACTTGCTGTTCCCTGGCAAGGACCATGTTGAAGAATGCATGCTACTTGCTGTTCCCTGGCAAGGACCATGTTGAAGTATGCATGCTACTTGCTGTTCCCTGGCAAGGACCATGTTGAAGGATGCATGCTACTTGCTGTTCCCTGGCAAGGACCATGGCATGCTACTTGCTGACCATGGCAAGGAACATGTTGAAGGATGCATGCAACTTGCTGTTCCCTGGCAAGGACCATGTTGAAGAATGCATGCTACTTGCTGTACCCTGGCAAGGAACATGTTGAAGGATGCATGCTACTTGCTGTACCCTGGCAAGGACCATGTTGAAGGATGCATGCTACTTGCTGTTCCCTGGCATGTGTCTGTTTCTGAGTTTTGTGAAAGTATGTAATACCTCAATATCTACTATATCTAAAGTTGAGTCATATTCCTTGAGTAGATTTCTAGAAAACTCAGTCAAAGAAATATGTATTAATGAAACCAAAAACCCCACACATGCTGACTAAAAATATTCTTGAAACACAAATACAATGTTTTACCTTCTTGCCAGCACATGTTTGTTTGGGGAATAGGGGATGTTGGTCGTAGTTCACAGTACTTCATTGTGGCATACATGTGTATATTCTGGATAATTAATCACACTTAACATTCTGGATACAAAGTTTTTTTCTGACGAGCATTTCTATAACGTTTGTTTTCACCGTACACCGATAAAAGCAGTGTGCAATGATTTTTGTTTCATCTTTATGGAAACTGACAGATGAAACTACTGCCTGATATCTGAACAACATAAGTATGTATCAAAGGTGTGTTTATGCTTATGTATAATGTTACACATTCAAAATAAAAATAACCACTATCCATAAATGATGAAAATTTATTTTATTAAATGACGTAAAATGAAGACAAAGAGGTCACCTAGAGACAAGGGGGCATGGCTTAGTACTAGGTCATTCTAACTCAGGTCACCTGCTGTGGAAAACACTATGTCTTCTTACTCATGGCCTGTATCTGATGTCTGATATTGAACAATGAAGGAAGGATCAAATGCAGGAAATGAAATTAGTTTCATGACAAAATATGTAAAAGACACAAAACATACATCGTAATATTTAAACTGTGAGCAGCAGTTGAGATAATTGTTTACTCTTATTCTACTGCCCTTCACCTCAAAGAAATGATCAAAATATGTATAACAATGTTGACATATGACATCACTATCGATGACCAATTCTTAAAAAACTGCCTGTTCGCTCACATTTATATGCAGGATTTTGTGAGGGACCTTGCCTTGTTTCTGGGATGGTTTGTATATATATATGTGATGTGAGTAAAAAGAAACATTGTAACTATCTGTGTATTGTTGTTTGTTTCCATTCATGTTATGGTGACCAAGAGAAGTAGTCAGAAATGCCAATAAACAAACACTGTTGTTGTTGTGTGGGATTTCAGATCAGTCATGGGCATCGCGAAGGAAGGAAACTTGCACAGTTTCTTTAGAATTCATCTGATCTATGCAAATTTATCTATTTTATGAAATCAGATTTATAATGGACCTAATTTTCAGTGGTAATTTTCAGGACTTTGCTTTGCCTTATATGGTAGGGGGTGATATAAAGAAACAGGACATTTCTCGTAGAATTCAAAACTTTAAAGTGTATTTGTGTGCATGATGTAGTTTGAATTTTATTTGACTTTAAAGTGAAGTTTGCAAAGGAGGGACATATATGTCCCTCTGGCATCCAGGGGGTTAACAATGAATGTAAAAATCATGAAACTAGCATAACTCATGGATATTGGAAAAACAATATCCGAGTTGTTGTTAGACACAGTTATTTGTCTTTCCCATTTCACTGAACAGCTTGAGTGGGTTTGTCAATGCCTGATCGGGTCGATATTGGTAATCACAAGAATATAGATCAACTTGGAGAAGGTTTGTTTTGCCTACTGGTTTTGGGCCACAATAATTTAAGTTGCTTCCCTCCCTCGTGCTGAACAGACATCGCACCCTTCATCTGTAGGGACACTGTACGCAACATTACAGTGTCCAAATATGAGCAAGTGACTTGTGAAGCTTCAGCTCAATGAATATTATTAGAGATATGTCTGAGAATGTTTATGGTTATTGTTCCTCGAAGATTATTGTTGGCCATACAACGCATCATGTCATTGGCAAGTCGCCAGGGTGTTTTAATATTGTGATGTTTCCCCCAGATAAAAGTCATCTGCATGGTATATTGTCATGTCCCTTCCACTCGAGACTTAAAAATGCCATTTTCTGCTTTTCTGGTATTACTAACATTCTTACTGAAGTATGTCACCGATACAACTAAGTGGTACTCTCAGAATAATATTTTAAACATATTTGAAAAGATGACTTGTGCTCCAGCCTTTTAAATCTGTATTGTTGGAACTTTTAAGTATCATCAACATGATCATGGAACCAGTCAAATTCTGTCTGAGAAGGCTATTAAACCAAGATGGTGGTTATATTCTAAGTCAATTCCAGTATGTTGAAGATAAGATGCAATTATTGCCTAGACAGGGGTAATAATTTATGAGGTTGGTTGATGACCCAGTACTGGTGGATGGGTTAATCCTGGTCCGTCTAGGTAGTGATTGACACTCGTTTGTCTACTACAATTTCCGCTGATTGGGATCAGTGGGATGTAATTGGTTATCCTGCTCTGCAGTGTCTCTGTATTATGTCCTGAATGTTGACAGATCTGTCAAAAAAATTTTTTGGCAAGAAATGAAATTGATTTGAATACAATTATGAATTCTGATCAATACTCCCCTTAAGATATAATTTCCACGACACAATTAGCGTCGATGTAATGAGACCATCTTTGTACTGAAATATTCGAACAGATTCTCCACTCACAAACATGTTGCAGGTTTCCATCCACAAACAGTCTGTACAACACTCTTCAGCAAACCTTGTTTCCAGACAGAAACTTTCTGTACAACAATTTACATTTCTGTCCAAATACATTGAGTGCAACAAAAGGACAATTCATCCACAGGTCAAATCAGCCTCAGATATTCTTTCCAACAGTCCAGGGCCTCGTTTCACAAAGCTCTTGTAAGCCTAAGATCTCGTAACACTTCTCGTAGCATTCGAATCTCCTATACTGTAACATAGGGAGTACGAATGCTACGAGAAAAGTTACGAGATCTTAGGCTTACGAGAGCTTTGAGAAACGGGGCCCAGTCTTCTAAGGTGCTGAAAGCCAGCATGCAGAGTTTAGTCCCCTAGACATTCCAGGATCTTGTGATTATGGTTTGAATTCCAGGTTCCTCTGAGTTTGATCCATGGCTTGTTTGCATCATATCAATGTTCATAAGTTGCTCGAATACATTTTAGATTTATGACTCCTCAAACTCTCCAGCTGTGATTTTCCGGAGATTCTGTTCACTGCCCTGACCGCGTCATACCATAAGACTTTAAAATATGGTACTTGTTGGTCCCTGCCTTAATGGGTACAACAAGGACTGGTCGGCTCGGAGTCAGTATAATGTGTCTGATTGGGGTATTCATGCTAAACTGCGGCATGGTATCTGAGTGAGCTAGCACTATAAAACCAGCTTCAGTCTGGGCTAGTACAAGCAGCCGCACATACGCATACATGTTGTCATATGAGCGAAATGTTCTTAAAAGCTATGTTAAACCCCATTTCGCCCCACCTCACCTCACCTCACCTCACCTCACCTCACCTCACCTCACCTGTTCATTGCAGTGTCAAAACCCAACACTTTTCACTCACTGGCTTTTACCAACAATTGTTTGCTGATTCCTCTTAAAGAAACTGATTGTCTTCCACTAAACATTCTTTCAGCTGGAAAATGTTACTAGATAAGAGTGATGGTCCTAATTAAATACATAAGGTCACTATTTTATTGTCTGTTCCCAGGATTAAACCTTTAGGATCCTTTGAAGAACATTTCTACTTGGTATATATCTGTATCATCTGTAAATGTTGTTGTATTCATTTGCATTTGAATTTACTTAAGTGTTCTTTGTGTTGTCAGGTATCTGTTTTTTCTGCAAGTCAAGCAAGACATCCTACAGGGCAGGCTCCCTGTAACATTTGAAGAGGCCGTGGACCTTTGTGGATATGCTGTGCAATGTGAGTCCTGTCTCTCCTCTCCTGGTAGTGTGACATTCCCCTTGAGAAGCATTTGGTGACTGTGTGTGTAGTCAAACATAGCTGTGCAGACTGTGTCACTGCCTTGACTCTGGGCCTGTCAGTCCTTCTCCACAAGCTGATATTTAGTATGCTATTTAATTACATATGCCAGTATATATACTGTAGATATAGACAGGATTATGAGGGCAACCTTTGAGTGTCGTCATTACACCTTCAAAAGGAGATATGTGTTGTTCTGTCTGGGGCTTTAATGTTTCATATGTGGTTTAAAGAGCAGTTCCACCCTGGAGTGTTGTGTATTGTTTCTACATCAGGGATCACAGGAAGTAGTACTTCAGTCAGGTCATCTCAACTATTGTTGGAAATCGGTTGAAATCTCACAATTGATGATTGCTTCATTACCAATGAGAAATCATCGAAAAAAATTGGTTAGCGTCATTTCTCAGATTTTCCGTTTGGTCACTGCAACCAATCTTCGATTATTTCAATTAATCGGAACACCACTAATATCAACTTGTCATTTGTTTGTTTCACAGATCGTCTTCCAGTTGAATATCGATAGTTTCCCTGGGCAAATTTTAATATGTCTTCATATGATCAAATATCAAATATTAGATGTGACTTTTGGATTGGAAGTGGAAACTGGTAGCAAATACTCAGCCAGTCTCAGATGTGTAGAACCTTAATGCTGAAACTATATAAAACCTTTCATAATCTGATCCTGGCTAGAAAATGACTCCAGTGAAGATGGTGTTTGGATTATTTCTAAACTGATTAGAGATGAAGTGTGTCAGCCTGCTGTGATGGGCGCATGAGCACCAATACTGGGATGGCAAGGATCATGTTTAACAAAGTGATTGTTGTTTGGCGGATCGTTGGGGGTGGGGGGTTGTTGTTGTTTGTTTCAGGGGGTTCAGAAAATGACTGAAGACCACACTGAAGTTAACGTTCTGCTTAAACGGAACCGGGGTGTGTGTGCACGTGTGTGTGTGTGTGTGTGTGTGCGTCTGTGTGCGTGTGTGTGTGTGTGTGTGTCAGGGGGTTCAAAACCCTCTCTCTTCTTTCTTTCTTCCCTTCCCCTTTCTTCTTTCTTTCTTCTTCCTCCTCTTCCTCACCCGATTCCCCCCTGTTAATTCTGTTACTTTGAAACACCATTCGTGAACTCTGCCCCCTCCCCCCTCCTCCTCCCTCCCAACTCTCTCTCTCCCTCTCCCTCTCCCTTCAGAAATTCCTAGATCCGCCTATGTTGCTGGAACTCATATGCTTTAACACAGTAAAGTAGGCTGAAGTGCTTACGTGCCTGGCCATAAGTATTCATGATTGGTGACGTTATGCACATGAAGGGAGGTGGCAAATTCAAAATGGCATAGTGTGATAAAGCTTCAAAGTCTTACCTCAGTATTTCGCAGGTGACAGGGTCCAATACAAGTCTCAACAATATTCTACACATACACATGCTTTTTGCCTCCATTCACAACTACACATTTGTTATAAAAGTCAGAAATCTGTTTACTCCAGTAATTAGCACCTGAAGTTCCTCCATTTCTGACACCACAATCTGCATTGTTTCAAGTTCACTTCCTCATTGACACTTGTTTTTTAGCCATCCATCATTTAAATCCTTCCAAAATTTGATTTTCTTCTGCCAGTTCTCTCACTGAATGTTCAGATTTTATTTTCATTAAAGTTGTTTGTAATATTCCCCATTGATACTTGATGTTTGTTTTTCTGCCACCTGATGAACATTATTCAATCATAATCAGTGAACAAGTTTCTCCGTCTGCTTTGCTGTTTGTTTTGTACTGACTAGTTGCTTGATGTCTAACTACACTATTTATAATAGACTAAGATTTGTCCATTTCTGGTGAACCCCGCCGTGGTATTGCTGGAATATTGCTAAAAGCGGCGTAAAACTAAACTCACTCACTCACTAAGATTTGTCAACAACTGAACCATTTTTTAAGTCATCGTAAGTCTATGTTAAAGTGTGGGAGGTATGACTAGACTGTGATTGTCATCGTAAGTCTATGTTAAAGTGTAGAGGGTATGACTGGACTGTGGTTGTCATTGTAAGTCTATGTTAAAGTGTGGGAGGTATGACTGGACTGTGGTTGTCATTGTAAGTCTATGTTAAAGTGTGGGAGGTATGACTGGACTGTGATTGTCATTGTAAGTCTATGTTAAAGTGTTGGAGGTATGACTGGACTGTGATGGTCATCGTAAGTCTATGTTAAAGTGTGGTTGTGTGGTTGTCATTGTAAGTCTATGTTAAAGTGTAGAGGTATGACTGGACTGTGGTTGTCATTGTTAAAGTCTATGTGATAAAGTGTAGAGGGTATGACTGGACTGTTGTCATTGTCATTGTAAGTCTATGTTAAAGTGTTAAAGGTATGGGTATGACTGGACTGTGTTGTCATTGTAAGTCTATGTTAAAGTGTAGAGGGTATGACTGGAATGTGGTTGTCATTTTTGTCATTGTAAGTCTTTGTTAAAGTGTGGGAGGTATGACTGGACTGTGGTTGTCATCGTAAGTCTATGTTAAAGTGTAGAGGGTATGACTGGACTGTGGTTGTCATTGTAAGTCTATGTTAAAGTGTAGAGGGTATGACTGGACTGTGATTGTCATCGTAAGTCTATGTTAAAGTGTTGGAGGTATGACTGGAATGTGGTTGTCATTGTAAGTCTATGTTAAAGTGTAGAGGGTATGACTGGACTGTGATTGTCATTGTAAGTCTATGTTAACATGTAGGAGGTACGACTGGACTGTGATTGTCATCATAAGTCAATGTTAAAGTGTTGGAGGTACGACCGTGCTAATGTCACTTTGTGGCACGGTGCCCTGTTTCAGCTGACTCCACAACCGATACTGTATCACCCCATGTATTTAGTCATGCTCAGTTATCGACGGATGTCAGTGAGCATGTGGTATTTGTGCAATGTTAGCTTTGTTCATCAATTATAAAGAGAGCATAGCGGAGGTGCTGGGGTAACTCGGTACTCCTGCAGCATCAATGGACCTGGCTACTAGCTAATTACCAGGAATCTCTTTCTATGGTAATTAAAAAAAACTAAAAGTCATGAGATTGTCAGCGCAATGATGTTAATAAATAAAGAGGAATGTTTTATTAAAAGGAGCAATAATATTGATATTCTCAATGCTTTTAAAGTCGATTGCATGAAAACATGCCATTTTATCAAGAATGTGACATTATTTTGTAGTCTTGACTTGGAAAAGACACAGATCCTCTAACTTAATGGCTATGTGCCAGTATTGTTTGATAAGCTATATTCATGTTCTCTTGTCGAAACATACATAGATCACTTGCTTGACGTGACAAGTATCTGTGATAACTTATGGGAGAATTGTTGACTGACACAAAAAGTGTTTTATTATTGCCATATACATGTATGAAGAGACCAAATGTGTGCAGATATAGTTTAAGGTCACAATATGAGTACCAAGAAGCATTGACCCATTGTGATGAAATAAGTTGGATGTTTTGAAGAGTTCAGCAATGAACTGACATTGGCCATGATGGTACACTAAGCATCCTAGACAAGAGGCAGTCTGCCTTCCCAAAAGGAATGCAAATAAAGACATTTGTTGTTCCTGGTGATTTCTAATCAGACTGCATCAAAACCTTTGTAAACAATTCTCTTTGTCAATATTTGTTAATGGGTAGAAATAACTTGTAGAGACATAACTTACTTCTGTTATTATTGTTTTTATCATGACAGGGGCGGTGGGGTAGCCTAGTGGTTAAAGCGTTGACTCGTCACGCCAAAGACCCGGGTTCGAATCCCCACATGGGTACATTGTGTGAAGCCCATTTCTGGTGTCCCCCGCCGTGATGTTGCTGGAATATTGCTAAAAGCGGCGTTAAACCAAACTCAGTCAGTTATCATGACAGCACCTAGGATATTTGAGGGTACATAAGTCCCAAAACTTTCAAAGTAAAATGTAAATTTACCAAATTTTAAACGTAGTATCTTTGTTCTTTTAACTGCCGGCTAAATTTTCCTACAATCGCCAGCGGCTGAAGGGATGGTGTAAATCCAGCTAGGGTCCATGCAGGTAGCAAAAGTAATGTAAGTCCCCATGGTTCCTAGTATGGTGATCTACCTTCAGTTGTTGGCGATCTATAGCCAGTGTTTTATACTGTACTGTCCTCTTTAATTGAAATGTTTTAGCTTTGCTCGCTAGTTTTATTCATATCTGTGATTCTCTAGTATTTTTACTGTCCATCGTCGACAGGTTTTAATCTTCAAAACGTTTTCTCTTTATATTGTATAAATTGTTTTCGTCACGCGATATGGCTGAGATATTGCCGATGTGACGTTAAATATTAACTCACTCACTCACTCACCTAGGATATTTACAGGGAACCATGCTCCTTGAACGGACAGTAGATGTTACAAGAAGTGTAGTTCTTGAAATAAAGACATTAGACAAGGGATTAGTTTAACTATCAGCTGCTGGATGGAATAAAAAGTAAGTTGGCAGAATGACAGTGGGTGCTTTTAAGGACATCAATCCTACTGGTGCTGCCATTTTGCCAGGAACTGGGCCACCTTTAGTGTCAAGTCCAATCACCACTTGTCACTACACTTATTTCACTAGCCCTTTGAGACCCAAAACAAATTAGATTTCGGCTTTGAACATTTAGTCAGTGTTTTAGATGCATGTGGCCTGTAAAGCAGCAATTAGTTGTTTGTACATACTAGTGTTGGGAGTTGGTTAAAATCTTATAATTGATGATTGGTTCATAATAACCGATCAATCATCGAAAAAAAATTGGTTGGTGTAATTTTTCAGATTTTCCTATTCAGGTTGTTATTGCAGATAAGTATGACATGATAAAACTTGCTACTTTAAAGTGATGACTAATATATCATGAACATAAACTTCCTGGAGTCTTCACGAAATATTCAGTCATGACTTTTCAGTCAGTGAAGTTAGTATTCTAACAATTAAACATGTTTTCAGACCCTGACAGCTTCGAAGATATGTTCCATCATCAAGTGTTTCAAAGACTAAACCAGAAGTTCCAAAATCGTTTTAGTTCGATTATGAGAAAATGTGATTGATTGCTTGGTCGTTTAGTCACTGCGACCAATCTTCAATTATTTCAATTAATCGGAATACCACTAGTACATACAGTGGTAGTTACAAGGATAGTGTCTCTCTGCATACACTACTGTTGACAAGGATATTCAGGCATTCAGTTAGAGATGCTTGGCGATGTTTTATAGATGATAGGTGACGCATTCTGGTTTATTTCGTGTCATTTACCGGGGTAGTTAAAGTACAAATTTCCATGCACAGTTTTCTGTTTTGTAACATAATTTTTCAAAATTTAAAGTACAATAGCAACATAAATAACAAGGAGGTAATTATTGCAATGTGACCAGTTTAACACGTGCCATTGTTGGTTGTTTCAGCGGAACTAGGTGACTATGACTCCAACCACGCTACACATGGGTATGTGTCTGAGTTCTGCTTCGTCCAGAACCAAACAGAGGACATGGAGAACCGCATCAGTGCTGTACACAAGAGACTTGCGTGAGTTGGGTGGGGAGTCTGTCCTTGTAATTCTCAGGCAGAATGAATACTGTAAGAAATGTTTCTTAAATAGTTTGGATGTGTTGTTGAAGGCACCATTCATTCAGAATGTTGTTTGAGGTGTTGAGATTGAGGGCTTGATTGCAACAATTAATGCTGTATTTGATGGGTGACCATTAGTCTGTCTCACAGTCCCTGAACCACATTAATTTCCCTACTGCCAAGCTCTCTCTGCCGTGCTAAAGCCCTAAATAAAGCAAGTCTAGATTTCCTCAGGTTCTGAATCTCTGGTCTCCCTAGGGCTCCTTTTCAATATAAATGGGCTTGTTTGTTCCTATCAAAATTATATATATTCAGAGACTAAGCCTTAGTCTAGGTGACCATCTGTGAACACTGGCAGCTTCAGTGTTATGCACAACGTCACTCACCTTACTGCTGCTGGTGGGGTGAAGCTGGCCTAGTTGTCCAGGGCGTCTGAGCGGTGGGGTATGCTCTTCTTTGCTAATGTTTCGACATTCCTGGGGGTGTCGTAAACCAATACTCTGTCACTGTCTAAGACGTCATTATTCGATGGTTTCATTCCACATCGGTATTACTGGAATACTGTTCAAAGCAGCATTTAAGATCACACATTCAGTTATACCAATTCTTGCTGTTGGTATTGCTGCTGTAGGTGCCTGCTGTTGTGTTTGTGCCTGCTGTTGTGTGTGTGCCTGCTGCTGCTGTGGGTACCTGCTGTTGTGTTTGTGCCTGCTGTTTGTGCCTGCTGCTGCTGTGGTGTACCTGCTGTTGTGTTTGTGCCTGCTGCAGTGTTTTTGTGCCTGCTGTTGTGTTTGTGCCTGCTGCTGTTGTGCCTGCTGTTGTGTTTGTGCCTGCTGTGTGTGCCTGTGCCTGCTGCTGTTGTGTTTGTGCCTGCTGCTGCTGTGTTTGTGCCTGCTGCTGTTGTGTTTGTGCCTGCTGTTGTGTTTGTGCCTGCTGCTGTGTGTTTGTGCCTGCTGCTGTGTTTGTGCCTGCTGCTGTGTTTGTGCCTGTTGTGTGCCTGCCTGCTGTTGTGTTTGTGCCTGCTGCTGTGTTTGTGCCTGCTGTTGTGTTTGTGCCTGCTGTTGTGTGTGTGCCTGCTGCTGTTGTGTTTGTGCCTGCTGTTGTGTTTGTGCCTGCTGAGTGTGCCTCCTGCTGCTGTGTGTATGCCTGCTGCTGTGTTTGTGCCTGCTGCTGTTTGTGCCTGCTGTTGTGTGTATGCCTGCTGCTGTTGTGTGTGGCTGCTGTGTGTGCGCCTGCTGCTGTGTGTATGCCTGCTGCTGTGTGTGTGTGTGCCTACTGTGATGACAGTATGTTGGTATTGCAGTGGTCATGTCCCGGCTGTGGTGGAGTACAAGTATTTGGACAAGGTCAAGTGGCTGGAGATGTTTGGCGTGGACCTCCATCCAGTCCTGGTGAGTTCACTTCTCCCATCCACTGAACTTGGAGGTCAACCTATCATGTTCACTTGTCCCATCCATTACACCTGGAGGTCGACATGTCATGTTAACTTCTCCCATCCATTAAACCTGGAGATTGACCTGTCATGTTCACTTGTCCCATCCATTAAACCTGGAGATCGACCTGACATGTTCTCTTGTCCCTTCTATTAATCATGGAGGTCGACCTGACATGTTCACCTGTCCCATCCATTAATCCAGGAGGTCGACCTGTCATGTTCACTTGTCCCATCCATTAAACCTGGAGGTTGACCTGTCATGTTCACTTGTTCCATCCATTAAACCTGGAGGTCGACCTGTCATGTTCGCTTTTCTCATCCATTAAACCTGGAGGTCAACCTGACATTCACTTGTCCCATCCATTAAACCTGGAAGTCGACTTGACATGTTCACTTGTTCCATCTACTGTAAACGTACTTATTTTCGCGTGGTGCAATTTTCGCGGAATTGACATTTTAGACTACATCGCGCGGGCAATTATTCGCGCAATCAGTAATTGCCGGAACTGCCAGCTGTCTCTTTGGCCGTCACTAATAGCAGTGAAAACAAACAGTGGCTTAACCTGTCAGGCGGCGTTTATTACTTACTCACAGGAAATCCCTATCTGTGCGATATACTAGTACACAGTAACCCGTTTACTCCCGGAAGAGATGAAAAACACATCAGTATTATGTTCCGAATTCTGACTAATTAACTTATACTGTATATAAAGCTCTTTGTGATTTCAAACAAGCCGGGTTGTTGTGAATGAGATGATTGAGTGTTAGTGACTATTAAACTTCATGATGATACGTTTGTATCTAAATGAATAAATAAAATACTGCTGTATTATTTCTTTCCGAAGTCGTTTCATGGTAATCTGTTTTGTATTAAACCATCTGTCATGTGACCAATTTCCATGGCGCCACAACACACATTGCTGTTTTAAGCTAATTCGTGATGGGATTTGGCTCATTATTTAATTATGTTTTGGGAAATCCATTACAGCGACAGTTAAGTTTGATTCTTTATGCTACTATCAGTCGTCATTTTAAGATTCCGTAGATTTCTGTCTTCAAGCGTGATGTGTTATGGTAACAACTCAGGGCGAAGCGGCGTGGCTAGACTGAATGAATGACAGGTTTATTCATGAGTATAAATTTTAAGCTAAAATGTTTTCTTGTAGCGAAAAATAAAACGTCCGCGAAATATACTACGTTTACAGTACAGTATTAGATGTGGTGGTTGACCTGTCATGTTCGCTTTTCCCATCCATTAAACCTGGAGGTCACCCTGTCATGTTCACTTGTTCCATCCATTAAACCTGGAGGTCACCCTGTCATGTTCACTTGTCCCATCCATTAAACCTGGAAGTCGACCTGTCATGTTCGCTTTTACCATCCATTAAATCTGGAGGTCGACCTGTCATGTTCTCTTTTCTCATCCATTAAACCTGGAAGTCGCCCTGTCATGTTCACTTGTCCCATCCATTAAACCTGGAGGTCACCCTGTCATGTTCGCTTTTCTCATCCATTAAACGTGGAGGTCGCCCTGTCGTTTTCGCTTTTCCCATCCATTAAACCTGGAGGTCGCCCTGTCATGTTCGCTTTTCCCATCCATTAAACCTGGAGGTTGACCTGACATATTCACTTGTCCCATCCATTAAACCTGAAAGTCGACTTGACATGTTCACTTTTCTCATCCATTAAACCTGGAGGTCGCCCTGTCATGTTCGCTTTTCTCGTCCATTAAACCTGGAGGTCACCCTGTCATGCTCGCTTTTCTCATCCATTAAACCTGGAGGTCACCCTGTCATGTTCGCTTTTCTCATCCATTAAACGTGGAGGTCGCCCTGTCGTGTTCACTTTTCCCATCCATTAAACCTGGAGGTCGCCCTGTCATGTTCGCTTTTCCCATCCATTAAACCTGGAGGTCGACTTGACATGTTCACTTTTCTCATCCATTAAACCTGCAGGTCGCCCTGTGATGTTCGCTTTTCCCATCCATTAAACCTGGAGGTTGACCTGTCATGTTCACTTTTCTTATCCATTAAACCTGGAGGTCACCCTGTCATGTTCGCTTTTCTCATCCATTAAACGTGGAGGTCGCCCTGTTGTGTTCACTTTTCTCATCCATTAAACCTGGAGGTCGCCCTGTCATGTTCGCTTTTCCCATCCATTAAACCTGGAGGTTGACCTGACATATTCACTTGTCCCATCCATTAAACCTGGAAGTCGACTTGACATGTTCACTTGTCCCTTCCATTAAACCTGGAGGTCGCCCTGTCATGTTCGCTTGTCCCATCCATTAAACCTGGAGGTTGACCTGACATGTTCACTTGTCCCATCCATTAAACCTGGAGGTCGACCTGTCATGTTCACTTGTCCCATCCATTAAACCTGGAGGTTGACCTGACATGTTCACTTGTCCCATCCATTAAACCTGGAAGTCGACTTGACATATTCACTTGTCCCATCCATTAAACCTGGAAGTCGACTTGACATGTTCACTTGTCCCATCCATTAAACCTGGAGGTTGACCTGACATATTCACTTGTCCCATCCATTAAACCTGGAGGTCGACTTGACATGTTCACTTGTCCCATCCATTAAACCTGGAAGTCGACTTGACATGTTCACTTGTCCCATCCATTAAACCTGGAAGTCGACTTGACATGTTCACTTGTCCCATCCATTAAACCTGGAAGTCGACTTGACATGTTCACTTGTCCCATCCATTAAACCTGGAAGTCGACTTGACATGTTCACTTGTCCCATCCATTAAACCTGGAGGTCGACTTGACATGTTCACTTGTTCCATCCATTAAACCTGGAGGTCGACTTGACATGTTCACTTATTCCATCCATTAAACCTGGAGGTCGACTTGACATGTTCACTTGTCCCTTCCAAGCAAGTTTGTTCACTTATCCTTACCAACATAGACAACAGGTTGACCTTCTGATTCACAATATGTAGAGGTCGACTACCTTCAAGTTCATTCCATTCACAATATGTAGAGGTTCACTACCGTCAGGTTCATTCCATTCACTATAAGTAGAGGTCCACTACCGTCAGGTTCATTCCATTCACTATAAGTAGAGGTCCACTACCGTCAAGTTCATTCCATTCACAATAAGTAGAGGTCCACTACCATCAAGTTCATTCCATTCACAATATGTAGAGGTCCACTACCGACAAGTTCATTCCATTCACAATAAGTAGAGGTCCACTACCTTCAACTTCATTCCATTCACAATAAGTAGAGGTCCACTACCGTTAAGTTCATTCCATTCACAATAAGTAGAAGTCCACTACCTTCAACTTCATTCCATTCACTATAAGTAGGGGCGGTGGGGTAGCCTAGTGGTTAAAGCGTTGGCTCGTCACGCGAAAGACCCGGGTTCGAATCCCCACATGGGTACAATGTTTGAAGCCCATTTCTGGTGTCCCCCGCCGTGATGTTGCTGGAATATTGCTAAAAGCGGCGTAAAACCAAAACTCAGTCAGTCAGTCACTATTAGTAGAGGTCCACTACCTTCAACTTCATTCCATTCACAATAAGGATAGGTCCACTACCTTCAACTTCATTCCATTCACAATAAGTAGAGGTCCACTACCTTCAACTTCATTCCATTCACAATATGTAGACCTCCAGCCATGATCAGCCCCGAACTTTCTAACATGAAGTAGGGAAGTTTGTTTCCCTGGACTTCCCTCCCTGCCATCACTGCCACACCACTATCACCTAATGATTACTCTACAGAGTGAAATAGTCACTGGTCTTTTTTCTGCAGCGACCGTACAAGTCAAAAAAGGTAGGCAAGGCAACGGGCACTAATGGTGCACATATTCCAGCTCACTTATACCTAGATTAATACTAAAGATAGATAGGTTTCTGAACTTTCAGAAGATAGTAAAGACATTGGGATTATATGTGCACAGGCCAGTCTGGACATGAGTATATCAAGTACATATACTCATGTATATGAAGTACATATACTCATGGTTATGCTCTAACTGCACTCAAGGGTTCTTTGTACATACTGGCAGCTGTAGTTTGTCTTGTTCGTTCAGGCTAGTCTACTGTAACTTAATCTCTTAAACTTAAACTTAAATTTTTTGTGGGAATTTCATTCTCTCTTTTCTTTAATGGGATTTTTTTTTTTTCTTTGCTTTTTTTGCTGCTCATATAAGCCCAAATTTTTCACAAAGCTTTCATATTTCTTAGACGCCCCATATAGAGTTATGCTTTTAACTCCCCTAGGTCTCTATGCTTTACTGAAATAGAGAACACTGACATTTTCGTCACTTCGCTTACTTACGATTAATTATTACAGTCTATATATTTACTCTATTTTACAGTTGTGGTACAATGTAAGTACCAATACATGCAGGTACTGCTCAGGTTTTATCCTGTCATTGAAATTGCTTTGCAATATATATGTTATTATTTTTATTGCTAATTTTAATGCTTTCTCTTGATAACAGATTTGTGATGATATGTGTTGTTAGATGTCATAGTCCGTCAGTGGGACCTGCTACCACCTGATTGTAATGTCTGATCACAAGAATATTCTATAGTCCGTTTGGGTTCAAATGAAAACGGTGAATGATGATATATCTCGAAATAGGGATAAGTGCACAAAACATGGTGCTGAAACCTCTGTACCCAACAGGATCTGAAATCTGACGTTTTATGTTCGATCGGGGAAAAAGTTGTTTTAGAAACCATCATGTAATATTGTGCTATTTTCACTCTTCACACTGAGGGGTGACAAACGGCTGGTGGAACAAACGGCTGGTGGAACAGCACCAGCACACATTCAGGTGCAGCGAGGTGAGATGACCCCAGCTTGTCTGGTGCTTTTCCATCAGCTTTTTGTCACCCCCGGTGTGAAGCATGAAAATAGCTCAGTATTACATGATAGTTTCTTAAACAACTTTTCGATCAAAAAACGTCAGGACTATGTGTCTTATTTATGTTTTTGCACTTATCCCAATTTCGAGATATTTAATCATTTGTTGTTCTCATTTGAACCCAAACGGAATATAGCTGTGAGTTCTCACAGGGTTCACCAACAAGGTAAACCATGTCTTTGTAACAATGGGGATCATGGTGACGATGTCCCTGGGTTGCTACCACATTTACCCAGATACTGCCCAAGTAGTGCTTGGGGTTGCCAACATAGAGGCTTCCACATGACTGACCATATCTCCTTGTGTCTTTCTTGCAGGGAGAAGGCAATATAGAGTACTTCCTTGGCTTGACTCCCACAGGAATTGTTGTATATAAGAATAAGTCAAAGATAGGAAATTATTTCTGGTAAGTTGAAAACTCACATTTTAATGACTTTTCTTGCAAGAAATAATGTTTGTTTTGTTTATTCTTGTTTGGGTATTGATAAGCATGTTAATGTAGTCTTGTCTAGCAAAGACACTGTACACTCAGGATATTGCATCCAGGAAATGGTTCTGCCAACAAGAAGTTTGCATGAAAATATCAGTACAGTTCATGCATTTTCTTCTTTTCTTTTTCCAGGCCAAGAATTATAAAGGTCACTTTCAAAGGAAAAATATTCATCATCAGGGTCAAAGACAAAAATGTGAGTATAACTAGGTATTGTACATCTTTGAAAAACCATCAGGTCTGATTGTCTCAGCGCTATATTATTTGTTGGTATAGAATTCACTTGGCAAACTAACACATTCAGGACAATGGATGCATTGCCTCAGCAAGAGTGGACAGTTGTATTTGGTTTGTCTGGTCTCAGGAAGAGGTTATGGTATTGCGTATCACGCAAGGTGACAAGTGACATAAAAGAGGGATATAGCGGATGCTCAGTGAGTGAAATGGCCACTGTGGTTCTTGGTTCAACAGAGAAAGAGGCCCCTTGCACTTCAAGCACTAACTTGTGAGGATTGCTGGCTGCAAGGTGTGACTGACTCATGTTCCCAGACAGGGTGAACCATTGCTCCTGATGACCTTCAGTCAGTGCTTTGCCACAATATGTTCAGGCAGCCTAGGTTGTGACGTTCCCAGACAGGGTGAACCATTGCTCCTGATGACCTTCAGTCAGTGCTTTGCCACAATATGTTCAGGCAGCCTATGGTTGTGACGTTCCCAGACAGGGTGAACCATTGCTCCTGATGACCTTCAGTCAGTGCTTTGCCACAATATGTTCAGGCAGCCTAGGTTGTGACGTTCCCAGACAGGGTGAACCATTGCTCCTGATGACCTTCAGTCAGTGCTTTGACACAATATGTTCAGGCAGCCTATGGTTGTGATGTTCCCAGACAGGGTGAACCATTGCTCCTGATGACCTTCAGTCAGTGCTTTGACACAATATGTTCAGGCAGCCTAGGTTGTGACGTTCCCAGACAGGGTGAACCATTGCTCCTGATGACCTTCAGTCAGTGCTTTGACACAATATGTTCAGGCAGCCTATGGTTGTGATGTTCCCAGACAGGGTGAACCATTGCTCCTGATGACCTTCAGTCAGTGCTTTGCCACAATATGTTCAGGCAGCCTATGGTTGTGATGTTCCCAGACAGGGTGAACCATTGCTCCTGATGACCTTCAGTCAGTGCTTTGCCACAATATGTTCAGGCAGCCTAGGTTGTGGTGATAATGCTGACCGCAACAAAACATCACCCACTATATTAGAACGATTATAGATTTGACCATTCTATGTCTTTGTTTCAGAGTGATGAGCACACGTACGCATTTGAGCTTCCCACAAAGACGAGCTGTAAACATCTATGGAAGTGCTGTGTGGAGCATCATGCGTTCTTCAGGTGAGTGGTATCCAGACTCGTCTGTTCACACCAATATGCATGTCCTGACTGATAGTAACTTGTGTTGAATTTTGAAATAACTCTCTTTGAATGTGTGTTTCTACATTTTTCTATTAACTTTTTGTAACGGAACTTTACTAATTAATATCAGCATGTGAACATCCTCGTTTCACTGTCATCTCTTTGTAATAAACCATGTTTTATTTGGAATAACAAAATTCCCCAGCAAATTACTTGTCTGGGCGAAGTGTGTCAGTGTTATTCAGTTTCATCTGTCTGTTGTTCAGAATGCTAAGTTATCAAGCATTGCTCTCCTGGTTTTGTAAAACAAATCTTATCTGATATTTAAAGTGAATATTTCATGTTCATGTTTGAATGTAGGGCAAAATACTTTACGATCAATGAGTTGAAAGCTTTTCACTTGAACCGAAGACCAAACACATTTGTGTTGTTGTCAGATCAGTTAACCATAAGATTTCCCAATGAAGGAAACTGAACATGCATTATGTCTGTTTCTAAGTATATTTGACAAAATATATGTCTATCCATATCAGTGTTCAAAATTAAGCATGAATGTCCTCAGACCTCTTGATGTTAAAGAGATATGGAGGGTTCATATATTCAGATACTATTGCAGTAAACTTGTGGACACCAGAACACTCTTCATTTTGAACACTGCATATTCACTATTCAACTGTAAGATTATAAAATCAGCAGAATCATTTTTGATTTTGAGTTAATGCACGCTTTTTGAGAGAAGATTTTATTTTTTTTAAAAAGATAATAAGTGATGTCCTTTCAATCACTTAAAATGTGAGTGGAAGTATTTTGCCCTGTCATGTGTTACTAGCTTTTCATTATGTTCATTGTTTATATCTAATCACCAACAAATGGAGAAAACTGTTGCATACTTTACAGATTTATGTCATTTCTCCTATTTGCTATGTAGATACAGCAGCTCAGTGTCTCAAAAGCCTTTTGCATCCCTTTGTGGCCAGTCCACTGATCTCGGTATTGAATATGTTCCACCTATTTTCATGTGTGTGGATTTCCCTGCACCACAATGAAGCAGTTTTCTCCATTTACATGTCTAATCCTGCATTGGAAATGTATCTGTGTTTTAATGTTACAAGAGTTTCTTTTGATCAAAGTTTTATCAATCAGTTCTTTTTTTTGTTAAATTGTGTAAAAGTTTTGAGCACGGATACATTTTAGTGCTTCCCTTCCCTCACCACTCACATGTGTCGTGTATTCTCATTGGTCAGACTAAACCAGGTCGCAGATCCTTTATCTAGGGCAGGCAAATTGTTTAGATCCGGGTCAAAACATCGACTCAGGTAAGGCAATCACTCTCAGGTGGCAGTTGTGCCTACCCCCAACCCAGCCAGATGCTATCAGCCAGCTAATGTTCCTCACTGTGTTGGCTTAACTTTGATACTTTGGAATTATTGTGAACATTTTGTTTGATTTTATCAACATTTCAGCCAATGAAAACACTTCAAAGTATTATTGATCTGATTATGGAAATTTATGGGGAGTATGGTGTAGGGTTTTGTGAAAGTTTCTTTGTGAAAATGATATTATCAGAGAGCTGACTGAAATCAACAATTGTTTTAATGCAGGTGAGAAAAAAATGATTGGCGTTATCAAAGAGATCAAACTACAGTGACACAATAAGTGAAGAATGTTGTAATATGTTTTTGTATATATGTGGATATGATTCCAAGGTGGTGTATAAGTAATGTTGAAACAATGTAGAACAAGGTTCCAAAGTTAGATTGAACCAGAGACCTTTGACAGTATGGTTGGATCAAGTATGAGAACAAATTTGTTCAGTAGATCATAGAAGTTATATGTTAACATACATAGAGTAGAGGACCTTAATGGTGCATGAGTAATGATAACGATTTTACAATGATGGGTGAGATATACTCCGTAACACCTTCCTTACTATTGCAGAGATGTAGAAACAAAGACAAACATTTCAGGAATGCATGTAGTTAAGCCCAACGCCAATAGTAGGTTAGGTCGTCAGAAATTTATTTCTCAATTTAGGCCCAACAAGAAAAAATAAGTTTAAGCTTTGTACTTGCATTCCAGTTAGTATGTATGGGTGTTCTGTCTTGTTGGATGTATGTTTGAAAGTTGAGAAAAACTGTTAAGTGTTAAAGGCTACAGGAAGTAGATATATTACTTCACAATGGGATAATAAAAGTAGAAGCAATATATTAACTTCCACAGAGTATATGATAGTAGAAACAATGTACTCACTACCATAGGGTATATGATAGTAGAAACAATGTACTCACTACCATAGGGTATATGATAGTAGAAACAATGTACTCACTACCATAGGGTATATGAAAGTAGAAACAATGTACTCACTACCATAGGGTATATGATAGTAGAAACAATGTACTCACTACCATAGGGTATATGATAGTAGAAACAATGTACTCACTACCATAGGGTATATGATAGTAGAAACAATGTACTCACTACCATAGGGTATATGATAGTAGAAACAATGTACTCACTACCATAGGGTATATGAAAGTAGAAACAATGTATTCACTACCATAGGGTATATGATAGTAGAAACAATGTACTCACTACCATAGGGTATATGATAGTAGAAACAATGTACTCACTACCATAGGGTATATGATAGTAGAAACAATGTACTCACTACCATAGGGTATATGATAGTAGAAACAATGTACTCACTACCATAGGGTATATGATAGTAGAAACAATGTACTCACTACCATAGGGTATATGAAAGTAGAAACAATGTACTCACTACCATAGGGTATATGAAAGTAGAAACAATGTATTCACTACCATAGGGTATATGATAGTAGAAACAATGTACTCACTACCATAGGGTATATGATAGTAGAAACAATGTACTCACTACCATAGGGTATATGATAGTAGAAACAATGTACTCACTACCATAGGGTATATGAAAGTAGAAACAATGTATTCACAACCATGGGGAAAGTATAAGTAGAAAAATGTATTCACTACCACAGGGCATATAAAAGTAGAAATGGCATATTCACTTCCCCAGGGTATGTGAAAGTAGAAACGACATATTCACTTCCACAGGGTATATGAAAGTAGAAACGACATATTCACTTCCACAGGGTATATGAAAGTAGAAACAACATATTCACTTCCACAGGGTATATGAAAGTAGAAACGACATATTCACTTCCACAGGGTATATGAAAGTAGAAACAACATATTCACAACTACTAGGTATATGAAAGTAGAAACGACATATTCACTTCCACAGGGTATATGAAAGTAGAAACGACATATTCACAACTACTAGGTATATGAAAGTAGAAACGACATATCACTTCCACAGGGTATGTGAAAGTAGAAATGACATATTCACAACTACCCGGTATATATGAAGAGTAGAGAAGCGACATATTCCTTCCACGAGGTATATGAAAGTAGAAACGACATATTTACTTCCACAGGGTATATGAAAGTAGAAACGACATATTCACTTCCACAGGGTATATGAAAGTAGAAACGACATATTCACTTCCACAGGGTATATGAAAGTAGAAACGACATGTTCACTTCCACAGGGTATATGAAAGTAGAAACGACATGTTCACTTCCACAGGGTGTATGAAAGTAGAAACGACATATTCACAACTACTAGGTATATGAAAGAAAAACCGACATATTCACAACTACTAGGTATATGAATGTAGAAACGACATATTCACTTCCACAGGGTGTATGAAAGAAGAAACATTTTAATCACTAATGTAGGATATTTGAAAAAGAGATGATATGTTAAGTAAATAGAGACAATTTGTCCAGTGCAATAGGGTATTTTGAAGTAAAACAATATGTGTTCAGAAAGTAGACATATTGTAGCTTTGAGTGCATCCTTTTCATCACTTCTGGCTCCTCGCCTCGTGTGTGCAGTCATGGCTTCCAGTTATATAGCCTGCAGCTTGTGCATCATCTCAGTGAAGCAGTTCAGTCCATCTTGTTCATAGCATCTGTTTTGTACATTAATGTACCCATATTGTCTGTTGTGTGTAATGTTTACCTATTTTGTCACAAATATTTTATGAAATACATACGTATTGGCTTATGTAATTATTTAACTGAATTTTGATCACTTTTATATTAAAACCTAGCCAATTGAATATTTTACACAGAACTGACAGAAAATGTTATGTGATGAGAATGATATTCCTGTGACCTCTTTGAGCAATGATTTCTCCCTGTGTGCAGTGGTCGCACGGAGAGGCAGTCACAGCGGGACGACTACAGTCGCCAACAGCCAAACGTTCTGCGGATACCCAGTAGACGACAACAACGCAGGATACAGTCCGAGTCAAGACTTAATGGTGAGGGACTAAATTACCAGTATCACCCACTCAAAATATATACGTGAAAAACAAATACATGACTGCCTACAAAACTGTATGGGAATACCCTGCAGACCTGAATAGTGTATCTAAGCCATGTCTTGTGAGATATTCCTCTGTCTGTCATATGTTCCTGTCTGTTGTTAGATGTTCCTTTGTCAGATGTTGCTGTTAGCTGTTCCTATCTGTTGTCATCTGTTCCTATCTGTTGTCATCTGTTGCTGTTAGCTGTTCCTGTCTGTTGTCATCTGTTATCAAAGAGATCAAACTACAGTGACACAATAAGTGAAGAATGTTGTAATATGTTTTTGTATATATGTGGATATGATTCCAAGGTGGTGTATAAGTAATGTTGAAACAATGTAGAACAAGGTTCCAAAGTTTTTGTTGTCAGCTGTTCATGTCTGCTGTCAGCTGTTCCTGTTGTCAGATATCTGTCATCTGTTCCTGTCTGTTGTCATCTGTTCCTGTCTGCTGTCATCTGTTCCTATCTGTTGTCATCTGTTGCTGTCATCTGTTCCTATCTGTTGTCATCTGTTCCTGTCTGCTGTCATCTGTTCCTATCTGTTGTCATCTGTTGCTGTTAGCTGTTCCTATCTGTTGTCAGCTGTTGCTGTTAGCTGTTCCTATATGTTGTCAGCTGTTGCTGTTAGCTGTTCCTATCTGTTGTCAGCTGTTCATGTCTGCTGTCAGATGTTCCTATCTGTTGTCATCTGTTCCTGTCTGCTGTCATCTGTTCCTATCTGTTGTCATCTGTTGCTGTCATCTGTTCCTATCTGTTGTCAGTTGTTCATGTCTGCTGTCAGATGTTCCTGTCTGTTGTCAGATGTTCATGCTGCTGTCAGCTGTTCCTGTTGTCAGATATCTGTCATCTGTTCCTGTCTGTTGTCATCTGTTCCTGTCTGTTGTCAGATGTTCGTGTTGTCAGTCATATATTCTTGTCTGCTGTCAGATGTTCTTGTCAGATATTCCTGTCTGTTGTCAGATATTCTGACATCAGTAGCATGTTTCTATGTCCTATTCCAATGTCAAATGTTCCTAGGTTTGTCAGATGTTCCTATGTCTGTTATCACATGTTCCTGTGTCTGTTATCCATGTTCCTGTATGTTATCACATGTTCCTATGTCTGTTATCACATGTTCCTGTATGTAATCACATGATCCAGTCTGTTATCACATGTTCCTATGTCTGTTATCACATGTTCCAATGTCTGTTATCATATGTTCCTGTCTGTTATCACATGTTCCTGTATGTTATCACATGATCCAGTCTGTTATCACATGTTCCTATGTCTGTTATCACATGTTCCTGTATGTTATCACATGATCCAGTCTGTTATCACATGTTCCTATGTCTGTTATCACATGTTCCTGTATGTTATCACATGATCCAGTCTGTTATCACATGTTCCTGTATGTTATCACATGATCCAGTCTGTTATCACATGCCTGTGCCTGTTGCTTGCAGCAGGTGGCAGTGGTGGCTATGGTGTGGAAGGAGGCACTGTCCTTACCATGGTGAAGCCAGAACCAGTGAAAGCGTGAGTACAAAGAATCCATGACCAAGTGTCTCCAGCCTGGAGTTGACCTCCTTTTAGCACAGCCACCTCTAACATTTCTTGTTGAAATTATAGCACAGAAATTATTGTTTTTGCAAGAAATTAAAACATTCCCAAATTTGTCTGCTTCTTTGACAGGGTCACTGAAGTTTTGTTTTACTGAGTGTTGCCTTATTGTGTTTGTACAGTCCCCGGCATCGAAGCCTCCCTGAGCTGCAGGGCAAGGAGTCCCCCACCAGTGTGAGGTCAGCCCCCTGGAAGACCAACTATGATGGGTGAGTAGAAGGGATCTGTTGCCTGGAGACAGGATGGCTGCCACAATCCCTTAGCCTCTTTCCAACTGAAGCATGGCTTTGCAAACAAAATACTTTTCACTGGCCTTGAATACACCACCCAGACATAAAGGCTGTACAGTTTCAAAAAGTACTTTGAAAAGGAGTGGCAGCCAGAAACTGAATCTGCCTTTAAATGGTGTTGACATTTGAAAAGAGTTCTCTTTTAAGGCCTTGAATTTGTCAACCAAAGTTAAGAGAATTCTTTCATGTTTCCTGACACTTCAGAATATAATTATTCTACTTTTGCCATCATGTATTTTCTCAGCGTAAAGACTTGTTTTGCCAGTGGTATTCTACCAGTATGTTGTTGTGGTAATTACACTAGTATCGTATTCAAAGGAATTCCATTGTGGTATATTTAGGCCACGTGGTACTTCAGGCCTTTACAGATTGTGATGTTGTTTTTTCTGTGATTCAGTGGACTGTACACATCAGGCAAAGACTCACCGTTGTCCACCCGCAGCGAGCGCCACATCTACAACCGCCAGGCCAGCGACAGCGAGAGTGGAGTCAGTCGCAGAAAGTAAGTTTACAAGGGGTGTCACGAATCGGTTCGGTTCGGTTCATCGAAAATCAAATTGATAGATGTACAATTCGATCTCGATTTCAAAGCATCCATTTCAATTCGATTCATACAGTACTTACATTCTAATACTGAGAGTTTGTTTCATCTTAAATCGTAAGAAATTATGTTGAAAATATACTGCTACAAGTGTGGCCAATGAGAGGGTATTCTCCACTGCCGGAGACATTGTAAGTGCCCAGAGGGCATGTCTTTCAAGTGAAAATTGCTTGCACAGAACATGATCATTCCAAATGACTTACAGTGACATTACAGTCACAATGAACACTTGACACCAGAGTTTGTGACTCAAACTTAATTTCATGATCACTTGTTCAGTGAGTATTTGTTGACAACTTGTCTTGACAGTGTTCTAATAGTGCATTGTGCCAATTTTCCAAAGTTTGCCAAATTAAACTGATATTACAACAAATTTTGACTTTGTCCTCAGCTTTGGTGAATCGAATCAAAATTAATTGAATCGAACGAATTGAATCGATAATCGTATCGAATCGAAGTGAGAGTGAATCGTGACACTCCTACTATTTACCTGCTGCAGTCACTCAGTGTCAGGCTTGACCAGTCCGCACTAACCACAGACCAAGTGACACCTCTCTTAAATAGTATTACCTGTACACAAACTCTTCCAGTGCTTTTTGCATGACTTCACAAAAATGGCGTATCCATATGTCGGAACTCTATGTTTGAATATTTTTAATTTATCGCCTGTGGCCAAATCTGTAGGAATTCAGGTTGGAATTGTTCCCCAGCAACCAATGTTTGCTGAAAGAAGCGACTGAATGGATCTGAGAGCCGGGCTCTTTGGCTGTGTGTCAACATTCCCACACAACATGCTGATACTGCCCATCACTGGTTCGTCTGGACAAGACGTGATTATAGTCTTCCTCCACAAGGATGGTGCCGCATTTAACAACAAACAAATTACATTTATCACTGCAGTTGCTTTGTGGCATCTCCGTCAGCAGTATGTTGTAGAGAGATGATATGTTACAGGTACTTCCCCAACAAACGAGGATCAGACAACGACAGCGAAGTGTCAGCCCCTCGCAGGAGAAGGTAAGACTCACTCTCTGTTCAACCTGCCAGAATATCAATATATATGGAAACAATAGTTAGTGTCTATTTACATATTGGTAACCCACATAGATTAAGTCAGAAAGTCTGTACACTGGTACAGATTCATAACTTCAAATGGTGACTGTATCCATTGGCATGCACAGGTTTTTAGTGGCAGGGCTCTTTTACCAGACGACCGCCTACGTGGTGTAGTGGTTAGAGCGTCTGCCCGGAGAGCGGAAGGTCGCAGGTTCGATCCCCGACCGCGTCATACCAAAAGACGTTAAAATATGGTACTTGTTGGTCCCTGTCTGGCGCTTCGGTATTAATGGGTACAACAAGGACTGGTCGGCTCGGAGTCAGTATAATGTGTCTGAGTGGGGTATTCATGCTTCACTGCGGCATGGTATCTCAGTGGGCTAGCACTATAAAACCAGCTCCAGTCTGGGCTAGTACAAGCAGCCGCACATACACATACACATACACACGCATGCACGTCATATGAGCGAAATATTCTCAAGCACGACGTTAAACCCAATTTCACCTCACCTCACCTCACCTCACCTCACCTCACCTCACCCAATCACCTCACCTCACCTCACCTCACCTCACCTCACCTCACCTCACCTCACCTCACCTCACCTCACCTCACCTCACCTCTTTTACCAGACATTGTGCTATGATGTTGTGTTGCTTCTTGGTTCCAGGCGAGAGATTGACAGTGGTAGTGAGTCTGATGTCTCCTACAGGAACGTCCTACAGAACCGCCGGAACCGTGTCTCCAACGACAGCAACATTCAAGGTGGACACATACCAATGTAAGTCAGTCTTTACCGTATGCCGCCTAGTGATCTGCATGGGGGTATATAGTCTTATGATAAAAAATTCACATTTTATATCTTATCATTTATATTTTAAGCTAGAGAATACCCCTCTCTTGATGCTGTACACAGTGTATAAAAATAGCCATGAAACCCTTGGGGTCTTTGTCATAACCTCATATTAAAAGTATGGGATCCTCCATGACCAGAGGGACGCCATTGAGACTAAACCATGTCAGCTGGGAAATGTGACCTCTTTGCAAACTGAATATATAACAGTTACTTTAGAAACTAGAAATAATTTACTGCTTTTCAATAAAAGTTAAAGTTTTCATATGACTGGTGTTATTCTGTCACAGCCGTTATTCTTTATCTTCGTTTTAGTTGTATTGTTGCTTGATTGGCATTTTAGAAGATGCTATTTGATGAACATAGAGATTTTTTCTGGGTTACATCTTCTTTTTAGGGCTTGAGTACAACGTTTCAGGTAAAACTCATTTTACCTGATGATGGGGCCAGAACCACCCCTGAAACGTTGTACTCAAGAATAAAAAGAAGATGTAACCCAGAAAAAATCTGTAAGTTGTATTGTAGTTGTGTCTGGAGCCCAGCCTGCTTTGTAATTGGGATCTCATTTCAGATTATATCCGTTTGCTGACAAAGAAAATCATCCAAATGGGTAAGAATTGATTTTGAATATTAATGATGTAAAAGTAAAAGTTTGTGTTGGAAGAATGTTCTTCAGAGGCAGAGTGTGTGTTCCTTCAGAGGCAGAGTGTGTGCTTGTATGGTTGTCCTGGATCAGAGAATGCCAGGTCTGGTTTTGACAAGATAGGTTGTTTTTGATACATGAGAATACATGAGTTCCTAAATACTGTAATTTTTCCTTATCCTGACTCATGCTCTTTTGCTTGTCTTCTTCTTCTTGCGAACATAGTGGAACACTTGTATCTCCTTATTTGAAGCTCCCTTCAAAATAAAATCACTAATTGGTACTCACCACGAGTTGCTCCCCTTTGCTTCCCCTGGCGGGAAAGGTGTCGCCACCCTCTGGCCATGTGCTTCACTCTCTCCTTCTTCGCCCAGTGAGCAGGATGTGAGAGCGCCTTGTGTCTCCTTACACACCATATCCTTTGATAATCTCTTAGTTTTACCTCTCATAGGTTACTATAGAGGTATAGCTAGTATCCTTTACTATTTGTATTGATTAATTATCGATTTCTACTGTTTATTCACGTGTGGTATTCGTGATTGTTCAGCTAGCTTTACGTTGATGAAAATCTGTACGATTTGTAGATTACGCTTTTCTGCCTCCTAACCACATGTAATATGCCCTAGTTGTTCTACTGCGTGTGCTTAATTCACGTTGCAGTTACTGCATTAATTTATCTCATTCTGCATTTAATAAATATCATCTTTGCGTCTTAAGACGTGCTGCAGATAGATCACGCAAACAAGGGCAAAACATGGCAGAGAGTCCAGATATTCCATCCAGTCAGCTGCTAGCGATCGACCCTCTCCGCCTGGTGTTCTGCTAGAGACCCCTGGCAGAGGAACGTGGACGCAGTCCGTTACCTCGAAGAAACGACCGCCTCCCCAGACATCTCGCCATTGCAGACCAAGTCTAAGAGGGCCTCATCGCTGCCTCAACGCAGATTGAGGACACCCAGGGCAGCGCAGACTTCCAAAGGGAAATCTACGAAGACAGCAAGAACTTTCTCAGCTGAGATCGTTCCAGCAGCAGAATTGGGCCTCTCTACGATGATCAGCCGATAATCATCCCCGACTTACGGCAGAAGAAGCGACCGGTGTCAGCGACTGTGACTTCTGCAGAGATCACCATGCAGCCTGATGCCTCTACACCGACGCCAGACGTCACTGATGTGAACCCCATCGCAGAAAAAGACACCGGCGACTTCGCCACAGATCATCCCAGAAGACATGATGCGGCAGATTATGAACATCATGGAGGACCACTACAAACTGCGCAAGCAGGGTCCGAGCCTTCGCGAAGGCTCCAACGTAGACAGCACCCCAGAGGCACCCCCCGTCAACGTAGCAGCCAAGACGATGTCACCTTCGCGAAGGAAGTCCCACACCACCTTGACGAAGGACCTAGATGTACAGCTCGGCGAAGGCCTTCGCTGCGGCGGAGAGATCATCACCATCTTCGATTTCATCTCTAGATATGGACTCAGACCATCAGACATCACGGAAGCCTTCGCTAAGGTCATATCATCGATCCCCGGACCGACGCAAAATGAAGCTTCACAAGGCATTCGCGAAGGACATATGATTCCAGATCTTCATCATCTAGAAGAACATCGAGGGACTGCCGAAGAGCTTCGCGAAGCTATCAACATTCACCTCACAAGTCTCCGAAAGATCATCCCATAGACGCGATCTCCACTTCGTTCATCACCAGGTCGATCACCCGTCAGATCTCCACATAGAAGCGGCACAAGTCAACTAGATCGCCACAAACCTCATCAGATATACAGACAGCTACACGCAGTCCCTAAGAGCATCTACAATTTGTTAATGATGATGGTTTTGAGGATGATGGAGGAATCATATTTTCTGATGCAGAGATACGGTATTGGATGGTCAATAACCTAGATCTTATATCACCATCTAAAAGTGGCAATACAGCGCAGACGTATTTGATGAAGGAAGATGATCCAGATGCAATCACTCTACCCCGATCGACCCGATTGCGGCAGTGCCACAGAATCTAGATGCAGCTTCCAGAAGCTACAAAGTTCAGATACCACATCTGCCCAACTTTCAAGCCAAGAAGTTCTCCACGATAACATGGACTCCTTCTACAAGGCTCCAGGACATCGATGAGAACTATAAGATCATCAGCGATGTAAAGAACAAGATTTACAAGATGGATGATCGCAAGTTGGCTCATATAGAAACCATGACGAGGCGTGATGTTCTTTGGGTTAAATAGATCTAGGACGATCAATGAGACTCTTATTACTAGATTCCGGATTCCACGACGGAAGATGATAGAATGATTTATTCTGCCTTACTTATGCAAAAGAAAGATCAGCAGTTTTAACGGATCATCTTACATCTGTTTCAGCAGCACTGACCTTAGCTCGTCGTCAAGGCCTCCTCGCCTCCTGTAATTGGGGAGAACTTTACAGCCCCACTTTATACAGCCCGTGGTCGACAACATCCATCTTTGACGGAGAAATCGACAAAGTCGCCAAGGAAGTCTCTATGGATTCCAGGGAAGTCCTTATGATTAGATCGATGGACACACTAGCCAGCGTCATTCGTCAGACTTCACAAAGATACTCAGGCAGATCTAAGTTCACGGGCCTACAAAGAGCAAGAGACAGGAAGATAGCCAGCTCTAGAGGTAAAGATTCTTTTAAAATTAAGCCCATATGGCAACTATAGAGGAGGATCAGGAAGAGGCAGGACACCCAGAGGTTCCCGCAATTATAGGCGCTGAATCACAGGTTCGAACGACTGGAGTCTTCCACCCCCAGCCGTTCCAGTACAGCCAGCTCAAGTGGGTGGACGCCTCCAACTACACTGGGAAAACTGGGGAATATTGCAAGACCCTTACGCCTCCAACATTCTTCAACACGGATTTTCAGTATCCTCTACAGGCCAAGCCTCCGCTGACAATCAAACCCCCCAAGTTCGATTTACAAGCGCAACAACTACCAAAGATAAGAGAGGCTGTTTCATCACTCCTATCCAAACAGGCCATAGAAGTAATAGATCAAGCAAACGTCGAACCAGGTTTCTACTCCCCAGTTTTCCTAGTTCCCAAGAAAAACTCCACGGAGAAATACAGACTCATCTACAACATGAGCTTTTTCAACAAGAACTATCTACGCAAACCACGAAGTTTCGCATGATACATTTACCTCAGTTACGCCAGATGATTCGGCCCTATGGACTACATGGGCAGCATAGATCTACAGGATGCCTACCTGCACATCCCCATTCATCCCGATTCCAGGAAATACCTACGATTTACTCTAGAAGGGCTACATTACCAGTGGAAAGTACTCCCATTCGGAATATCATCAGCCCCCTGGCTATTCACGAGGATAACGAAACCGATTATCAAATTTCTACATCGTCAAGGGCTACGCAGTGCGTTTTACCTCGACGATGGGATACAAGTAGATCAAGATCCACTCGTCTCAAACTACAGTTAAATTACATCATAAAGCTACTAACACAACTAGGTTGGTTAGTAAACTTTTAAGTCGGACCTAGTACCATCGCCAAGATCTGCAGTTCCTAGGTATTCGATTCATCACAAATCGCACCGTATTTTGGTACCAGAAGACCGTTGGCTCAAGATACAGCAGACCATTCCACCAGCTCTACTCTCTCCGCTACCACTGCGACAATGGCAGAGCCTACTAGGTCTTCTCACATCAGCCCAAGACATGACTGTCACAGGCAGATTACAGTTACGCCCCCTACAGGTCTCATCAGCACATCTCAACGATGTACAACCATTCAGTCTACGAAACATCTCAGACCGCATCTACTATGGTGGACCAAGAAATCGAATGTCTGCGCGAAGGGATTTGTTTAGCAGAGCAGGAATACAAAACCCATCTGTATGTAGACGCGTCACTCAAGGTTGGGGAGCTCATCTCACCAACCACACGATATCAGGGTTATGGAATCAGCAAGAATGCAAACTCCATATAAACAGTCTAGAAATGAAAGCTGTAATCAACGCCATTCTACATTGGAGCACATTTCTACAAAATCGCCTAATGATCCATACAGACAATTCGACAGTGGCGTTCTACATAAACAAGCAAGGCTCAACGAGATCGATGAACCTTTTGAACCTAAGCTTTCAACTGTTCGATTTAATACAAGATCTAAATCTACATGTCAGAGCAGTGCACATTCCCGAGCCAGAAATATACTAGCAGACGCTCTCTCGGCCTCATCTACCATCACCGACAGAGTGAATGATCAACAGGAAATTTTTGCACAGATAATCAAGCAATTAGGAGCTGCCCGTAATAGACCTATTCGCCACGCCGATTCAACAATCAGCTACCGACATTCGTGTCACCAGTCCCAGACCCCAAGCTTGGGCAACGGACGCTCTAAGTCTATCATGGGAAGGCCTCAATCGTCTGCGCGTTTCCGCCGCCAGCAATAATACCTCAAGTATTACAGAAAATCAGACAAACACAGAGCCTACAACTCACTTTGGTCAGCCCTACTGGCGGCCAGAACGTGGTTTCCATACTAATTCAAGAAATCGGTCAACCAACACTGGAGCTACCTGCGCCAAACCTGTTAATTCATCCTCACACCAAACAAGTGCACGGAAACCCAGCAATGTTCCAACTACACGTATGGACTGTATACAAATGTGTTTAAACAAGAGAGGATATTCTGCCAGGGCGGCAAAAGCAGTCACGCTTGCCTTTACGTTACTCAACTCGTGGCTTGTACGACGACAAGTGGCACAGTTTCGAAAATTATGCAACAAAGAAAGGGTTTACAGCAAGAGAGGCTTCACAACCTCAAGTGGCAGACTATTTGTGTTACCTACGCCAAAACAAACATTTAAAAGGTTCAACGATATCAACATATCTTGCAGCTTTAGTTCTGTAATCACCATGAGAACGGGTGTCAAATTGACAAGATCTCCAGAGTTACTGGCCTTACTACGAGCTTTCCGATTGGAGGACCAAAGCGAAGTTCCACGCCCAGCTTGGGATCTGAATGTAGTATTACAACACCTCACGAGTGAGGTCTATGAACCTTTGGAATCGACAAACTTTGAATTTCTCTCACAGAAAACACTGTTTCTGCTATCGCTAGCCACAGCAGCAAGAATGTCTGAAATTCACGCTCTGGATTACGAGAGGATACAGTTTGATGACAATCATAACACAGCGCACCTCGGATTAAGATGGGATTTCATCGCAAAAAATCAACTGCCAGGTCAACCAGACAGATTATTCCACATCCCGGCGCTATCCTCTATTCTCGGATCAGAAGATACACAAGACCTATCACTGTGTCCGGTAAGAGCGCTCAAAGTTTATTTACGACGATCCAAAACAAGGAGAAGATTTCTCAAACGTTTATTCATCCCCTTATCGCCTACGAATCAAACAGAAGTGTCACGGACCACAATATCTATTTGGATAAGGACTGTCATTCTCCGTGCCTACAAGGCAGCAGGCTTGGACCCACCAACAGCATCAAATCCACATGAGATCAGGGCACTGGCCTCTACCCTCGCCCTACACGGTAACTGTTCCTTGAACACGATTATGGAAGGATGCTATTGGAAATCTAACATGGTATTTGCTAATCACTACCTGAGAGACATCACTACAGAAGATGTCTCTGGCATTCACCATTTCGGACCACTGGTCCTCGCTCAGCAACTGACAGTCCCTCGTGGCGTTAAAATATTATCCTCACAAGATTAATATGTATTTTATACATACTCATCTAGCTTATAACTCTGACGGAGTTTTAGGGCTATGTATATATGTTCAGCTTAAGTATTCAACCTTAAGCATATACTTTGGTATAGTCAATTTCAGTGCCTCTATCAGAGTCACCTATATATATATATATAATTTATATGTATTGTTCAATATATTCATAATGTAATTCCCTTTAATGGCTTTATATAACCTATGGTTTCTTTATACAGGAAACATCCTAAATCTAAGCCTTCATGAAAGTTCCGTGTGGGATATTTACAGTATATCTATACAAAATCACTAATTATAAATCCAAAGTATTCTGTTACCCACCTCCGCTCGTAGGATGCTACAAGCAAAAGAGAGCATGAGTCAGGATAAGGAAAAATATGTAATTTTAGAGTAAAATTGATATTTTATACTTATCCTGACTCATGAGGTTATCCTCCCATCCTCCCCACATAACACTTTGGATTTCCTGTAAATTCAAGTGTTGGGCTCGCTAAATCAGGAGAGAGTGGAGCACATGGCCAGAGGGTGGCGACACCTTTCCCGCCAGGGGAAGCAAAGGGGGAGCAACTCGTGGTGAGTACCAATTAGTGATTTTATTTTGAAGGGAGCTTCAAATAAGGAGATACAAGTGTTCCACTATGTTCGCAAGAAGAAGAAGACAAGCAAAAGAGCATGAGTCAGGATAAGTATAAAATATCAATTTTACTCTAAAAATTACATTTTTGACAGCTGGATGTCTTCCGCTCTCTCAGTCCCTCGAATCTGAAATGTTTCAGTCACATAAAACAGAAACAGTAATTACAATTTAAGGGATAAGCTTTTCCTTGATGCTCTGCAGGACATTTACCTGTCCTCCATGTTTGATGGTCACACAATCTGTATCCTTTCTGACTTGTCGTTTCAGCTCAATCCCATCCCTACATTCAGCCCCCGGCGGAGAGCAGAGGCAGAGGAGACGCAGGAGGTCTGTTGCCTAGTTACTGACTTAATATATTAATATACACCAGGAAAATGTCAAGCAATAACCCTTCCTATTTACCTAAATCCTTTGTGTCTGGGGCGGTGGGGTTACCAAGTGGTTAAAGCGTTCGCTGGTCACCCCGAAGACCTGGGTTTGATTCCCCACATGGGTACGTTGTGTGTGGCCCATTTCCTGGTGTCTCCCTGACGTGATATTGCTGGAATATTGCTAAAAGCGGCGTAAAACTAAACTCACTCACTCCTTCGTGTCCACGCATTTGTAATGGTTACAGGTGACACTGATATCATGGTGATAGATATGTACCTGACCACAGATACACTTCCACAACACTCAATGTTCAACCAGATGGCTGCATGTATGCGTTCTATATGATCCAAACAGAAGGAGCACTCTGAGAACTATTGACCACAGAAACTTTCACTTTTTCAGTTGTCAGTGTGACTATATAACTTGATTTGTAAACAAATGTGTTTTGACTGACAAATTTGGCACAAATTTTAGAAATGAAAACAATGCAGGGTACAATGATTAGCAGATTTTAGTTTTTTATTTAAATATAAAAAACCTGACTTACTTTCTGTAAAAATATTCAATTGTTTAAAAAAACTAACTTAAGCCCTGGGATAGGTCACAAGTAACAAACACCGACAGTTGACCAAATGCTGTCAGCGACAAGTATTGTGCTAAAAAGAATTTAAATGAAAATTTGAATGTTTTCAAAGTAAGATTAATCAGCATTTGTGAGGTCTGTATTAACTCACACATTCTGTTTCAGACGTAGCAAGTCTCCAGGCGGCAAGAGGCCTCCGGAGGAGCTGAGGAAGTACATCGAGTACGTATTCTAGGGGTTGCGTTCATCCCAGACCAACACTCGTACAGCCATTGAGCTAATCAGTTGCATATGTAGCAGCACGGTTGTGGATGCTATTTCACACTGTTTTCACACTGAGCATGATACCGTTAAAAAGTAACAAACAATGTTTCCTCTCAGTTGCAGACCGTTTTATGTACAACATTGTCTCTCTTGTATAAAATCTATCATGAGTAGGTCCACACAAAATACATTCACAAATGATGGTTCACTTTGATGCCTTGTAATAAGACTGCTGATGTTTCAGATACGGACTGGTGGACACGCAGGGCATGTCCGAAGACCAGATGCGCGAGATCACATACACGAAAATAGAGTGAGTACACCTTGACTGTGAACAAAGATGGAGTCAGCCATGACATGGAAATATCTCTTTCACTGAACACAGCTTCCTAACAGGCACATTTATGCTCAGAAGACCAAAAATGAAACTGTGACTTAAAATCTTTTGTTGATTCAGGCAGTATAGTATGTTACCATTAACGTTCTCACAACTTGAACCACCAGGCTGTCCCAACATCCCCTAAAGTATGGTCATGCCACAGGCCTTGGTTTGAATGGGCTCCGTTCATGAGTGCCCGCCTCTCTATTGATGGAATATTGAAATTATGGAGTGAGGGCAACTCACTCAGTCACGTGTATTGGGACACTGATGTGATATTGTGACACGGATGCATCAACTAGAATGGTTACATTTCTTTGATTAAATCATTATTCTGTTTGGTGACAACAGATATTTGAGGACAACAGGGAACATGTTTTGAATTGTACGTTGCATTATTTTTTAAACAAAATGTTTGGATGAAAGGGAACTGACTGATGCTTGGTGAATGTTGTTTCATTGGGGGTTGATGCAGAGCAATGTTTCACATTACAGACGTTCAAACTGCCATTGAGGAAGATCTGTTAGTTAAAGGGAGATAACTTCTGTAGCAAGTGAAACAGATTTGTTGTGACATTTATTTCAGAACCAAAGCTGAACCTTTTAAGATCAAATACTCCCCCAAGACCCGACAGAAGATGCGAGCAGCGAGAAGGAAAAGCTTTGGGTAAGTGGAGGTGACTCGGAGAAACAAGAATACAGACAGGGAGCAGTATGTAGAAACATAGTAATGATCCATAGAACAGATCAGAAATCAAGTGAAGTGTAAATGGACTTAAAGTTTCATTCACATCAGTGAAACATCCTATATCCTATAATTCTTGAAATTCTTTGAGCATCTTTTTTCTGGGTCTCTTGTGACACAACCAACAATTTGCTGTTAAGAATTACAGCAGTTTCCCTTGCAAGAAATCTGCTATGGTGGGTTAGGACAATAGATTCATCTTCAGTAAGTTTGTTGATGCCATGCCTGTTCTTCCCCTGAGTGGTAAACATCTGAGGCATGCTTCAGCTCAGCCTTTGCTCTCACTCACCGTGTAATGTTACCAGCCATGTTTATCGAGGGTTGTTGTTCATCCGAGTATTTCCAAGTTGTTCAGTTGTATGTCACGATCAGAAGTCTCCTGATCTGGAGCATGTGATCTTCTCCTGGACCCAAATTCTTGAAAACAACTGAAGTCTGAGTTTTGGCTTAAGTTGGGGTGTTTACTGAAATTTAATAGAAAATCCACCAATTTTCCCCAAATAAACTGAAATTGATATTAAACTTGGTGAACAGTTTGAGTTGGTAGATGGTTTAATAAAGTTTTTTTAGGTTTCTTATTTTTTAAACTTATCCTATCTCACGACTTGCACCTCTCTCTCTTGCTTCGACTTTTAGTGGAACGACTGTAAACTTTTTTTCATAGGCCTCCTTGTCCATTCGCCCGTGCACTCCATGCTGCTCTCCTTAATTAGCTTCCTAGTTCCTAATAAGCTTGCAGCAAGCTCCACTAATTGCCCACGTGACTACCTTGAATGATCATTCTCTTTCTTGTCGCACGACTGTGCGGACGTGCTGTATATTAGGGACATTATTTCACCCTAACATCATGGGGAAAACTGATAATCAGTCAAGGAAAAGGAAAGTTTGTGCTCAATGCAAGACGAATTATTCGTCCCTCGACCCTCACTCGTCTTGCAGTGACTGTATTGGACAATGTAACTGGGACAAACGATGTGGCAAGTGTAATTCACTAAAAGATGAGGATTTTAAGTCCTACCTTCGTGTTTGCTCCCGGAGAATCGCCGATAGGGACAGGAAATCAACAGAATCTGATCCCACTCCCGCCAAACATATCAAGTTACAGCGACAGAAATTCGTACCTTCACGCAAGAGAGCGACGTCTGTGGTTCAAGAGGATTTTATGGACGCTTCATCAGATTCTTACTTATCTGAGGATGTTCGGCACCTATTACGTATGCATCAATCACCTCCTTCCATAGCATCAGATCACTTGCGGTCGGTTGTGATCGATAATTCTTAGTTGCCTGTCCCATTTACACTTCCAGGGCACCTTAGATCGACACTATCATCATCCAGATCATCGGTACATATCCCCTCAACTGTCTCAGTTTGTTTGTGGCCTGGCCAACCGCGTTCAACCAGCCAACTGTATCCCCACAGTTCATTGAACCAGAAGGAGCTGGCTACAACAGCGTCGCCGGGGGACGTTCATCATGAATCAACACTTCAGGTTTCGTCACCTAATCGCCGATCCAGATTGCCACATCATACTAGATCACCACAACGATCTAGATCACCTTCACGATCCAGATCACCATCACAAGCCCGATCTAGATCAAGGTGCCGATCAAGATCACCGGATCGATCCAGAGCACAACTACGATCCACATCACCGGATCAATCCAGATCACCTAACCGATCCAGATCACCAAACGGGTCCAGATCACAACTTCGAATCAGATGACCGGTCAGATCCAGATCACCTAGCCGATCCAGATCACTGAACCGATCCAGATCACTGAACCGATCCAGATCACAACATCGAAGTAGATCATCAGACCGATCCAGATCACCTAATCGATCCAGATCACCGAATGGATCCAGATCTCAACTTTGAATCAGATCACCCGAACGATCCTGATCACCGAATGGATCCAGATCACAACCTCGAATTAGATCACCGGACCGATCTAGGTCACTTAACCGATCCAGATCACAACATCGAAGTAGATCGCCAGACCAATCCAGATCACCGGACCGATCCAGATCACAACATCAAAGTAGATCACCTAACCGATCCAGATCACCAAATCAAGCCAGATCGCAACTGCAAACCAGATCACCGATTCGATCTAGATGGTTGAACCAGAGCTCCAATCAGAACCAGATCACCAACTAGAACTACAGCGACCCGGACTAGTTCTTCATATCATACCGGATCACCTAGCCATACTAGGGAATCCAGATCACCGGCTTACCAACCTACCTCGGTACTTACCATGTCGAGATCTCGATACAGTTCCTCTGACCAACGTTTGGGTGATCATTGCTCTGATACCACTAATAGGCCTACAGTCTCTTATGATGTTCTGTCTACACGCTCTGAGAATCCTTCAACTCGCTTTAGGATCATCGCTGAGTCATGGGAACCTGATAACACTCCTACAGCGACTCCGGATCTAAATATGATGATCAGGGCCATAACCACAGCCTGGAACCAAATACAGCCTTCTATTCCAGCCCATCCGGCCTCGGTAGCTCCTGGCTCTTCATCTGGTTCGCCTCCTGAGATTGATCAAGTCCAAATAGCCGTGCCTGCATCTCCCGCTCACTCTGAGTTATCTATCCCCGGGGGTAGCTTTGCAGCAGTTGAGACACCTCAGGTACTCCTTTGGATTGTTGAGAAGCTCCAACTTCCCTTGAGTACTTCAGCAGATGACCTGGATCACTCTTATACTCTTAGGAACCGGGATTGGTCTACCATCACCCTACCACCTCGACCTTGTATTCTGAAATTAACCAGTACACTAAATGATGGTTTCAAGAGCCTGAAACGAATTAAGGACGGATTCTCTGCTCCCAGATATAATCCTTCTGGACCCCTTAACATCTCTTCATGGGAGGAGCGATTTAAAACAGAACTGTTTTGCCAGCTTTGGTTTACTGACTCCCTCTTCCATGGTAGCATACAAGAAGTATCTAATAAAGTTGATAAAGAAACCTGCTTTCATGTCTCGATTGAACTGTTAAAGATACAGAAGTCACAGCTCCAGGACTCATTAAAACAGCGTCGAACTGCACAGTTCACCCCTACCAATCCGGATTTACGCAATCTTTTTTGTGGCAGAGGAAACAGATCTGGCCGTGGTGGTTCCTTCTGTTGCCCCCCCCCCCAGGACCAACTCTGGCCCAGGGACCAGTGACGGCATCCGTACGTCACCAATCTGCTACTTCACGGCTATCAGCCAGCCTGGGATCTGTCCGTCGTCCTTCGTCATATGATTTCTACAGATTATGAACCTTTAGAAGACAAGGACTTCAAACAAGTGACATTCAAGACATTCTTCCTGGTAGCTTTGGCTACAACTGCTCGTATATCTGAACTGCATGCGCATGATGTCAATCAGGTGCGGTTCGAACGGAAGAAGCATGGCAAGGCTTTCCTGGGTCTCCGCTGGGACTTCATTGCGAAAAACCAACTGCCAGGGCAACCGGACCGGATGTGCCGTTGTCCACCATTCTTGGGCCTGATGTAGATTTGCCACTCTGCCCTGTTAGGGCTTTACACGTTTACCTTGCTGCCCCCAAGGATCGTCGACGGCTACAGAAGCGCCTCTTCATGCCCTTGTCGACCCCTTCAAGAACTGAGGTTTCCCTGACCACATTGGCCTTCTGGATGCATGCCACGATCCTGCGAGCCTACACCGTTGCAGGGTTGCCTCCTCCAGCTGCTTCCAATCCTCATGAGACTCATGCACTAGCCTCGACGATGGCCCTCCATAGCAACTGTTCCTTGACCGCTATCATGGAAGGATGCTTCTGGTGTTCTGATACAGTCTTCTCTTCACATTACCTGCGAGACGTGTCTGTCACGGATGTCCAGGGACTACACCAGTTCGGACCTCTTGTACTGGCTCAGCAGCTTACATCGGCCCAACAACGCAGATGAGGGACGGTTCCGCATTCGCGTTACTACTTCCTTGTATATACTGAATAAAAGTTGGATCTCAACCTTTTGTTCTCATTATATGGGTTTAAAAACTACTTCACTTGGCCTCCATCATACCAAGGCATAGGAAAACGGCCACCTAGCGTGGCCCTACCGACCTGAGGCACAATCAGTATGACAATGCAGAGGTGTTCGACATTCACGCTTACTGACCTCTACTCCACGGAGCAATTACGTCAGTGAAGTGTGACACTCCCAAATTCCAGTGGATTTTTTGCGTTCTGCCTCCAAAGTTACTGGGCACATCCTTTGACTAAGCTTAGGCAAAGGAGTGAGGGTCAATTTGATGCTGCCCGGAACTGAACGTTAAACCTTGGAGATGCCGAGTTGTGTTTCTCTTTCACCCACCCGTCTGGGGGACCTTCTTGAAGCAGGGTCTTGCCAGATTCTAGTCGCAAGACTTTAATTACGGGGGTACCTTGTAAATCGTGGCCAGGCGAGGCCTACTTACCGAGTTGCGTCCCTTGTCTTGTACAAGGTTGCGGACGAATACCACATCGCTCGGGAGTCGTTGTGCTTAATAAGCCAAGGGGTTCCGGAGAACCCACTACAAGCATAGGAGTTGCGTGCATGCGTAACAGGCCTCCCTTGTACATCGCTATCTACGGTTGTCATCAGTCCACACAGCTCCAAGACCACCTGTTTGCACTGTCCAGACAGAAGGGTAATCTGCGGCCCGCCGTCCAACCGAGGGATAAGTGCAAGTTGTGAGATAGGATAACTTTAAAAATTTGGAAAATTTGAATATAAATTGTATATTTATATACTTATCCTATCTCACGCGATGGATGCCCGCCCGGCCTCCCCACTACTCAGATTACAACGATGGCTCCAAGATGAGAATGATCATTCAAGGTAGTCACGTGGGCAATTAGTGGAGCTTGCTGCAAGCTTTATTAGGAACTAGGAAGCTAATTAAGGAGAGTAGCATGGAGTGCACGGGCAAATGGACAAGGAGGCCTATGGAAAAAAGTTTACAGTCGTTCCACTAAAAGTCGAAGCAAGAGAGAGAGGTGCAAGTCATGAGATAGGATAAGTATATAAATGTACAATTTATATTAAAATTTCCAATTTTTGAGAACTGAGTTAGAAACTCAGCTTGTTCAAATTGTCAAACTTGGTTTGAAATTGATAAAAAAATTAATTTTGTTTTGAGAAATCACAGCCAATGTTCCAAGTTGTGATGATCTGTTCACAGTGAGTCTGACCGAAACTCCCAGGCTGGGCTATCAGACAAGGGCAGTGTGACGCAGTACCATTTGTCTGGCAGAGAGAATACACAAAACAGACATAGTGGTTACTATGACAACTACTCAAATTCTGAAAACAACAGGTGAGCATGCTCAGAGAAGATTGCTTTGAGATAGTTTCATGGATTGTTGTGATTGGTCTTGGATTATTGTGATGGAGACTATGGTGATCTATATATTCCCCTGTGGCCTGTATGAATATCTGTATATTCCCCAGTTCTCGGCAGCGAGACAGTTACGGCCAGGTGCAATCTTCCCCTGTGGTTCACATGCAGGATATGCAGATGGCGCCTGTTGTTCGGACAAGGGTGAGATCATGTTGGAGATTGTTGTGTGCAAATAAAGTGATTGTTTTCTTTCTGTCCAGATGCATATTTGGAGCTGTTTCATTAGAAAGGAAACATGGCAAACTAGCTCTGTGACAGTAAAATACTGATAGGCATTTTTTATATGAGTTAGTTGATTGCAAACTGATGATTTCTTGTAATGTTCAGAACTCTCACCAAATCAACATGGACGTGAGTCAACACAGTCAGCACAGTAGTCACAGTCAGCAGTCACGCCACCACTACCACAGAGAGGAGCGCAACAGTGTGTACCAGGTATGTGTAGTGTGTACCACATATGTGTCCTGTGTAGCGTGTACCATGTATGTGTCCTGTGTATGTTGTGTCCCAGGTATGTGTCCTGTGTAGTGTGTACCACATATGTGTCCTGTGTAGCATGTACCACGTATGTGTCCTGTGTAGTGTGTACCACGTATGTGTCCTGTGTAGCATGTACCAGGTATGTGTCCTGTGTAGTGTGTACCACATATGTGTCCTGTGTAGTATGTACCAGGTATGTGTCCTGTGTAGTGTGTACCAGGTATGTGTCCTGTGTAGTGTGTACCACGTATGTGTCCTGTGTAGTGTGTACCAGGTATGTGTCCTGTGTAGTGTGTACCACATATGTGTCCTGTGTAGCATGTACCAGGTATGTGTCCTGTGTAGTGTATACCAGGTATGTGTCCTGTGTAGTGTGTACCAGGTATGTGTCCTGTGTAGCATGTACCAGGTATGTGTCCTGTGTAGTGTATACCACGTATCTGTCCTGTATAGTGTGTACCACGTATGTGTCCTGTGTAGTGTGTACCACGTATGTGTCCTGTGTAGCATGTACCAGGTATGTGTCCTGTATAGTGTATACCACGTGTATCCTGTGTAGTGTGTACCAGGTATGTGTCCTGTGTAGTGTGTACCAGGTGTGTGTCCTGTAGTGTGTGTACCACGTATGTGTCCTGTGTGTAGTGTGTACCAGGTATGTGTCCTGTGTAGTGTGTACCAGGTATGTGTCCTGTGTAGTGTGTACCAGGTATGTGTCCTGTGTAGTGTGTACCACATATGTGTCCTGTGTGTAGTGTATACCAGGTATGTGTCCTGTGTAGTGTGTACCACGTATGTGTCCTGTGTAGTGTGTACCAGGTATGTGTCCTGTGTAGTGTATACCACGTATGTGTCCTGTATAGTGTGTACCACGTATGTGTCCTGTGTAGTGTGTACCACGTATGTGTCCTGTGTAGTGTGTACCACGTATGTGTCCTGTGTAGTGTGTACCAGGTATGTGTCCTGTATAGTGTGTACCAGGTATGTGTCCTGTGTAGTGTATACCAGGTATGTGTCCTGTGTAGTGTGTACCAGGTATGTGTCCTGTGTAGTGTGTACCATGTATGTGTCCTGTGTAGTGTGTACCAGGTATGTGTCCTGTGTAGTGTGTACCAGGTATGTGTCCTGTGTAGTGTGTACCAGGTATGTGTCCTGTGTAGTGTGTACCAGGTATGTGTCCTGTGTAGTGTGTACCAGGTATGTGTCCTGTGTAGTGTGTACCAGGTATGTGTCCTGTGTAGTGTGTACCACATATGTGTCCTGTGTAGTGTGTACCATATATATGTACTGTGTAGCTTATACCACATATGTGTCATGTGTAGCATGTACCAGGTATGTGTCCTGTGTAGTGTGTACCACGTATGTGTCCTGTGTAGCGTATACAACATATGTGTCCTGTGTAGGGTGTACCATATATATGTGTACTGTGTATTGTGCACCACATGTGTCCTGTGTAGCGTATACCACATATGTGTCCTGACTGTGTATGTGTGTACCACATATGTGTCCTGACTCTGTAGTGTACCACATAGTGTCCTGACTCTGGAGTGTACCATATGGCATGCATGTGTGTGATGTGTAGGTGCTGCTTGTACTAGCCCAGACTTGTCCTGGTTTTATAGTGCTAGCCCACTGAGATACCATGTGTCCTGAAGCATGAATACCCCACAGATGTGTACTGACTCGAGCCGACCAGTCCTTGTTGTACCCATTAATGCCGACTCTAGCCAGCGGCCCCAAAAAGTCCATATTTTAACGCCTTTTGTATGATGCGATCGGGATCGAACCCGCCTGACCTGTATTGTCTCCACATATGTGTCCTGACTGTGTATTGTGTACCACATGTGTCCTGACTGTGTATTGTGTACCACATGTGTCCTGACTGTGTATTGTGTACCACATATGTGTCCTGACTGTGTATTGTGTACCACATATGTGTCCTGACTGTGTATTGTGTACCACATATGTGTCCTGACTGTATTGTGTACCACATATGTGTCCTGACTGTGTATTGTGTACCACATGTGTCCTGACTGTGTATTGTGTACCACATATGTGTCCTGACTGTGTATTGTGTACCACATATGTGTCCTGACTGTGTATTGTGTACCACATATGTGTCCTGACTGTGTATTGTGTACCACATATGTGTCCTGACTGTGTATTGTGTACCACATATGTGTCCTGACTGTGTATTGTGGACCACATGTGTGTCCTGACTGTGTATTGTGTAGATTGACAATGACATGTGTCCTGACTGTGTATTGTGTAAAACAAAGGCCTGTATCCTGGAGCCGGAGTGTATCGGCCATACAAATGTATATATGAGGATGATGATGATGAGTACCATATGTGTCCTGACTGGTATTGTGTACCAGGTGTATCATCCCTAGTGTGTATTTGTTCACTGCATGAGACCTCAGGGACGAGATCCCAACACTGAGAGGCAACCAGCACCTACAACCCAGAGCATTACAATACACAGAGGTGAGACTCTTACCTGACTGGGCATTGTAGGGGGAGAGGGAGAGCTGAGGGTGTGGGCAGGGCCTGTAGTGATGCGGGTTGACAGGCAGCACCTACACCCTCACCTAGCCAGGCACTGTGGGTCGAAGAAGGGCTGGGGTGAGGGCAGGGCCTGTAGTGATGGGGGTTGACAGGCAGCATCTACACCCTCACCTGGCCGGGCACTGTGGGTCGAAGAAGGGCTGGGGTGAGCGCAGGGCCTGTAGTGATGGGGGTTGACAGGCATCACCTACACCCTCATTTGGCTGGGCACATGGGGGAGAGAGAGGGTTGACGGTGTGGGCGGGGGCCTGTAGTGATGGGGGTTGACAGGCAGCACCTACCCACTCACCTCACTGGGCACTGTGGGGGAGTTAGGGCTGAGGTTGTGTCCTGCTACAGCTTTAGCTGTGTGGGGAGGTTGTGGATGTTGTGTCCTGCTACAGCTGTAGCTGTGTGGGGAGGTTGTGGATGTTGTGTCTTGCTACAGCTGTAACTGTGTGGGGAGGTTGTGTCCTGCTAAAGCTGTAGGTGTGTGGGGAGGTTGTGGATGTTATGTCCTGCTACAGCTTTATGCTGTGTAGGGAGGTTGTGTCCTGCTACAGCTGTAGCTGTGTAGGGAGGTTGTGTCCTGCTACAGCTGTAGCTGTGTGGAGGTTGTGGATGTTATGTCCTGCTACAGCTGTAGCTGTGTGGGGAGGTTGTGGATGTTGTGTCTTGCTACAGCTGTAACTGTGTGGGGAGGGGTTGTCCTGCTACAGCTGTAGCTGTGTGGGGAGGTTGTCTCCTGCTACAGCTGTAGCTGTGTGGGGAGGTTGTGTCCTGCTACAGCTGTAGGTGTGTGGAGAGGTTGTGTCCTGCTACAGCTGTAGGTGTGTGGGGAGGTTGTGTCCTGCTACAGCTGTAGCTGTGTGGAGAGGTTGTGAATGTTGTGTCTTGCTAAAGCTGTAGCAATATTGTCTGGTTGTGATATTGTTACAATATTGGTTTGATTCATTTCTTCATTCCACTGATATTTAACATCATGTTGCTATGCTACCATATTGCTATTGCCACACTGAGGCATGAGTTTGTACCACACAACACTATCACGTGGCATGTAGCGACACTGAACATGTCAACCACAACTTGTTATACTTACTTTGACTTCCCCAAACTCAGGTCACAGAAACTGGCAAACAAATTTTTGTACTGCTAGTGAGAATTATTTTTGGAAAATAATAATGTTCCTGAATTTTAAAAGAGTTTTACTGAAAATGTCCCTGAATTCTAATGTCTAATTTTGTCTTTAAATGGTCTTAGCACCAGTGTTCAGGTTTTTAGGCATCCTGTTGATTCAGCAGTAGCCCTCTGTTTCTGTACAAATTTGTGGCAACCCTGGACAATAAGATTGCAGAGGCCTACATCTTTAGTGAATAAAGAACAAATGTAATCCTGTTTGGCTCAGCTGGTGTGTGACCTGAGGATTCCCTGTCATTATGCGTTGTCTGTGATCAAGAGAATCTTTGGACATGAAAGAAGATAAGAAATGAGAGGATGCTGGGATGATTGGCTGTTATGGATGACAGTATGTTTCATATCAATTTGTAGTTACTACATGTTTTTACATTGAAACTATTGTTCATTGTGTTATATCATTCTTCTCATGTTTCATATCATCAGAGGTCTGACCTTTAGGAGACAAGTTCCATTTGTATAATTATCCATGTTCAAAACAATTACAAAGGCTTTCCCTTCAAAATTTGTTGAACGGAAAATATAATTTTTGAAAATGAAAAATTTGGGTGTGATGTTCTAGATCTGATCCTTACAAAGAGCAGCTTCAAAGATGGCAGAAAACTTTAATTCCCCCCCAAGGATAACAGGTATTCTGTTTGCAGACAGTTAACCCGTCTAATACTGTACCCTCTTCCTTCAACTCATTACCTCTGCATGATCTTTCTCCGTATCATCAAGTAGTTCTAGATGAGAACAATGGGCTTTCTCACTTGCAGGATCTGGGGTCAACATTCAGTTTTTATTGTTGTGGGAGGGGCGGTGGGGTAGCCTAATGGTTAAAGCGTCGGCTCGTCACGCTGACGACCCGGGTTCGAATCCCCACATGGGCACAATGTGTGAAGCCCATTTATGGTGTCCCCCGCCGTGATATTGCTGGAATATTGCTAAAAGCGGCGTAAAACCCAACTCACTCACTCACTCACTATTGTTGTGGGATAATCTGCAAAAATTATCCGATATTTCATGAATGTTTCTGTGGTTTGATAGAACTATTTCAGTTTGCAGTTTGGATAACACTAACAAGATCGTGGATTGAATTGTGTACTGTCACTGGAATGTATCAATCAAATTCATTATCATTAACACATACAGCTTTTAGTTCATTTTATTTCTCTTTTACACCAATAAGGAAATATGAACTGTAAAGCAAATATTATTTTCTGATATTCTTTTTCTGCTTCCCTTAAAGATTTGTGTTGTGTTTGCTTGAAGCAAGAGCTCCCAAGATACCACATATTTTTATGCATGATTGATAAGCTAACAACAGATTGATGTTTATGAATCTGATGTACCATGATAAAGTTGCATTGTACATTGGCATCTCATTGAGGTAAATATTTGTCGCCTTGCTGGGATTCCAGGTTAGCTGTCCCCAGCAGTCTATGCTTGTTGTAGGAAGAGATTGAAAGGGTTGGATGGTCAGACTGTGTTCCATTGTATCCTAACACCTTAGATTGTTGATCAATCAATCAATCACTGGATTGTCTGGTCAAATGACAGAAAGGCTGCTGCTGTCAAGAAGGAATATTGCAGAGTGCAGCATTAAACATCAAAGAAACTAAATCAAATATGTGTTCTCAAATTGATCGATTTATTGAACCTGGCTTTGTTTAATGGCTAATGTTCTAATGAGATACTTGATATTCTGTACTAATTATAATTCACAGTATTTTGCATGTTTGAAGTTACTTCTAAGCACCTAACGTCTTTCCATGAAACACAGAATAATTCAGTATGTCATATATGTGGTGGAATGTTCAAAGTACATTGAATCCTTGAGTTATCTCCCTTTGATCATTGACAATGTTCTGTAATGTTTGCTGCAGAATGTGGAACAAATATCATAATTACAAACGGTAAGTATGATGTCAGGGTAGAGAGGAATGTCGCCGGTGTTGTCCTGTGCCTTACAGTCACTTCCCCCGTTCCCCCTACACCTCCTCATTGCGCTTACAGCCAAATGTCAGTTGGAAAATGCTGATTTTTAGTTGCAGTGTGCACTGTTTTCTGGGTACTGTTTTGCAGATATTTTATTTATTTGCTTATCTTATGTCATATTTTGTGTGCTTTGTTTGAAATGCACAATTTGTACAACAACATTTCAAACATCAGCTTCATGGTTCAGCATGATGGTTTGAGGTTTGCATGATCACAATGATTGGACTTAGCTGAGAATATGTTGCTAATTTGTCCAAGAAACATCATTCCATACTTCAAAAGAAGAGGTATTTTATATAGACAATTGAATAGCACATTCTGTAGGAGTAAGATATATACACACACAGTGTATTCAAATGATGTATACTAACAGGGTTTAAACACAGTATGTACATGTATACACACATTGTGTGTGTAATAACAGTGTATACTTTTCAAATGCTGATAAACACAGATTTTACAGATAGCATACAGATAATCTACCCAAACATGAGAGGTGATATATACCAGTATACATATTACACAGCATATAAGCACGCTGTATAGATGTGAACATATGTGCTCTATGTGGATAATGTATACACCCAATACAGATAAGATAATATATACACCCAATACAGATAATAAGATAATATATACACCCAATACAGATAAGATAATATATACACCCAATACAGATAATAAGATAATATATACACCCAATACAGATAATAAGATAATATATACACCCAATACAGATAATAAGATAATATATACACCCAATACAGATAATAAGATAATATATACACCCAATACAGATAATAAGATAATATATACACCCAGATAAGATAATATATACACCCAATACAGATAATGTATACACCCAATACAGATAAGATAATAATGTATACACCCAATACAGATAATATATACACCCAATATATACACCCAATACAGATAAGATAATATATACACCCAATACAGATAATATATAATATATAATATACACATCCAATACAGATAATATATACACCCAATACAGATAAGATAATATATATACACCAATACAGATAATAAATACACACAATACAGATAAGAGATAATATAATATATACCCAATATGGATAAGATAGTATGTACAATACAGATAAGATAATATATACACCCAATACAGATAAGATAATATATACACCCAATACAGATAATAAGATAATATATACACCCAATACAGATACAGATAATATATACAATACAGATAATACAGATAAGATAACCCAATGCAGATGTATATCCAATACAGATAAGATAATATACATCCAATACAGATAATATCTAATATAAATACTGATAAGATAATATATATCCACTACAATATATAAGATAATATATGCACCCAATACAGATAATAAGATAATATATACACCCAATACAGATAAGATAATATATACACCCAATACAGATAAGCTAATATATACACCCAATACAGATAATATCCACACCCATCATAGATAATATCCACTCACAATACAGATAATATATACACCCAATACAGATAAGATAAGATATATATACATCCAATACAGATAATATCCATTCACAATACAGATAATATCCACACACTACATATAATATCCATTCACAATAAAGATAATATCCACACACACTACAGATAATATCCACTCACAATACAGATAATATATACACCCAATACAGATAAGATAATATATACATCCAATACAGATAATATCCATTCACAATACAGATAATATCCACACACTACATTTAATATCCATTCACAATAAAGATAATATCCACACACACTACAGATAATATCCACTCACAATACAGATAATATATACACACAATACAGATAATATAATATATACACCCAATACAGATAAGATACACCCATATAGATACATCCAATACAGATAATATCCACACCCATTACATAGATAATATCCACTCACAATACAGATAATATATACACCCAATACAGATAATATAGATATATACATCCAATACAGATAATATCCACACACATACAGATAATATCCACTCACAATACAGATAATATATACACCCAATACAGATAAGATAGTATATACACCCAATACAGATAATATCCACACCCATCATAGATAATATCCACTCACAATACAGATAATATATACACCCAATACAGATAAGATAATATATACACCCAATACAGATAAGATAGTATATACATCCAATACAGATAATATCCACACCCATCATAGATTATATCCACTACCAATATAGATAATATATACACCCAATACAGATAAGATAGTATATACATCCAATACAGATAATATCCATACACACTACAGATAATATCCACCATACAGATAATATATATTCATAAAGATAATATCCATACAGATAATATGGCACACTGTATCTGTACAGGAAGTATGTTACAAGAAAAGTTTGTTTGTCTGATTAGGTCCACACAGATAGGGTGAGCCTGTGAATACATTGTTTCACCAGTACATCAGTGCCATTGTTCATGTGAAATGTTTGCATGAGATCCCTGGCCAAGCTGTCATCAGCCATTGTTTCACACATCCGGCAAGTAGCTGGCATCCGTTAGTGTGTCAAGTTTTTGCTTGAGTATGAGTTTTTTTCGTCACAGTTTGTGCATATCATTTGTTTTTGTGAAGATTGAGATTTTCAGGGGTGTTTAATCAATGTGAAAGAGATTATTTATTTTGTATACTATTGCATCAGTGTTAGATTATTGTTGGACAGAATTCACAATTTCATGTCAATATGTTTTTATAAACAAAAAGAATAGTTTCTTTAAACAGCAATTGCTTGATTTGCTTTTGTAACTAAACTGTGCTAATGACCATCATTGGATAATTCAGCTTGTAACAAAGTGTAGGATAAGGGATGGAAGTGTCACTGCAGAACGTCAAGTGTATAATCCCTAGCTAGAACACAATGACAAGTAAATGAACACAGAACTGTGGGCTAGGTTGATAATTATACCCTCTATGAGCATACACTCAGGGGAGTTCTCGTACACCCATTGGGAAACTTTTAGTATTTCTGTTCATGACTATGTGATATCCATGGTGTCAAGTTGCTGCAGAGAGATTATCTCATTTTGTCATGTTGGTAGCTGTATCTGAGAGTGATATCTCATTTTGTCATGTTGGTAGCTGTATCTGAGAGTGATATATGTTGGTAGTTGCAAGCTGGGAGTGATATCTTATTTTTGTGATATGATATCTTATTTTGTCATGTTGGTAGCTGTATCTGAGAGTGATATCTCATTTTGTCATGTTGGTAGCTGTATCTGAGAGTGATATCTCATTTTGTCATGTTGGTAGCTGTATCTGAGAGTGATATCTTATTTTGTCATGTTGGTAGCTGTATCTGAGAGTGATATCTCATTTTGTCATGTTTGTCATGTTGGTAGCTGTATCTGAGAGTGATATCATTTTTGTCATGTTGGTAGCTGTATCTGAGAGTGATATCTCATTTGTCATGTTGGTAGCTGTATCTGAGAGTGATATTTTGTCATTTTGAGTGATATCTTATTTTCTCATTTTGTCATGTTGGTAGTTGTCATGTTGGTAGCTGTATCTGAGAGTGATATCTTATTTTGTCATGTTGGTAGTTGTATCGGAGAGTGATATCTCATTTTGGTCATGTATGGTAGTGGGGCATGTTGGTAGTCTAGTGGATATCTCATTTTGTCATGTTGGTAGCTGTATCTGAGAGTGATATCATTTTGTCATGTTGGTACAATGTATCTGAGAGTGATATCTCATTTTGTCATGTTGGTGATATCTTATTTTGTCATGTTGGTAGTTGTCAGTCAGAGTGATAGTAGTTTTTGTTGTTGGTAGAAGAGTGATATCTTATTTTGTCATGTTGGTAGTTGTATCTGAGAGTGATATCTCATTTTGTCATTTTGTCATGTTGGTAGTTGTGTTGGAGTGAGTGATATTGGTAGTTGTGTTTGTCAGTGATATCTGTTGGTAGTTGTATCTGAGAGTGATATCTTATTTTGTCATGTTGGTAGCTGTATCTGAGAGTGATATCTTATTTTGCCATGTTGGTAGTTGCTGTGTCAAGATGTTGAGTGATATCTTATTTTGTCATGTTGGTATCTGTATCTGAGAATGATATCTTATTTTGTCATGTTGGTAGTTGCAAGCTGAGAGTGATATCTTAGAGTGATATCTTGATATTTTGTCATGTTGGTAGTTGCAGCTGTGTCTGAAAGTGATATCTTATTTTGTCATGTTGGTAGTTGTGTCAGAGTGATATCTTATTTTGTCATGTTGGTAGTTGCAGCTGAGAGCATATTGTCATGTTGGTTGTTGTATGTGAAGATGATATCTTCTTTTGTGACGTTGGTAGCTGTATCTGAGAGTGATATCTTATTTTGTCATGTTGGTAGTTGTGTCTGAGAGTGATATCTTATTTTGTCATGTTGGTATCTGTATCTGAGAGTGATATCTTATTTTGTCATGTTGGTAGTTGTGTCTGAGAGTGATATCTTATTTTGTCATGTTGGTAGTTGCAAGTCGGAGAGTGATATCTTATTTTGTCATGTTGGTAGTTGTATGTGAAGATGATATCTTCTTTTGTGACGTTGGTAGCTGTATCAGAGAGTGATATCTTATTTTGTCATGTTGGTAGTTGTGTCGGAGAGTGATATCTTATTTTGTCATGTTGGTATCTGTATCTGAGAGTGATATCTTATTTTGCCATGTTGGTAGCTGTATCTGAGAGTGATATCTTATTTTGTCATGTTGGTAGTTGTATCTGAGAGTGATATCTTATTTTGCCATGTTGGTAGTTGTGTTGGAGAGTATTATCTTATTTTGCCATGTTGGTAGTTGTAAGATGGGAGTGATGTCTTATTTTGTCATGTTGGTGGCGCTATCTTAGATAGATGTCTCTTGTTGTCATGTTGCAGTTGCAGCTGAGAGTGATGTCTCATGTCATGTTGGTATTTGCAGCTGAGAGTGATGTCTCATCTTGTCATGTTGGTAGTTGCAGCTGAGATAGATGTCTCATGTTAGTAGTTGCAGCTGAGATTGATGTATCATATTGTCATGTTGGAGGTTGCAGCTGAGAGTGATGTCTCATATTGTCATGTTGGTAGTTACAGCTGAGATAGATGTCTCATATTGTCATGTGTTGTAGCTGCGAGACGTGTCTCATATTGTCATGTGTTGTAGCTGCGAGACGTGTCTCATATTGTCATGTGTTGCAGGTCACGCGGAGCAGTAGAGGGTGACAGATGGCATTCTGGTAGCCGCTCCACACATGGTTCCCGGGGCAGTGGACACCACACCTCACAACATCACACAACTCAGCAGACCAGACACCATCAGAATAGGTGGGTGGAAATGGAGGACGTCTCTTGCTTGTTGATTCATTATGACACCATCATGGCTAGAGATATAAAATAAGGTTAGATGCTACCACCAAGAGTGGTGTCATTACATACTACCACAAGAGGCGGAGCTGATGTCAACATCACACCCGAACTGACATACATGGCATGGTGCAACTGATTGTCAGGCAATCTTCCTCTGTGTTTCAGCTTCCAGTCATCACACAACTCGGGATACCATCATCTCCCCGAGGGCCCCACCCACACAGCCCCTCCCTTGGCACCGAACCCCTACCACCGGTCATCCTACAATGGAAGTGTCCAGGTAAGCCCTTCTCTGTCCTTGTTGGTGTGGGTCCTGTCTCTGCACACAGTGTAGTTGGTGAACATCCGTTCTGTGTGCTTGCAGGCGTAGAAAGATCCTTTCTCTTGACTTGTTGTACAGACAAGATAAGCCCCATCTCTGACCTGTAGTGCCAAGATAAGCCCCCTCTTTGACTTGTAGTGCCTAGATAGATTCCTCTCTGACTTGTTGCATAGCCTAGATTGATCCCATCTCTGACATGTTGTAGAACAGATAGATATCATCTCTGATCTGTTGTAGAGCCTAGATATATCCCTCTGTGACTTGTACAGTATAGATAGGCCCCTTCTCTGGCTTGTTGTACAGTCCAGATAGGCCCCTTTCTTGTTGGTTATACAGCCAAGATAGGCCCCTTCTCTGGCTTGTTGTAGAACCTTGATAGGACCCTTCACTGGCTTGTTGTACATCCTAGATAGGCCCCTTCTCTGACTTGTTGTAGAGCCTAGATAGGCCCCTTCTCTTGCTTGTTATACAGCCTAGATAGGCCCCTTCACTGGCTTGTTGTACAGCCTAGATAGGCCCCTTCTCTGGCTTGTTGTAGAGCCTAGATAGGCCCCTTCTCTTGCTTGTTATACAGCCTAGATAGGCCCCTTCACTGGCTTGTTGTACAGCCTAGATAGGCCCCTACTCTGACTTGTTGTGGTACCTAGATAGGCCCCTTCTCTGGCTTGTTGTACAGCCTAGATAGGCCCCTTCTCTGGCTTGTTATACAGCCTAGCTAGACCCCTTCTCTGACTTGTGGTACCTAGATAGGCCCCTTCTCTGGCTTGTTGTAGTACCTAGATAGGCCCCTGTTGTAGTGCCTAGATAGGCCCCTTCTCTGGCCCCTGTACTCTGGCCCTTCTCTGTACAGCCTAGATAGGCCCCTTCTCTGGCTTGTTGTACAGCCTAGATAGGCCCCTTCTCTGGCTTGTTGTACAGTCTAGATAGGCCCCTTCTCTGGCTTGTTGTATAGATAGGCCCCATAGTACTTGTTCTAGATAGATAGCCCCTTCTCTGGCTTGTTCTCTTGGCTGTAGTGTAGTCCTAGATAGGCCCCATCTCTGGCGTGTTGTACAGTCTAGATAGGCCCCTTCTCTGGCTTGTTGTACAGTCTAGATAGGCCCTTCTCTGGCGTGTTCTAGTACCTAGATAGGCCCCTTCTCTGGCTTGTTGTAAAGTCTAGATAGGCCCCTTCTCTGGCTTGTTCTACAGTACCTAGATAGGCCCCATCTCTGGCTTGTTGTAAAGTCTAGATAGGCCCCTTCTCTGGCGTGTACAGTCTAGATAGGCCCCTTCTCTGGCTTGTTTTAGTATAGATAGGCCCCTTCTCTGGCTTGCTGTACAGTATAGATAGGCCCCTTCTCTGGCTTGTTGTAGTACCTAGATAGGCCCCTTCTCTGGCTTGTTGTAGTACCTAGATAGGCCCCTTCTCTGGCTTGTTGTACAGTCTAGATAGGCCCCTCTCTGGCTTGTTGTAAAGTCTAGATAGGCCCCTTCTCTGGCGTGTTCTAGTACCTAGATAGGCCCCTCTCTGGCTTGTTGTAAAGTCTAGATAGGCCCTCTCTGGCGTGTTCTAGTACCTAGATAGGCCCCATCTCTGGCTTGTTGTAAAGTCTAGATAGGCCCCTTCTCTGGCGTGTTCTAGTACCTAGATAGGCCCCTTCTCTGGCTTGTTGTAAAGTCTAGATAGGCCCCTTCTGTTCTAGTACCTAGATAGGCCCCTCTCTTGTTGTAAAGTCTGGCTTCTCTGGCTTACCTAGATAGGCCCCATCTCTGGCTTGTTGTAAAGTCCTAGATAGGCCCCTTCTCTGGCTTTAGGCCTGTAAGTGTTCAGTCCTAGATAGGCCCCATCTCTGGCTTGTTGTAAAGTCTAGATAGGCCCCTTCTCTGGCAGTGTTCTAGTACCTAGATAGGCCCCATCTCTGGCTTGTTGTAAAGTCTAGATAGGCCCCTTCTCTGGCTTGCTACTGTACAGTCTAGATAGGCCCCTTCTCTGGCGTGTTCTAGTACCTAGATAGGCCCCTTCTCTGGCTTGTGTAAAGCTGGCTTGTTGTAAAGTCCCTAGATAGGCCCCTTCTCTGGCTTGTTGTACAGTCTAGATAGGCCCTTTCTCTGGCGTGTTCTAGTACCTAGATAGGCCCCTTCTCTGGCTTGCAGTACAGTATAGATAGGCCCCATCTCTGGCTTGTTGTACAGTCTAGATAGGCCCTTTCTCTGGCTTGTTGTAGTACCTAGATAGGTTCCTCTCTGACTTGAACAGCCTAGATAGGCCCCTTCTCTGGTTTGGACAGCGTAGATATCTCCCCTCTCTGACATGTTGTACATCTTAGATAGATCCCCTACTTCACTGACCAATGTGACCTGTATTGCTGTAGTAATTTTTGTGTTGCTGTATCCTGTGTATGCATGTGTTTTCTCTACAAATATTCATGTAATTTTATCTCTACTCTTAAATCTTTTTTACAGATTTAATACTTTGCCCAAATGATTTTGAGTGTGAGTTCTAGAATAGTTTCCATGATTATCTGGAAGTAAAGGTCAAGAGTATGGGTATTCTTTATCATGTTAATTTTAAAATTCCAGATAACATAATTATACTTTTCTAAAGTTTCAAAATAAATTGATTTTGATTACCTTGACCTTTACTGACTTGCATATAAATAACAGCTGCCCTAGTTATTTCATTAATACGAACAAAGATTATTTATTATATTGCTGTTTGTAAACTGTCTAAATGATGAAACACATAAATCTCTGAATGACCAGACCAGGTTTCTCCATGCTTTATAAGATGGATTCCAAATTTATCCTGTTTTATTTTGTAAAGGAAACATTCTCAATGACAAAGAAATGTTAGCATTTTACTGAGTTCGCATTAATGGAATAATTCTGGTACAGGCTTGTGAGGTTGGACTTGTATTTATTCTGCTAATCCTTTCACTGATGTAAGTGTGGTGAGTTTGTATCATCTAACAAATATACTAGGGACACCTAACAAGCTCTCTAGTTGGGGTGGGTCGGGGGTGTTTCAAGCGAATAGGTTGTCAGTACCTTGCACTTGCAGCAGACACAACCCATAATGGAGGTATAAGGGGGACTCAGTTGATTGAGACAATGTACACTGACACTGGCAAATGTTGTCAGCTTCTGTCGTCCAGACTAGGTGACAAACAGGCTGTAGTAATACATGTACGATTGTCTGCAACTCTTTGAGGAAGTGGCATAATCACACTGTCATGCAATTTCTCGGCAGATCATCTTCTGTCGACTGCACATGACCATGTCGTAGGTGGCTTATTGAGCAGTGGATGGCGACATCAGTATGTAATATACAGGCTTGGGGTATACATGCAATAGTGATGCTTGCTGTAGATGTGCACTCTTATAAAAAAAATATAACTTTCTTATGTTATCTTCAACTTTGGCATCAGAATCCACAAGCAAACACCCTTATTGATCAATCTCAATTCTTACAACAAGATCACCTACATCCTGTGTTATCCAGCCACTCAACTTCCCAGCATTGTTTCAGTCAGACTCACAGGGTATCTGGGGTAACACCAACCTTGGTTACCTTTATCAGGTGGTCAGTCCAAGGTGTCTTCAAGGTGTCTCTTTAGATTTGATGGTTAGGTTCTGTGACTTTGCTGATGGAGCGTCATTGAACCCAGATTATGTGAATTGTTGCTCATAGTAACTATCACAGGATTGTCTGGTCCAGACTTGTTTAAGTATGTCATATGGCTGAAGTATTCTTGATTATGGTGTCACCAATAAAACAAACCAACATGGTTAATTGCATTTAACAATCTCTCGCAGTATGAGATATTGCCATAGGAACTGTCAGCATTAATTCACAAAGGAAAGCAGATATCTGTACTCCGTAATTCCGAAACAATAGAATGTCAACGTGCTATTATTTACGGCATTGTGTTCATCTGCAGTCAAGCAGATGTCTTTATGGGTCATACATTAGCATGTCCTTCCCTGGTGATCGCTTGCTTGATAAAGGTAGTAGCATTTGTACAGAATTCTTCATTTCTACTACCATGACTACAGCTTCTAATAGACCTGTGAAGATCCGGGGTAGAATAGGTCTTCAGCAACCCATGTGCTTGCCATAAAAGGCGACTATGCTTGTCGTAAGAGGCGAACCTATCGGGATCGGGTGGTCAGTTTCGCTGACTTGGTTGACACATGTCATCGGTTCCCAATTACGCAGATCGATGCTCATGCTGTTGATCACTGGGTTGTCTGGTCCAGACTCGATTATTTACAGACCGCTGCCATATAGCTGGGATATTGCTGAGTGCTGCGTAAAACTAAACTCACTCACTCACTCACAGCTTCTAATATGCCATTTCAGAATAATGCCTTGATAGCCTGGAATTTACTGTCTGAACATGTGTGAATATTGTTTGGTATCCATGTGTCAATCAATGGTTGTGTTGAAACTCATGATGTATCATGAAACATCAGTGTATGGGGAATCATTAACCCCCAGCAAGAACTGATCTAGTGCTTAACTCATGCTCAACTATATCTCACCTAACATCTCAACTGAGGGACCAGTTCAAAAGTTTGATGTCAGATAACAGTGCCAGTTGGCCTTGCCATTTGGACCAAATCATCTCACCTGATTATTAATGATGTACATAGTTACTTAAAGCCAGACCAATTTTATTTCTTGTTTTATGGATCTGCCGGTCGTATGTTTTCAAGAATAAGAAAAAAAATAAAAATTAATTTTCCCCGCTCAAAAAATAGAATCCTCATGTTTTTATTGGCCAAATATGTAAGCTTACCAAAGAAATGTTTTTGATTTTTTTTTTGCCCCATATACACTTCATAAATTGCCAAAAAATAAATATTTTAGTATTCAAAAGGAATATTACTTTGACTGGTGAGTTTCATGTTATATTTTTTTCCTTCCTGCCTTTAGGTTTTCTGATGACAAAAATCAATAAAACAAGAAATAAAATTGGTCTGGCCTAAGCAAGGAAGAACTGCTCTTATTTTAGTTCATTTGCTGTTTGGAGTGATTCTTTCCATGAGGTAGGGCTTTGTCCTCGCTGGTAGAAGTGCTTGTTCAGTATGATATAAGAATTTGATCATAAAATTTGGTCTACTGAAACCCAACAATGATAGTCAACACCCAAAAAATAGACTTCAGTCGATAAATGATCTGAAAAAAACATGCAAACAATGTTTGACAAGAATAAGCAGCAAAACTCCAGAATTTTCAGAATTTATATTATTTTGAGGGGGTTTGCAGAGGGAAGTATTTTTCCAACATGAAACATTTGAACTGGTCCCTAATATTTATGAGACTGCTGTCTCAACTAACACCAACATCAGCTGCAGAATATGTCAGACCAATGTTATGTGGTGATCTAGTCTTATTTCTGAGCCAATAAACAGAAGGCAAAAAAGTGCCCAGATAAGTTCAAATAGGTGAAGTAGATAACTGTTAAATTAGTAAGAGTGACTTAAAAAAATGTGCACCGTACCAATAGTATTATGATAGTTATAATTTAGTGCCATGTAGATAAACTGTTGCAATGTAGATACAGCTATTTTAATGTTGTAATATATACTTCCCATCAAAAGTTTAGACTTACTAGTGTAAATATAGCCACTTACTTCAGGCAACTGTTCTAAACTAATTTTTGCAAAATATTCCATACTGTTTACATGTACTGTTTACACATGAACTGATGTATTGTAAAACAAATTCTTAACGTTGAAAAGATTATTGTCATGAGTTCAAGAAATGATAAAACTCAGTGAAAATTGGCCAATTCTTAACAAAACTTTACACCAAAGCGCAACTGTTCACATGCACGATATTTACACATGCTTTTCAGCAGTTTGATGCATGATCCTAGTGCAGTTCATCTGCATAAGGTTTGCAGTTGGTTCCCCCAAGTTAGTGGAGAAATTCATCTTTGATGTAACCATATATATCTACATAACATATAGTGAGTGTTTTCAGTGAGTCTAAACATTTGATGGGAAGTATATATTTTTTTTCTCCACAATGTTAGTCGAAAACTTGGAATGTCGAAAGTGGAGATGGATTTCAGAAGTCTGCTGGCTTTATACACGCAAATTTACCAATGAAAACATTTTTTTACAAATGAACGGGCAGTAATGAGAAACAAATTATTTTGATGCGTCCTTACTAAATTCACACACAGGTGTTGACTTTGATCAGTGGAGAAAAGACTTGGTTTTTAATGTCAATAAAACAAAGTATATTTTGATAAAATGTCCTGTCTACTCTGAAAAATCTGTATTTGTGGAGAAAGAAACACAGTTTGTCGTGTATATATTCAGGCTTAGTACAGGATGTTTAACATATGTCTGATCTTGTCTAATATAAATGGGGGTCGGTGGGGTAGCCTAATGGTTAAAGCGTTGGCTCGTCACGCTGAAGACCCGGGTCCGATTCCCCACATGGGGACAATGTGTGAAGCCCATTTCTGGTGTCCCCCTGCCGTGATGTTGCTGGAATATTGATAAATGCGGCGTAAAACCAAACTCAGTCAGTCAGTCAATCGAATGTAAATGTAGCACTTAAGGAACACCCATGTGCATGTTTACATTTTTATATATTATTCTATGGCAAAAATATGATCAACATTATGTTTTCAGATTACTATGCAATCTCTAGTTAAAACACAGCATTATGTTTGTGTTTTTTTAGGGCTGTCCAAACTGCACTAATTTTGTGAAGAGAACAATAGCACAAAATCAAGAAAAATAGAGAATACTCCAATATTCACATGAAAACAATGAGGGTTCTCATTAAGACATTTTTATCATAAAACCATTTGTTGACAGAAACTATTTAGAAGTTCATTATGCAATGTTCAGTAAGTAGATGGTAGAATCAATAGAAGTAGTTGTTCTGTATCCTGAAGGCAACAATCCATTTATGTATATACAAACTAATGTGGTTAATTAATACCGAAATGCATTAAAAGTGGCCAAAAAGTCGCCTGCTTCTCTCGCAAGCCATATGCGAAACCACAGACAGGTTACGTAACTCTGTCATGAGATCACTGCAGTGGCGTCATATGAGGAACGATTTTCAGTTAGTTGTAAAGAAAGTGTGTAGCATGCTCATCATTTTGATGATTTCTCGACATCAACGACGACATGCCGAATCGTTGCTTTGTTGCCAATTGCTCCTAGGGGTCGGGCGATGGTGTCACCATGCACAGATTTCCACAGGACCCGCGAGTTCGTTGCTAAATGGGTTATGTTTGTGAGTGGTTTAGCCGGCGTTGTGGAAGCCTGAAACGATATCTTACTTGTGTTCAGATCGCCTCCACGGAAGTTAAAGAATCAAAACTACTTACTAGTTGTAGTAAAATATGTATATGATTGATGACCATAAAGATTTTCCATGGCGCACTTGTAACATAACGATTTCTTCCTCGAAGTGAGGTTGTGGTCGGTAACAATAATATTGTAAGTAGTATTATATTGACACCCACCTGGCTGCCAGGAGAGAAATTGTTATAAAGATATGCTATAATCATGCAAAATCCTATTGGCCATCAATAAAATAAATATTTTACTACCAGTATTAAAGACGTTTTGATTTTGTAACTGGAGTGAAAACAAACCTAAATAGCATTTATCCTCAGACTGGCGGATGTTCCCCGACAGGGCCATCATTTTGAAAATCGTAAAGTCTGTTAGAATTAATGAGATTATAGTTTGTTTTCATCAAGTTAGAAAAATCAAAACTACTTTCTACTAGTAGTTAAATATGTATTGGAATCATAACCAAACGGATTTTGCATGACACAACTTATAACATAACGATTTCTTCCACGAAGCCGGTGGTGGGGTCGAAGTTACAATACTGCGTGATATATTTCTTGCTACATTCACATGGTTAATGTCCACTCACCAGTATGTAGATACTAGTCAATGTGCGTCTTTATATTTGGTCTTATATCCTAATTTGTTTATTATCATACTTGTATGCATTTTGAAACTAAATAAAAGCAGGCGATCTGCTGATACTTATAGTGAATTTATAACAGAACTGTAATAGCTAGACATTTTATAGTTTGCCAATGTGAATCATAATCCGCATTACAATACACTAGCTGCATGTTGTCTGTCTCATTACACTTCACGGCGAAAACAATGATTCTGTTGAATGCTCACGACAAATGAATAAAACAAAATGCAAATATTAAAATTAAAACAGATTAAAGTTATAGGAACAATATCAGGCCATTACCTTGTTCGAGGAATGTATCCATCAATATCCACAAAACTGTTCCAAATGATGTGTCTTTTAACAGTTTAATATACGAAAAAGTGATCAATCTTTTCAGGTATTGGTGTATAGTCTCATTGGTCACCCAAGATAGCACACCTGGCAACTAATTGCATAATGTCCGCCTTTCTTTAAAAACAGTAATTTAGTTAGCCAATAATGGGCAATCAATCAATGTATTGCCGGTTAATCCTTTGAACGAAGCACGTTGTTTTAACGCAGACACCGACACGACAGAGTCTCATTACACTTCACGGCGAGAACAATGATTCTGTTGAATGCTACGACAAATGAATAAAAACAAAATGCAAATATTAAAATTAAAACAGATTAAAGTTATAGGAACAATATCAGGCCATTACCTTGTTCGAGGAATGTATCCATCAATATCCACAAAACTGTTCCAAATGATGTGTCTTTTAACAGTTTAATATACGAAAAAGTGATCAATCTTTTCAGGTATTGGTGTATAGTCTCATTGGTCACCCAAGATAGCACACCTGGCAACTAATTGCATAATGTCCGCCTTTCTTTGAAAACAGTAATTTAGTTAGCCAATAATGGGCAATCAATCAATGTATTGCCGGTTAATCCTTTGAGCGAAACACGTTGTTTTAACGCAGACACCGATTAACGACAGAGTGTATTCAGTATAGATTAGTAAATCTACATACATAAACACTACCTTTTGTCAAATCCGGCTGTGTAAGATAAAAGTAATTAATCAATCAGCGTGTTATCGGTTAATCCTTTGATCGATGTTTATAATGTTGAATATTTACTCCAGACACAAGAAATGCCAAATGGGAACCTTTGTCGGGTAATCTAAGTGTGTTACCACTAATTATACCTGTTATAAATTCATTAACTGACCATCAAGTGAATGATGACAAATAACACGTGTAGGTTTATACCACCTAACACGGGTTACAACAAGGGAGTATTAATTGCTGTATTGCATGTGAAAACTTATGGGCCGACACTGTTTGAGAATACAAACAGATTTTTACATGACATGATTAAATATCGAGGTAAAAACACAGAAATGGGATCAATTTGGATCAGTCATTATACAAATAGGGCTTAACGACACCAATCGATTTTGACAGAATCGTCTATGAAAACAAGTTGTAACTTCGGAAACTAGGCAAAGCAGGAGACAAAATTAAATGCCAGTAGATTGTGAGAACATATAGCTTTCATTTTCACAACAATTGTCACGCGATTTCAGGTTTATACAAGCCTGTAAACAAGATAATTTACCCCTAAAATGTAGATGAATTCTGCATGAAGCCCTCAAAGCTATTCCTCATATGACGTCACAGAGACGCGCCGCTCTGATTGGTTGAAATTTCGTTCGCGGGTGAGAATTGTGCACTGTTGTCAAAAAGGTCGATTTAAGTCAATTAAAGGTCGAAATGAGTAGTTTTAATGACGGGGTTTCATTTATAACGATGCCAGTTAGTGATTTATGTATTTGTACCCCCTAGGGTTTATGTGATCTTTAACATATGTCTCATCTTGTCTAATATAAATGGAGCACTTCTTAAGGAACACCCATGTGCATGTTTACATTTTTATATATTATTCTATGGCAAAAATATGATCAACATTATGTTTTCAGATTACTATGCAATCTCCAGTTAAACACAGCATTATGTTTGTGTTTTTTTAGGGCTGTCCAAACTGCACTAATTTTGTGAATAGCACAAAATCATGAAAAATAGAGAATACTCCAATATTCACATGAAAACAATGAGGGTTCTTATTAAGACATTTTTATCATAAAACCATTTGTTGACAGAAACTATTTAGAAGTTCATTATGCAATGTTCAGTAAGTAGATGGTAGAATCAATAGAAGTAGTTGTTCTGTATCCTGAAGGCAACAATCCATATATGTATATACACACACATAATGTGGAAATAATGCCAGTATTTGGGGACCAAGTGTGTAACTGTAAGGAGCGTTATAGGGAGCCTGAAAGCCTCCTGTATCAGCTACATTCAGCGTTGAGTGAGGTTTCTTTGTTCTGGGTCAGCTTGACCCAGCTGATCAGGGCTGTGCTATGTTTAGCTGTGCTTGCATTGATTGAAGTCTCGCTCAGATACAGCTCGTATAGTCAAGTTTCGCCAGAACAGAGCAGGGGACCTCGTGGCGCAACGGTAGCGCGTCTGACTCCAGATCAGAAGGTTGCGTGTTCAAATCACGTCGGGGTCAACATAGTTTTGTTTTTGCAGCCAAAATATTTTTTGTATATGGTCTAATTTATGCTGTGTATCCAGTAATCTATCACTTTTCTTACATTTATTTTCAAGCAATTATTTTCAAGTAACTGTTTATTTTTTCAAAATGCAATTCTGAAATGACATTTTATAAGTTTACTTGATATATTTATGGTTTAAGGGTAGTGTTTTTCAGCAGTAACTCTTTGCATTAAAAAGGGTTTGATATTTTCTTTTGATGTACAAATGTTACCCCTGTAAAAGACACTTCATCATTTTCAGCTTATACTTAGAACACACTACCCACCGTCAGCTTTTATCCATATGGTTAAAGATTTGAAGGACATGTGCACTAATGATTTCACTCCTCTGAGGCATAGATGCTGTGATACACTTTAGTACGGACGTTATTGTTGATGTTCACTGACAGCACAATAGATATCACTGTGTGTAATTGTTAGCACCATGTTGACTGGGTTGGCTTCTTGACAACAAGTCTCTTCACAACAGTTAACATGGAACTTTGATAACTTACTACTTATGAAACTCATTGTACTTCAGCACAGCATACAACACTTCAGCACAGCATACAACACTTCAGCACAACATACATCCTCCTGTATAAACCATCCTCCTGTTCAACCATTCATTCACCTGCATTCTAATCTCAATGTGGAGTTCACGTTTGTACATTGAATAAGGAGGTGATGTATAAATATTGATGGTTTCACATATACAATCTTACGTGCTGTCATTAACTGGAATGCACTTAAAAGTGGCATTAAACCCAACTCAGTCATACACTGCCTAAAATTCTTGCTCAAGCATTAATTTTAATGCATAAATTTTGATGTTGTAAAATGTGATTACAGCAACAACCAGTTTATGTTCACCATCACACATATATGATGTATGATAATTCTGAATATCGGCCTTGATGTTAAACAAAGACAGAGGTAATAATTCAGCATCATAGTCAAAACCTGGTTTGTTAATGTAAAGATTTACTGGTCTCTAGGTAACTACATGAGAAGGCCTCATCACTTACTCGTTTCTTTCAGAACAGGTATTACTTATGTCATACTTTCAGGATTTAAGTGGAAAATGGGGGCGGTGGCGTAGCCTAGTGGTTAAAGCATTTGCTTGTCACGCCGAAGACCTGGGTTCGATTCCCCACATGGGTACAATGTGTGAAGCCCATTTCTGGTGTCCCCTGCCGTGATATTGGTGGAATATTGCTAAAAGCGGCATAAAACTATACTCACTCACTAAGTGGAAAATGGAACATATGAAGTCATACATTTTAAAACATTACAGCATTAACTATGACATGTCATGTACCTGATAGGATGACACATATTTTGAGACAGTTCTTGAATGAATATTGCAATGTGTTAGTGCCTTGAGCATGCACAGGTGCACGGAAAACAGGTGCTTTGTAAATAGCCATTATTATTATTTAAAATGTTTCTCCTTATTTTCCAGTCCAACTCTCGAAGTCACATAGATCCATCAAAACGCCTGTCATCTGGGTCTCGCTATGCTCCCCCGTCCCGTCCGTCACCGGCACCAAGTGACCAATCAGGAAGCAGAAGCATCAACAGCAGCATGACCTCGGAAACTGTCCCGCAACATGTCCGACCACCAGCTGGCTACACCTCCGACCTGTGTACAGAGTTATGATAGGGGACAAGAGGGGTGGATTTCTGCCAGAGTGGCGCTGGACCTGTGAGAGAGGCTTGTTGCCAAGCAACAGATGGAGAGAGAGATGACATGCAAGATATGGAATAATCATTGTATCTTGTTTCTACGGGTAGTAGAACCTGCTGTCATTACATTGGAAGGCATGATCATAGTGAAACACAGGATTGAAAATTGACAAGCCATAACATCAGTTTTTGTTACATCTTGTACATTGTGAGGTCACAGGGCAGAACACTCAACACATTCAGGGATAAACTATCAACGTGAAGCTTGTGGCCTTTTTGGTCAACAGTCACCTGTAAGAATGGATGTTGCCACAAGTTGTGATCCTGTCTTACAAAATGTAACTCTAGTCACCTCACTCTTGTCCTGTCTCTCTCTGTGTTGCTAGGCAACAAGAGGTGTGTGGATGGATGACTGTGTGAATGGATTTAATGGAAGAGGATTGGCACTCATAGTTGTGGTGACTGTCATGACTTGGGTTTTCATGGTAACTCCAGGAGTATCTCCCCTTGCAGGTAACTGACAGGTATGAACACTTAGTTCACAGGAGATATTCATCACAACCATGTCTTGCACTGTAAGCAACTCACTCAAGGGGAGATAGATCTAGGAACTAAGGCATCATGGACGGCCTTGTTTGTGGAGGCAGATGCTGCTTCCTATATTAAAGTTGTTAAATTTGCTGTCTAAAAGGTGATATTGATCGTGTTTCTACATTCTTCTTCTGTGGACATTGATCAGACAGTATCTATGTTGATCTCATGTTATATGGGACACGTGTCAGTGAGAGGCTGGTCTGGTGTCAGTTCTGTATCAGCATCATGTCCGATTCAGGTTGGTAGATATACTTCTGATCAGGATCAGTTCTCTATCATTTCTGTATCTGGTCTTGCATGAGTTACGTACCAGGACGGGTATTTATCAGTATCATACTCGGTTGAGATGCAAAGATACACAGATCTGATACTGAATTTTGTTTAGAAAATAAATTTGTGATTAATCTATAATGATATATCAGTAAGTTCAATGTTAACTGTATAATTATATGTATTGTGATATGCGTCCAGCCTTATCTATCTAGTTACACCCTCCAAGGTCATGCATATCCTCCAAGGTCAAATCCAGCTCCAGTCAGAGGAGACTCCAATTGGGCAAGAATGTTTGACTTATGGTATCTGATAAAATATTAACACTTGTAAGAACTTTTTAAGTCTTCTTTACTAATAGCTGAGAGCCATGTATTAGCCATGCTGTGTGTTCTCTGTGGTGGACTGTAGTCAACTGTAGCAATTGTGCGATAGTAGCCGTAACTGAAGGAGTAATACTCGGTTGTGTACACCTCACAACTACTTATTGAATCTGGTCTACACAGTGTATGTAATTTATTCAAGCATGTATTTATGTCTTCCTGTGTATTGGAGCATATTCACTAGCTGAAGGTAATGTTAGACTAGTGCTGCGAGACAACTCACATTCCAGCGTTCTGGCGAGGGACCCAAGGTTCCTGCCAGCTTGGTTAAATCAGCCATCTTGGTTTTCTGTCAGTGGTATTTTGGGGAGACCCCCGGGCTTGTCATGAGAAAATAGGTTGAGGTTTTGTGGTGAAGACAGCTATGCCACGTGTAAATGTGGATGTTTTATATGCTGGGAAACATTTTCACATGCTACTGTCAGAATTGCTTGGTATAAGAGGATATTAGAACATATGTTTGCAACTTTTCCATATTTAACAGAAAAATTATGTCAGTTTGAAATGTTCTAAATTGAATTATCATACTAGAGAGCTTTAATTTGGTTTTGTACGTATCATGTACTAGACCAGCAAATTTTTCAGTAGGAATAACACATCGTCAGTTCTGACACTGAATGTGTGTAAATATATGTATCCCACTTGTAGGAATGTTACAGCTATAAGTCATGGCTAGAACATGAACCAGCTGTCATACAGGTAACCTTCCTGGGAAGTGTACATACTTGCTGCTTAGTGCATGCCAAACAGGGCCACCCCATGGTTGGCAACCATGGATGAGCTCGTCCGATGTCAAACATTGTGATTCCTGGTCAAGTAGCAGGATATGCTTCCTGTATTTCAGCATTCAGTCAGTATTTGTAATATTTGAGGCAATATTTATTTCACCACCAAATATTTGTATATTTGCAAGGTAATGCTATGTTGAACTTTAGAAATGAAATTGGATATAGAGATTTTACATCACTAATTGTTACAATGTATACAGGTAGGTTGTTGCTGTTGTCCCTGCCACCAGCTCTCAGCATGGATGTGCATCTATCTGTTCCAAAGTATATAGTTTCAAGCATGCAGTCAGTGATAGTATTGTCCAAACAACCACTTAGAAAACCATAGATACACTCTCATTGTTGCCATATTGAGGAATTGTTAAATATTGAGAAAATAAATGAAGTCCTACTGATTTGCTTGGAATGTTTCAAATACATGTTGAAAATTAAATCTGTTCTGATGTCAAATTTAATTTTAATTTAGATCAGTTGATATCATATTGATAAGGTGCAGTTCGTAACACTTTAGACAATGTCAATTAGTCTCACAGTTAGAGCATCCTGTTGTTGGCTTGACAGATGCTCCACTGAATTGTCCCACTGACTCAAACAGTTGCTTCTTGGATTACCTGACCAATATGGGAATAACCCTCACGGATATTTTACATCTTGTAGACTACTTCCATATCTTTATAAAATACAGGACCACAGAAAAGGGAATAATTACTGTGAATCGCTGAAATTATAGGGCAAAGGCATTCAAGCCATTTCAGTTATAGAATATCAAGATGCACATTAGCTTTGCTTTTATACATTTCAGTTTTTCAAAAATGTTTGGGGAAAAACTTGGAATAAAAATAATAATAATTTTCCCCACTCATAAAAATAAAATCTGAATGTTTTTATTGGCCAAAATGTAAACATACAAGAAATTTTGGTTTTAGATTGTTTTTTTTTTTTTTGCCTATATACACTTCATAAATTGCCAAAAGTAACATAGTTTGAGTACTTAGAAGGAATATAACTTTGACTGGTGATTTTGGTCTGGCCTTGTGAAAAATAATTTCATTGTAACTTGGTGCCACTTTATGTCAACATTGAGAGTGTATTGATCTGGTAGCACTACACCCATACACCAGCATAGCTACAAAGTTACACATTGTGTGTAGGGAACCCCATCATGCATCTGGTGCTGCTACACTACAGCACTTACCTCCCCTGTGTGATACCGCGTTATACACTGGATGTCGTTGATAGAAGAACGTCACTTCTTGTTTTACAGGAACAAGCTTTTATTAGCAAGGTCCAGAAACATCATGTTTGTTTTCCGTGATGTTGATGTCAAATGTTGCCATCTTCAGCTGTTATTACCGATTTTATAAATAAAAAGTTATTCTGTGAGAACATTTTGTTCTTTTCTGTGCGACACTCTGCTTAGGTGTGACATCCATTAACCAAGATCACACACCATTACTGTATGATGACACATGATTCAAACGACTGGGGTATGATGACACCTGATCTGCACTGAGAGACACACTAATATGGTATATTGACACATGATCTGCTGAGAGACCCACCAATATGGTATATTGACACATGATCTGCCCTGAGACACACTAATATGGTATATTGACACATGATCTGCCCTGAGACTCCAATATGGTATATTGACATATGATCTGCCCCCAGACACTCAATATGGTATATTGACACATGATCTGCCCTGAGAGACACACTAATTTGGTATATTGACACATGATCTGCTGAGAGACCCACCAATATGGTATATTGACACATGATCTGCCCTGAGAGACCCACCAATATGGTATATTGACACATGATCTGCCCTGAGAGACTCAAATATGGTATATTGACACATGATCTGCCTTGAGAGACCCACCAATATGGTATATTGACACATGATCTGCCCTGAGAGACACCAATATGGTATATTGACACATGATCTGCCCTGAGAGACACACCAATATGGTATATTGACACATGATCTGCCCTGAGAGACACACCAATATGGTATATTGACACATGATCTGCCTTGAGAGACCCAACAATATGGTATATTGACACATGATCTGCCTTGAGAGACCCACCAATATGGTATATTGACACATGATCTGCCCTGAGAGACCCACCAATATGGTATATTGACACATGATCTGCCCTGAGAGACACAGCAATATGGTATATCACATACATATTGAATCATAATCTGCCCTGAGAGACCCACCAATATGGTATATTGACACATGATCTGCCCTGAGAGACCCACCAATATGGTATATTGACACATGATCTGCCCTGAGAGACCCACCAATATGGTATATTGACACATGATCTGCCCTGAGAGACCCACCAATATGGTATTTTGACACATGATCTGCCCTGAAAGACCCACCAATATGGTATATTGACACATGATCTGCCCTGAGAGACCCACCAATATGGTATATTTGACACATATCTGCCCTGAGAGACCCACCAATATGGTATATTGACACATGATCTGCCCTGAGAGACCCACCAATATGGTATATTGACACATGATCTGCCCTGAGAGACCCACCAATATGGTATATTGACACATGATCTGCCCTGAGAGACTCACCAATATGGTAAATTGACACATGATCTGCCCTGAAAGACCCACCAATATGGTATATTGACACATGATCTGCCCTGAGAGACCCACCAATATGGTATATTGACACATGATCTGCCCTGAGAGACCCACCAATATGGTATATTGACACATGATCTGCCCTGAGAGACCCACCAATATGGTATATTGACACATGATCTGCCCTGAGAGACTCCAATAATATGGTATACTGACACATGATCTGCCCTGAGAGACTCAAATACTGAACATGTGTCATCATACCATAGTGGTGTGAATGAGTGTAGTTATATGCCGCTTTTAGCAATATAATAATAATAATAATAATAGTGGATATTTGTAAAGCGTCAGTGTCCACCCACTCATGCATGCTCATGGCGGATAATATATTCCAGCAATATCACGGCGGAGGACACCAGAGAAATGGGCTTTACACGTTGTACCTATGTGGGGAATCGAACTCTGGTCTTCGGCGTGACGAGCGATACCATAGTGGAGTGTCTCTGGGCAGAGATTAAGTGAGGTGAGGTGAAATTGGGTTTAACGTCGTGCTTGAGAATATTTTGCTCATATGACGACGTGCATGCGTTTGTATGTGTGTGTGCGGCTGCTTGTACTAGCCCAGACTTAAGCTGGTTTTATAGTGCTAGCCCACTGAAATACCATGCTGCAGTGAAGGATGAATACCCCACTCAGACACATTATACTGACTCCGAGCCTGACCAGTCCTTATTGTACTCATTAATGCAGAGCACCATGCAGGGATCAACAAGTACCATATTTTAATGTCTTTTGGTATGACGTTTTTGGGGATCTAACCCTGGGCCTTCTGCTCTCTGGGTGGACGCTCCAACCACTACACCACGGAGGCGGTCAGAGATTAAGTAAGTTGTTTGGAAGCCAGTTAGGTGATGTACAAAGACTGAATTAGAGATTAACCAAATGATTGGAGGACAGATAAATGTTAGTGCAATAGATGAGGTTGATGTACATAGCTTGTATAACCTTACTTAACATACACAAACTATGTGCATCAACCTCATCTATTGCATATACAACTCATCCCCAGTCTATTGTAATAAAAACTCATGTACATATTCCCTTAATTTTTTGTCATGTATAACTTGCTTAACAACATTAGAATCTGTTGAAACATCGCCTTTCACAGAATAAAGAAGTTGTATATCCATAAAATTATCATCATTTTCAAGCTGACAGCTGTCAGAAAGTGGGAATTATGAATATCCAGTGCATTCATCCTCCACACTGCATCCAAGGAATATCGGTGCCCCAACAGATGGCTCCAGACTGCATCCAAGGAATATCGGTGCCCCAACAGATGGCTGCAGACTGCATCCAAGGAATATCGGTGCCCCAACAGATGACTGCACACTGCATCCAAGGAATATCGGTGCCCCGACAGATGGCTGCACACTGCATCCAAGGAATATCGGTGCCCCAACAAATGGCTGCAGACTGCATCCAAGGAATACTGGTGCCCCAACAGATGGCTGCAGACTGCATCCAAGGAATATCGATGCCCCAACAGATGGCTGCACACTGTATCCAAAAAATATTGGTGTCCCAACAGAGGGCTGAACAGGGCCTCCTTTCACAAAGCACTAAGGTGATCGTAAGTCACTAAGGTAACCTTAGTGCAATATTAAAGAATGGGAGTTAGGGTAACCTTAGTAAAGGTTGCTTCGTGAAAGGAGCCCCTGGCAGACATGATGATTCATCCTCCACACTGCATCCAAGGAATGTGGTCTCTATGTATACTGCACTCCAAGGAACAAAACTCAACTTATTCAGTGTTGCACACTTTATTCAAGCTTCATTGCCAGCATATTCAATTTTTCTGCAATATCAAGAATATATTCCAAGTAAAAAAATTCATTTACAATCAAGTTTATACTAGATATGACATGACAGCATGCAGACAGACAAATAAGGTGATAAAGTTTATCTGAGCACTTTTGTCAAAATAAAATATTCTGAGTATCTGGGCACCAAGCTACCCACAGGACTACCAAGGTCCGAAGTTTGTGATGTATCTTTTAATGACCGATATACATCTCCATGGTTACACTTTAAGTCACTCATGTTTGCATTTCTTTCTGACAGTGCTTCTGATTGTGCATGTCTGAGTAAAGCTTCAGTCAGTTTCAGAGTAAGCATATTCATACATTTAAAAAAATGTATTTTACATTTTTGTCAGGGTTGCAGTAAAACAATTCCCAATTTCTGCCTTCCTCTTGGGACCTACAGTGGGTATCCAGGTAGGGACAGGCAATAGGGTGTTGAATGGAGGAAGTTTGTACTTGTCTCATCCCTCTTGCATACACTTCAGCAATGGTGAGAAAGTTTGTTAATGTAGTCAGCCTGACAGACTGACTGATTCACTGAGTTTGGTTTTACGCCGCTTTTAGCAATATTCCAGCAACATCATGGTGGGGAACACCAGAAATGGGCTTCACACATTGTACCCATGTGGGGTTTCGAACCCGGGTCTTCGGCGTGACGAGCCAACGCTTGAACCATTAGGCTACCCCACCTCCCCCAGCCTGCCAGAACCTACAGGACCAAGGTATAACAACCTGTACACAATATCACAAGGAGAAATATATCTGCATCTCCCATAACCTCAAAATAGCATGACATGCACCTCAGCAATGTTATATATTAATATATGAACAGAAATATCTTGAATAAAAAATAATCATCAGAAAGATTTAAAGACCTCCCACTTTGAGCACATATACAGCTTTGTCTACCATCTCCCTCACACATCAACATCCATATTCTTCCATTTCTCATGACTAGATCACAGACGCTGACCAAATCAACATTGCAGCCTCACAAAGTCTGAATATTTTTCACGATGGTCCATAATATTTAACAAGTGCCACCAGGACTGTACAAACTGTCTGTACCAGGAAGGGCAGTGATTAACAGCGCAATGGCTACCTCCAGCACAGGGGCATGACCCAGTTCTCACATCACCAAAGCGTTTCACGCTTAATATTTAATATACTATTCAAAGTTTCAAGTCTTTCAAAGGCACACACCAGGTTACAAATCTTATCCTTGTAAATTCTCTTACTGAAGAATGAGACAGACAGTGATCTTATCACGTGGATTACTAATCTTCCACTGAAAGTTTGATGTCTTTGACAAAAAATTTGGTTATGTGACTTTGTTCATGTTTCAGTTTTGGTCAGATGACTGCTATCCCTAGCATTTTGATATGAATACATACATCAGCCAACTCTTACCACTAGCAAAGGATATCTTTTGTCCTTGAATTCCAACAGGATGTCCCATTCACGACATTAAATCCTAGATGTTTGGACCATCGTGATTGATGGACAGAAAGTGACCAGTTACTGAATGCATGAATTTACTGACTGATGAAGACATGTGAATAACCAGGCATAGTCTGCTAACTATTTGTGTAATAACACAATTACATTCACCTTGTGATATCAGCATCTTGAGCTATGTATCGCAATACTAAAACTTGTAAAGTTGATGCATACAATTTGATTATTAGAAACCTCTTTCTTCAATTTCATTGCTCCTAAAGCTATAATTACTGTTAATAGCAATTCATGAGATAGCGTCTGACCTTGTGGCAGTATTGTTCATTAGGCCAGACCAATGTTATTTCTTGTTTTACAGATCCGCCGGTTATATTACTTCAAGAATAAGAAAAAAAATTAAAATGAATTTTCACCCAGCTCAAAAAATACAATCCTCACGTTTTTATTGGCCAAAAATGTAAACTTACAAAAGACATTTTTTTTATTTGTTTTTGCCAATCAAACTTCATAAATTGCCAAAAATAAAATACTTTTAGTATTTAAAAGGAAAATTATTTTGACTAGTGATTTTGTTTTTTATTTTTTCCCCTCCTGCCTTTAGGTTTTCTGAGGACAAAAATCTGTAAAACAAGAAATAAAATTGGTCTGGCCTTATTAACCAATACAAACTTGTGTCATTGTCACAACACTAACACAGCACAGATTTTCCCTTCCTTGAAATCAGTTAACAACTAGTTAAAATGCAAATGAGGAAAGCGAGTTCTGGAATCACTGTTTAATTCTTGTTTAAACCTGGGAAAAAATGTTTTGTGAGTACTATCATGGGGGTTGGACGCCATTATGCAACAAGACATTACAGTTGTATTTGCAATGTCACCAAAAGTTGAGATGAGAACTGGGGGTATGGCTGCTTGTTTAAATCATGACATGGCAGTGCCTTCTTTCAGGTCTGTGTCATTCAAATTCAATTTATATACAAAACAAATTGTAGTGCATTTTCTATAACACACTAGCAAAAAATAAAGACGAAATAGGTATCATTTCCCTCAAAAGGAGATAACAAGCATACATGCAGGGGTGGAAATAACCCATTGCCCGACGTCCGAGTCCAGTGTTTTTTTCTGTTGGGCAAGGACATTTGTATATCATGCTGTACTGGCATCCAGTTGACATTCCAATGTTAATCATATTGTTTATTTAAAAAATCACCAAGAAAATCGGCCGGTATAGCGGAAAAATTATCAGGGCAAGTGATTTTACATGTGCCACTCTACCGGAGTACAATAGCAATTTTAAAGTTATTTCCACCCCTGAATATGCTTGATTAACATGTTGGTATCAGTTCTGTCTCAAGAAATAGAGAATAACCTGCTCATGCTTGGTGAGTGATAAGGCTTCATAACAATGGGGGCATGGATTTTCCAAATCCGAAAGGGAATCAAACAAAGAAAATTCTTTTACCATAATTATTTAACATCCCATCAGTGAACTTTTCTGTCTATAGACGGAAAGAAAGCTGTCAGCTTCTATTTGATCATAAAGCAGATTCACTCGCCATTTCACAGGGACAATTAAAATCAAGATTCTACAACAATCAAAGATATGTTAAATGATAACAAAACATCAACTGAAGATCATCTAGCACAGCACCATCAGACCAACGGATGATGGTGAGGACTGGTCTGCCCTATCAGTAGTAATCCATAGGTTCTTGTTTGACCTTGACTGCGCTCTGCGTCTGCTGTGTGGTCTCCGTCAGTGGAGTGGCTGCCATCGTCTGTATGCCTGTCTCTCTCTCCTGCTCCATATCCTGGCTCCCAGCACTTTCAGAAATCTTTGCGTCAGAACATGAACTACCTGACGACTTTGTTGGTGATACATCCACACTGGGCAACGCATCTTCACTTGGACTAGACTTGACAGAACCAGCTCTCTTGTTGGAACAAAGGAATGCCATGCCATGTATTCTCATGTGTGTCTTCAACTGCCTGTCAGTATCAAATGTTCTTGAACAAACAGTGCATTCAAGTGGATTGGCAGACTTCCTCATCACCACAGAATCATTCAACCATTTCGTTTTCTTTACTGGTGGTGGAGACAGTTCCTCTGAGTCAGAAATTATTTCCTCCTCTTCAGTCTTCATGCCCCTGTCCTGCAAGTACTTGTTTGAGTCCCGGATCTTGTGGACAAGGAACAAATGCTTCTTGAGAGTGGCCAGGATGGTGAAACAGAGGCCACAGTCAGGACACTGGTTGGTGTTGTCGGAGTTGTGCTCCTTGATGTGCTTCGGCGAAGTGAGCTGCATCCTCCATGATGACAGGGCATTTGGCACATGTGTAGAGCGGGTCCCCCTCCACTCGCAGTCGTTTGACAGGTGGCGGGGATGATGGCTCAGACGAAGGTGTGGTAGCTTCTGACTGTGAGGAGTTTGTGTGCCTTTCACCATTGTTCATGTCAGAACTATCAGAGCGACGGCGATGATGTCTGTGCATTTTCCTCATGTGTTTCTCTAAACCTTGCTGACTAGCAAAACTCTTTTCAATTTTTTTCTGTTTACATATACTACAAGAAAAAAGAGACCGTTTACCATCATGGACCACACTAACATGGCTCACCAGGGCTGACTTGGTGTCGTACGCCACACCACAGAGATGACACGGGAAACTGACATGTTCCTTCTTTACATGTTCTTGCAGGAGGTGAAACTTGCGGAACATTTTGCCACAGTGTTCGCACACATGATCCATTGTCTTATAACTAGCTTTGACTGGCTTAGAAAGAGTGACGCCACACGTTATCTCATGGTTCATCAATGTTGATGCATTCTTCCAGCCCCTCTTCTGACATTTTGTACAAATAAGCTGTCCATTAGCTACATGTCTTTTCAGATGAACAATCAGAGCATTCATGTCACTGCAGTCCCGGTTGCAGATGGTGCACACACACTTCCTGTCCTGGTCCTTCCGGGTCAGGCCAGAATTCTCTGTGAACATTCCACAGCCTATTTGATGTGATTTCACTTCACCAAAGCTGTCCCATCCCATCTTCTGACATCGGCAGCAAATTAGAGCTCCTTTTGTAACATGCTGCGTTATGTGGCGGTGCAAATCGCTTGTTGGTCGATAATGCAGAGAACATCGGCAAAGGCTGCACATCTCACCGGGTAGTATGTTCATGTAGTCTTGTCCACATGTCTCGTGGTGAGCCTTAAGCTCTTCCTTCGTGGTAAACTCGGACTTCTGACACTTGCAGCACACAAGTGTTCCTTCCTTCACATGCTGCTGCAGGTGGCAAACAAGCTGCTCAATAAAGTCAAATGTCCTGGCACAGACGTAGCAGTAATTGTGCTCTAAGGGGTAGTCGGAAAACCCACATGCATATTCATGAGATTTGAACTCTTCTCGATTTTGAAATTCCATCCTCTGACAATGGCGACACATCATTTTTCCCTTGCTTATGTGCGTGAGGATGTGAGTCTTCAAGTACACCCTCTGTATGTATTGGGAACATACTCTGCACTGAACCTTGGTGTCTGGATCAGCTACAAGATCAGGACCCTTACATAATGGAATATGATCTTCCAGTTGAGTTCCTGTTTTGAAGGCCATAACATTGCAGATTGTACATATCTTATCACCTTTGTGACTGTGATCCTGGATGTGGATTAACAGCCTGTCCCTTGAAGCAAACCTGACACGACACAAGTTGCAAGAAAACACATACTGGGAGCTACTGAGAGGAGTACTTTTACTTTTCAGAGTTGTCTTGGATGTTCTCTTCACATACAGATTACTTTCACAGCTCTGCAAATGAACTGCCAGATCTCCTGCAGAATCTAAACACTTTTTGCAGTGCTTGCAGCTGAACTCTTTAATTTTCTTTAAGCGAATTGTGTTCCCTGACAGTGGCATGAGGGACTGTTTTGATATTGTTATCAGCTGTACTGGGAAAGGTTTGGTTGGACCCTTTAACAATGATGATTCTTGAGCTTTGTCTGGACTCTTCACAGCCAGTGGGCACTTATGTTTGGAGTAATCACTTGCCATTATAGACTTGCATCTAGCACACATTGCTACCGTGATGGGAACCGTGGGTATGGGTGGTTTGCAGTCATGTTTCTTTAGAGCAGCTGCTGATGAATTTGTCACTTTACATTTTCCACACTGGTAGGTGACCTTGGTGTTTTCATACTGACCCACTGAATGTGGCTGTACAGGGTGTAGCTTCTGCCGGTGTTTCTCCAGTGCAAAGACACAGTTGAACATCAGATCACAGCAGTTGCAGGACACTGTCTGCAGTTTGCTGTGAACTGCTTGCATGTGTTGAATTAGCAGCTGCTTTGTAGTAAAAACAGGCTTCTTAGGTGAACAGTCACTGCACTGATAACCAAACTTTGCATTCTTCTTCAGTTCCTGCATATGATGATCCATGTGCCTCTCTAACAGACAAGTTGAAGTGAGCAAGATCCTGCACAGTCCACATATCCTACTACCGGTGAATTCCTGCGGATAAGGCTCAAAGCCATGAGTATTCTGAATATGAGACTTTAACAGTACCCATGTTTTGAACTCTTCTTTGCAAAACGTGCACTTGATAATTGTCTTTACATGCTCCTTCATACAGTGTTCTTTCATCTTGGGGTGACTTTCCAGTTGGATGTTGCACACTGGGCACTGAAGTAGGAAGATTCTGTTTTGGTGGTAGCATTCATCATTGAGATGTCTCACAAATGACACATTCTTGTTTGTAAAAGGCTTGCCACATTCTGGACAAACATATTCTGACATGCGTGAATGGATCTTCATGTGGGCATTCAAGGCACACTGTCTTGGCAGGACTTTAGAACAAACAGGACACTGGAATGCAAACGAGCAAACTAATTCATTGGCACCAAAATGGACCTTGAGGATTTTTTCATTTGCAAAAACCTGTCTGCATTCCAAACAGCGGACCATAACTTTGTCAGGGTCCTTTGGCGGAACATTAAACTTTTCAGTTGCCTTCTGAAGATCTTTTTCAGAAGGGGTGACAATAGATAAGTTGTCAGAGTTTATTTTCAGCGGCGGGGGAACCTTACATGTACTGGATGCGTCAACATGCAGTCTCATGTGAGTCAAGAGCTGACATTTGTTGGTAAACTGAAAATCTCCTTTGCATTTGTCACAGTGGTACTTGATTACAATGCTGCATCGCGTCATGTGATGGTTGAGACTGTTCTTCAGTACGTAGCTGTCTCCACACTCAGGGCAAGCATGGTGTTTCTTGTCTGTGAAAGAAGGATGTTTGGAAGCCTTATAACACTTTAAAGTATTTCTCCGCTGAATAAATTCTGACACTTTTCCTAATTCAATTGACTTCAGTTCATGCTGCATGCATTTATCATACACAAGCTTTTCAAAACTTCCATCATCTTGCACACTGTTAGATACATGACGTTTGGCTGATGCCAGAGGCTCCAGGGATGCAACACTTACTTTCACACATGTTGCCATCTCTGATTGCGCAGTTGTGCAACTGGCATCTTTGCTTGTGACAGAGGGAAGTGAAACAAACATGGGACCCTGATCATTCCCTTGTGTTCTCAGAGGAACTAGTAACGCTACAGTTTTGGTCTGAATCCCTTCCTTCCCTACAGCAGCTGTAGTTATGGCCCGTGACACAGGTGCAACTGACGTGGGGCCAATCACATGACTTGGAAGAGTAGGAGGAACAGTGGTCTTCATGGCCATATATGGCAGCACTCTTGGAGATGGCAGAGTGGTGATCAGGGATGCTGACGTTGTTGTGATGGTATGCGATACATTACTTGCTTCTGTCCTACAAAGACTCGCTGGCAGTCGGAACCGCTCAGTCATATCCTGTTTCTTAGCACAGTTGCCTACCTTGACTACTTGAGCAGACGTCAAAGCATCTTCATAACCCTGGTCCTGTGGCTCAGATTTTATCTTCTGCACTGTATCAGCTATGCTGGAAAGGAGAGTACTTGCTTGAGTTGTTGTTGGTGGTGACAACTCCTTATCTGATTCTCCCACAGTATCAGATGTCTTCAGAGTGTTTAGTTCAGGGTCATGTAGAGAGGAGGTTTGTTGGTACAGATCATGCAGGATGTCACCCTCTGAGGTCTGGGTTTCAATCCTGGCGCTATCGTCATTCTGGTTCTTGGAAACTGCTAATTCCCCCTCAGAACATTCATTCAAGTTGGGCCTCTCTTCACATCTCTTTTCTGAATTCTTGGCTGTTTCACTACCATTCACTATTGAACTGGAGCCATCAGGATGGGCTTGATGACCTTTCATATTGCCACCACTTTGTGTTAAAGATTGCTCTTCGTCTGGAATAGATTGTGATGTGTCTCCTACCATGGAGCCAAGAGGGCTGACTTGCCCTTCACAATCTCCCATATTGCCACCATTCCGTGGTGAAGCCTGTGATCCTGTCATAGGGCTGGTGAAACCTTCCTTGGTGCTGTCACCTTTGGACAGGCCCTCGGTGTTTTCGAGATCAATTATTGCCAGAGGATCACTTGAATCTAAATCCACTTCCTCATCAAAGTTTACAGTTCTTACATCACTGATCTCAATGCTAAGTTCAGCATCATAGTCAGGTCCACCCTCTGAGTCTGCTATTCCACCAATGCTTGTGTCGTCTTGATCTTGTGAGCTGCCCATATTTGACACTGTTTCCTGTTCCACTTGTTTATTTTCTCCTTCAGCCTCCATAAGTGTGCCTACAGATTCAATATTAGTTTCAGTATTAACAACATCTGTTTCCATAATTTTATCATTTACGTTTGAGAATTGTTAACTGCAATAACCCCATTACAGATCATGGGGGACTAGAGGGGTCCTGTGGACACCGCTTTCATGTTTCACAACACTGTTTACAGACTGTTGGCACTGTTTGAACATCATCTCATCTGGTCTGTCCTCCATAATACCCCCATTAACATCTGTGGTGCTGCCCTGTAGGTGAAGGGAGAGCATGAAATTCAATTCCAGGTTGGGAGTGACCCAAGGACCCACCTTCACCGTTCATCATTCTAGCTCACCATCTGCAACCAACTATTAGCACCCATATTATTATTCATAACATATATAGATCTCAGACTGGCAAATTGATGTTTTCTAAGGCTGTATTTTTTAAGGGAGCATGTTTTATTCTTGTCACCAGAACCCTTTATGTCCTTTTTAAGGGAGCATGTTTTACTTGAACCCTTATGTCCTTTCCAAAGGGAGATATGCAAGAATGGAACATGTACTAGCATTGCAGTAGTGCAAGTCATGTTAGTTTGCCAAGACTGCACATGGTACTGTCGACTATAACTATTACATACCAAATTTGAGTGCCATGAGATCACTGGTTATTGCTGTGACAAATCAAAACTGTCAACATGGGCGTTCTATAAAGTGCATCAATCACTTAACTACAATATTGTATTCGTGAATAATTATTTGTATTCTATTCATGATAATATCATATTCCAATAGTGTATTCATGAAAACTGTTACAGGATCAAAGTGTCAGTATATTGACATTATATGAGATTACCATGACTCTATTCACACAGTTACAAGACAATAGTTACAAGACGAGAGTGTCTGCAGATGAATTGCAAGAGTGAGAGTATTGTTATAACAAAATCCTCATTGAATCTGTCGAGTTATATGGGATCTTATGAACTGGATGAGCTTGTGAAATAATACACCACAAATCTGAGGGTCTACACAACAAATTCATCAGTTCGCAAGCTGTAAAGAAGTTATAATAACTTATTTCTCGTATCTACCAGGTAACTATTTGTATGTGACTATTCAACCAATTTTGTATCCAATATCAGCTTTTGGTATGGTACATATATCTTGAAGTGTGACCTAGGACATCAACATCATGATGTTATGATACCTGTATACACTGGCCAACTGAACTGGGTTTTTACAAGAAGGAAACTGGCAAATCATATAGCTAGATTGTTTCACAAGTAATTGTGTTAATTAGAATGTTTTCCACACAACAGCTGAAGAGAATACCCTACTTCATATGCAACAGCATATAAATAATTCATACAGAACACCTTATCCTGCATTCAGAATGATATAAAACAGAATTTCATCTTGCTTTAGTCATTGATATTAAGATAGGAAGACCTAAATGATAGTCATTGAGTTATGTTATGAATCAGGCAATTGAGATTGGTGTTACCAAGGTTTCACTGGAGACAGCATTGACTTAATGATTTCAAAATTCTAATTATTTCAAAATGGTGTTTCGGTATTGGTTCAGAAGGTACAAGCATGTGTACGTTCCATTGAAAGAATAAGAAGTGAAAATCCAAGAAAACGCTCAGTCTTCATTGAAGCTGTAGCTTCCAAATGCCACATGCATATCCAATTTTATTTGAGTACTGTTAACTGTAGAACTAACATTATACAGGTCAAATGTGATAAAGACATTTAGGAAATGGAGTTATGTAAAGGGGTAAGTCTGGGATGTACACTGCAACCTTATGTTACAGTGAACTCCATTAAAACAATGAGAGCCTACACGCTACCAGCACACATGGAATCCTAAGCTTGAGATAATATCACCCATTGTTGTGATTAGTCCACAAACATGGACAGCACCCCTCGGTTTCATAAATCAATATCACACATCCTCTGAGCAACACATACTGAGACATATCATCTAATTGTCATATTGTACAAAGCTTCAAAAGCAACTATCTTTCTGCATTAGTTTGTTATTCCTTACAATGCAACTGCAGTCTTCTCACACACATGCAGAGCTGGGAGGTCAGAGGTCACTTCCTGCATGACCTACATAATAAGAGGCAGGCTGTCTGAGCTGCCTACTGCTATCATGGAGTTCAACTGTCCTCACTGACCTAGATCCAAACAGTTCAGCTCAACTCACCCATCCACAACTAGCTGTGGCTACGTAACTAGTTGTCTCAACCATACAAGACTGAATTATAACATATAAACTGTAAATCCTAACGTTTCCCTGACAAGCAAACGCTTGACATTTTTCAATGTTTTACAACATGTTTTCTGTACAAAAACAGCAGTTCAGCATTACATCAAACTGAGAACTAGCCATGAATGATAAACACAGTGACATATTTAACACTTTTTGTAATAATTTCTACTCTGCAAAGTCAGATCAAGTACCTTGTTTTTAGTCTTTGGTTATTCATTTCCATAATGTCTCAATCATCCTGTCAAGCCAAGCTTCATAAATTCATTAAGTATTTCTCACAGTGATTCGTAAATTCAATTACGTTTGTTCCTTACAATCTATTTACATTTCTGTTATTCTCATAATGCATATTTATCAAAGCCATCAAATTTCGTTTGTTAGTTTGCAGTGGACAACATTCCAGGCATACAAACTAACGGGCAAAAGAAACGATACCAAGTCGAAATCACTGATATTACAAAACGACACACCACCATTGTGAAAAAGGAAAGTGAATTTTAATAACAGGTGTATGCCCGGCAACAAGTTAAAATTCACTTTCCTTTTTCACAATGGTGGTTTGTCATTTTGTAATATCAGTGAGATATCGACTACTAAGGCATCGTTTCTTTTGCCCGTTCGTTTATATTTGGTTTGAAACACTTAAGTCTGTGATCATTATGGTGACTAAGTTCCATGGTGCCAGTTTATGCTGTAATTTTCTTGATATTGTAACATATATTACACTCAACAAGGTTGGTTGTTATTTTCTGCAAATAAAACTGGAGTTTACAGGCAAGACAATCTTCAGTGGGACTGCCATCCCCTGGGCCCTTGAAACTAACCTCTATTAACTGTGGACACAATAATTCCAGCTAGCACTTCCTACTGGTGAGGCTCTATCCAGGCCTACAGGAACCTGTTGTTCAACCTAACATATTGTTGCAAAAGGTCATTTAAAGAACATTCCAAAAATCCAAGAACCTGTACATTATACAGTGAAATGAAGAAAGAAGGATTACATGTACCAGTGCATAAATACTCTGGGCACCTTCACAGCACAGAAGATAATTCCATCTCCACGTTCAATCACCTGACCAGCATATGTTTCCATTCCTACACACCATCACCTAACCAGCATATGATCCCATCCCCTACACACATCACCTGATCAGCATATGATCCCATCCCCCTCCACACATCACCTAACCAGCATATGATCCGATCCCCTACACACATCACCTGACCAGCATATGATCCCATCCCCACACACACATCACCTGACCAGCATATGATCCCATCCCCACACATCACCTGACCAGCATATGATCCCATCCCCACACATCACCTGACCAGCATATGATCCCATCCCCACACTCCATCACCTGACCAGCCCATATGATCCCATTCCCACACACATCACCTAACCAGCATATGATCCCATCCCCTGACCAGCATATGATCCCATCCCCACACATCACCTGACCAGCATATGATCCCATCCCCATCCCCACCATCACCTGACCAGCATATGATCCCATCCCCACACATCATCTGACCAGCATATGATCCCATCCCCACACACATCACCTGACCAGCCAAGGTCTAGAAAACACAGTATATTGATTGATGTTGTGAGGAATAACCCACGGTGTCGGAGCATGATGTCACACTATTGAACCTAGTCACCATGCCTCACCATGCCTAACCATCTGATCCATGTGACCTTACGGCCACCCTAGGTTGCATGGGACTCATGCAGAATATGCTATGATCTCCTCCCCCATATCCTGCTGGATGATGGTGCTAACCCACTGACATATTAATCCTTTCAAGTATTGTTGGACACTGTAAATATGACAGAACTAGGTGTTACAGATTAACGATGTAATATGAAAGAATCAAGTGGTCCTTGACTTAGTGTGACTAGCATATGAACATGTCTTTGTCGAGACAAACTTGATGACTTGGTGTTAACTACATCGTAGTACATGTATCTAGACATCAACAAGTTCTCGGTATAGATGCAAGCTACCTGTGTGTAACCCATGGCATTGCAATGCTTCAGATTGTTAGTCCCCATTCAATAGTAGACATACAAATATCAATAACTGTCAATTTCAAATTAATAAGATACCTTGCACCTTTCTGACACACTGCCAGGTAATGCATCGTTTGAACCAAATTACATAGTCAAATTTATCGGAGGCTTTGGTGTTGAGCTAGTCACCCTCAAGTATACACCAAACATCAGCTTACGTTTATTGTATATTCTGAGACAAATAACTTTGGTGTCGCATTACACATAGAAATATACATTGATGATTTAGAAAAAGGGGAGAAGGGAACACTGTTGCCATCTTATAGAAGCATTGCCTTGTTATTTGTCCACGATAAAAAAGCAAAGGTAAACATGGTCAAAGGGAGGAAACTCTGGGTCACACCATCCCAGATCAATACGGAAGAAACAGTTTCAAAAGTCAAGGTCATAACATCTGACACCATAAAGCTGTGAATGAGGCTATTTAGTTCAACAAGATATCAGCGTACAGTCGAAATTATCAACAGGTCACATTGCAAATGACAGTAACAGTAATCAAATCGTGTTATACTCAATGATTTATATGCACATGTATAGGAGTAACTGACTGTAGTTTTCAGACTAACACTACTGCAGTGGCCATGTTTTATCTCACTTTGGAAGTCCTGACGAGCAGTTTCATGACAAAATGACCCAGAAGTGATGACTGAGAACTCAAAACTTGAATAGTGAGAGGGATACAATAAATAAATTATTGCATTTTCATCCATGTGAGTAGGTAATATATCTTAAGGATATATTTTCACAGTTTGTAGGTACTTGGGAATAATAAATGATGTGATGTTTGGCAGTTAGGCAAAGATTTGAACATCTAATTACAACTTTATAACAGATTAACATATATTGCCCAGAAATACTGGGAAAACGTCAACATACACTTGTTACATGAAAACAAACTCACTTATATATAAGCAACTTAAATGCCAGAGAATAACCTGTATTGATTATTTGCCGTAACAAATTCTTTTGAGTATAAAAGGCAACGTGGCAATGAAATTCATATGACTGGATCATTGAAAATAAAAAATGACACCATGTATCTTCAAAAGGTGTAGGTGCATCCAGCCCCAACTGTGGCACCCACAACCATGACAACTCACACAATTTGCATAAAAAATGTTCTCACGTTTGAAAGACACGGTATTCAAATAATTAGAAAGGCATTGAATCAGGAGACTGTAATTCTATGTGGGAAATGATGATTCATTGAGTATTAAGACTGGTCAGGAGAGCCCTAATAATATGATACAAGATGATCTAGTCTTGTGAAAGAAAGAAGAACAACATAATTTGATGGAACATTTGTGTGAAGAGGACACACAAATTTAACGTATGGAAGTGAACTAGTCCAAGGTATCTAACACAACAGAATTGAGATCTATTACACCTATTCGAGGATGAAAGCTATACATGGCATATCAATATTCACAAAGTGATCATATCTAAAAATGCTGAAACTTTTCTCGAACAATCATTCCATATTCTTCTACTTTCATTTCACAAGTTTATTCAGAACCACTCTTTTTGACAAATTTTATTTTTAGTTTCCTAATGTTACACAGTACATTAATATAAAGAAATACAATTGATATTTCACTTTGTGCCAGAAATTTTTTGGGTTTGCCTTATTAGCACAACAATTTTTAGTAACGTGAGCTGGAATGTACATAATAAATTGAACATTTTGCTTTCCTAATAATATAATCTAAGTCTGTTGATTGATGAAGTTGATATTTTATCAACAGCACGTGTACGCTCCTAAATTATGTTGATCTTTAACTCCAGACATGAAACCGTATGACGGAGATCAACTATGTCATCATAAACTGTTACACACTGAGGCTGTTGTTTCATCATGATTTCCTTGTTGCAGAACCTTTCACCAACTAAACATGTTACAATGTAGAACCTTTCAAAGAAAATTTGTACTTAGGTAAGAAAAGAATAAATCAATATTTAGTGGATTACTTTTCGACAAGTAAGCCAACCTGATTATAACTTCTCCAAAGTTGCTGCTCTAAAATATATTACGATATAATTGATATATAATCAGACGCTAACTACTAGTATAGATCTGTTATCATTCACACTGACGCAGCCCAACTTACACTACAAGAATACTGCAATACATAATGTCATCTACAAACCGCACTTAAATGTAGTTTAACCGGGCACTTAGTTTAAACAGAAACAACAACAATTGCACTTCTGCACTTGAAAGAATCACATTTACCTTGAAGGTCAGGTCACACTGTGACACTGAGATTGTTCTTGGGTTGGAAATATGACTAATATTTCCTGCAATTTGGATGCTTTACTTACACTTCAGTATGGATTTTTTTCTTGGAAAAAGTCTGTTGTTGAGTGTACTTCAATTTGCAAAAGAAAATTCTCTCTCAAAATGAAGTATGCATTTTACCAATCTGACATGATTTCCTCACTGTGAAAACTCACACAAGGCTATGTGTACAAAATGGCTGACATCCCTAGTCTGAAAAAGAGGCTGGTGAGCTGTAAAAACGTTGAACTGGAATGCAATATGAACAGAACTTGTGATTGTTGAATAAAATGAGTTAGCAAAATCTATCGAGTACAATTTGAAACATAAAGTCACCTTTAATCAACTTTGCTACTGCACATGGCGATGTTACCGGGGACATGTCACGTGACGCCGCTATACCATGATGCACCACTTGGAAAATGGCGGCCCCCATGAACGAGAGTTCATGCGTTTTCGTTATTGCTGAATGCGGGTATATTTCTCCTATGTAGCAATCAGCGCTGACTACGGACGGTCGTTATCTCGTCGGCTCATCTAAATGCTTTTATGCACTTTGTTTTAATTCATTACAAATGTTTTTGTTCGATCATGCAGGGAACCTTTTCGTGGATATCGAGTTGACGAAAATGCATCACGATCAGATGGTGTAAACAACACCACAGTAGACGGCTATTGCAGTGACCATGTATTTTATGCTTTTACGTGCAATTACACAGGTTTGACCAGCTGTGACTTCCGGGATAACAGCTGATAATCAACAATGAAATACATTAAAATGCAGACTCAGAATATGTGCGCCTTGTTCATTGTTTTGATGCTGAAGTTTGCTTCAGGTGAAACTCTCAAAGGTCATCATCAGCCTTTGGGCTCTCACACATCTCCTCGTGGTGTGACTTTCATAGGCAAATTCTCATCACCAGGTGTGTTTTATGAAAATTTTGTAAAGGAAAGTCAACCATTATTAATGAAGTCACCCCTCCTGGACAATCCTTTCCCAGCATTTGAAAAATGGACTGATGGTTATCTTCGGTAAGAATAATTTGAAAAGCTATGTGAACATAGGTGAGACAATTTGGCATCATGATTAGGATTATTGTTGGGTTTTTGTCTGTGTCACATTTCTTTATCGGTACACAGTTTGACTTCTATAGATATCAGAGATGACTGGTTATTTAGTGCAGATCTGTACATTATGGCAATATCATGAAAACATGCATATTTTTCAAAATATATCACAATGACCAAAATTCCTTGTGTTAGACATCTAAGAAATTATGTATATTATGTAACTTAATTGTTACTTAAATGTTTATGTTGTAAAGTGCTTCATAACAACTTTTGCACATGTATACAGATGAAACACATGGAAAATGAAAATCGGGAAACTCTTAAAGGACAGATCAAAACCAAAAAGAAGCATTGGTAAAAAAATTGAAAATTGTATTATTTGTCTTGACAAATAGGAATAATAATAATGACAATTATTATGGATATACAACTTCTTTTATTCTGTGGAGGCGATGTTCTAATAGGTTCTAATGTTGTTGTCAAGCAAGTGATACATGAGTAACAAATTGAGAGAAATCTGTATTGGTTAGTAGATTGTACGTACATGTTAGCCATGAAGTAGGAACTTTCAATTTCTGATCTGGGAATTATTTCCTGACATTTGCAACAGATGGCCTATGAACAGACTCAGACAAATCCATGGTAGAGCTAATAAACAAGTTCATTTTGGATTAAAATCTTTAATTATAGCGTATTTTTTATTACAAGTTCTTTTTTAATCTCTGAATAATGCTACAACATACTACATGTAATAGGAGTATTGGACTGCAGTGTTATGTTCACATCCACTCTTGTCCATTTCCTGATAATCAAACATGGGTATGAAGTTAGCGTTTGGAATTACCTTCATTTAATAAAACCCTCAGGTTTAATTACAGCAAACTTCATCAACATGATCAAACACTGGAAGTGGTATATTTCAGTTTGCATGTTTCCTGGGCTTTGAATTTTCAGGGAGGAATACGGGAGTGAGGTGGTGTCAGTGGAACAGTCTAAAAAGGAAAAGAGGAACAAGCCCACATCCACCATGACCCTCCATGAGTTCCTAGATCTCTATCAGAAGAAGAATGTCTACTTGGTTCAGTCACTTCCCAGCAGCATGAAAGGTAATCTCAGCCTAAGAAAGTTGTCTTTGTAGGACGAGTAGAAACCTTATTTCAGATGTACCTAGTGTTCATGGCCAGTGCTACTTGCACTACAAACACATATGTACAATGTTTACATTGTCATCCATTCTTTTCACTTCCATTCCGTGACAAACTTAGGCAGAGCACCAGATAAGATTTAGCTCATGTGGGTACTGTACCCACTGTATTTTTTTGGAGTGGGTATTATGAATGTTGAGTGGGTATTTCATTTTCTGTTACCCACTGCTTTCAAACGTGTGCATTTCAGTCATTTTACTCACCTAAGTATATTGACTCAGCCTTATGACTATGTCATACCTAATCAAAACCAACTTAAATATAATGGAAATGAGTTCATAAAAAGTCCCTCATCCTAAATGGACAGTACAGCACTTGTCCTATACTAACAGTACAACTTGATAGCAATCAATGTCTTTTTCATTACACAAGCGATTTTTATAAATATATTCCGTAACGCCTTTGTTTTAAACTTTTGCGTATCTAACATTTTAAATGCATTATTGGTACGCAACAGTTATTTTTCAATGCATAGTTTCAAATTTTATATGAGTATTTTACCCGGATACGCAGCTTATCTGGGCCTCTGATTAGGCATTGAAAAATCAAAATTAATAATCTCAAATGGTACAAGAAATGAGGGCCAATGTGGTTGAATTTATACTTGTTCTCTACAGTTTAGAAGTCTGCTACTAATTATGTAGAATGTGTAACAGTAATAATATCACTGATTAATATCACATTTTTCTCATGTGCTCACATTATTAAGATCTAAAGGGTCATTATATCCAGATAAATATACATCTTGTCTGTTTACAAATTCTGTATACTAATGTCAACAGAAAATGCCCAGCTTCTACAGAATGTGGCTACATTTACACACCTTGTACTGTGAATGTGCATGTTTCAAGTATTAAAATCGTTTCACATATGCTATGGCCTCTAGCCTTCAGTTCGAAATATACAGATTGAACCTCTAATCTTATATATCAAGTGAACAAGTTAATTAACATTCATCCAAAATGAAAATGCCTTCGGGATAAATATTAAATATAGTTCATGATAAGATTATTATCAGCTGATGTCTGAGGGGCAAGCTCCTAAAATCCCCTGAAAGTTGAGTGGGGCAGCTTAAAATAGTTGCTGGAAAATTTTTAACTAGGAGGGGCAAGGGGGTAGCCTAGTGGTTAAAGCACTCGCTCATCACGCCGAAGGCCCGGGTTTCGATTCCCCACATGGGTACAATGTGGAACCCATTTCTGGTGTACCCCGCTGTGATATTGCTGGAATATTGCTCAAAGCAGCATAAAACCCAACTCACTCACTCCCTTTGAACTAAGAAAGGATCATGCATACATCTGTTGCCTGTTTACTGGAAGGTGGTTGGTATCTTGTTTTGAAGGTTCAGCTTTGGTGTACTTTCATTTCCATGGTTACCATGGTTACAGATGATGTCCACCTTCCCATCACCCTACAGTGTGGGGGAATCCAGCATGTGCTGCAGGACACAGTTCTGTGGATGAGCAGTGGCGGCACCAAGTCCGTTCTACACAGCGACAAACTGGACAATCTGCTGTGTGTGCTCAGTGGAACCAAGGATGTCATCCTCATTGATAAGGTGTGTGGTTTACTGAGGCAGTGATGTGCTGTGGCAGGTTTGATCTAAGACAGTCATGTACTGAGACAGTGGTTAATTTAGACATGTTTTGAAGCAGTGATGTATTAAAGCACTGGTGTATTGAGGCAGTGTTGTGTTTCAGGCAGAGGTGTGTCAAGGCAGTGGATTAAACTTAATTACTGTCCAGTAGTGTTGGGAATTGGTTGGAATCACACAACTGATAATTGGCTTATTACCAATGAGCAATCATCGAAAAAAATTGGTTAGCATCGTTTTTCAGATGTTTCTATGTAGGTTGTTAATGCAGATAGGTATAAGGTGGTTCTCTGTTGTTGTGTTTGTTTTATTTCGAAACTGCGCAAATTGCATTTGCAAATTTCACATCCCATGTAAAAAATGATGCAACTTGCTTCTTTAAAGTGATGACTAATAGATCAAGAACAAAAACTTCCCGTAGTTTTAAGAAATATTTAGTCATGACTTATCAGCAAGTGAAGTGAGTTTTCTAAGCATTCAACACGTTTTATGTCCCTGACAACTCTAAAAATATGTCAAGTGTTTCAAACACTAAGACAACGGTTCCAAAATCGTTTGTGTTCAATTATGCAAAAATGTGATTGAAAAGCATGGTCGTTTGGTCACTGCAACCAATCTTTTCAATTAATTGGAACACCACTACTGTCCATGAAACGTGATTCCGTGTTGACGAGGCATCTGTTCTGCAGTGATGATGTAGACTGTTGTGACTTGGTATTGTCTAGCTGTGCTCATACACCATGACTCTGACCAAGGCAGGATCACATGAATCTTCTCTCTGAGCAGAACTAACGATAGCCAGAGCAGTGTAGAGTCACCAGAGTGGAGCAGGCACTGAATAACCATGGTAGAATAGGTACCGAGTAGCCAGGGCGGAGTAGTTACTGGGTAACCAGGGTGGAGTAGGTACCGAGTAGCCAGGGTGGAGTAGTTACCAGGAAACCAAGGTGGAGTAGGTACTGAGTATCCAGGGTAGAGTAGTTACCAGGAAACCAGGGTGGAGTAGGTACCGAGTAGCCAGGGTAGAGTAGTTACTGGGTAACCAGGGTGGAGAAGGTACCGAGTAGCCAGGGTAGAGTAGTTACTGGGTAACCAGGGTGGAGAAGGTACTTAGTAGCCAGGGTAGAATTGTATCCAGGAAACCAGGGTGGAGTAGGTACCGAGTAGCCAGGGTGGAGTAGGTGCTGAGTAACCAGGGAGTAGTAGGTGCTGAGTTACGGGGGTAGAGAATGTACTGAGGAAGCATGGTAGAGTATGTACCGAATAACCTGGGTGGAGTTGGTACAGAGTTACCAGGGTGAAGTATGTACTGAGTAACCTGGATGGAGTAGTTACTGGGTAACCAGGGTGGAATATGTACTGAGTAGCCAGGGAATAATAGTTACTGGGTAACGTGGGTGGAGTAAGTACAAAGTAGCCAGGGTAGAATAGTTACTGGGTAACCAGGGTGGAGTAGGTACTGAGTAGCCAGGGTGGAGTAGTTACTGGGTAACCAGGGTGGAGTAGGTACCGAGTAACCAGGGTGGAGTAGGTACCGAGTAGCCAGGGTGGAGTAGTTTCCTGGGTAACCAGAGTGGAGTAGGTACTGACTAGCCAGGGTAGAGTAGTAACCAGGGTGGAGTAGTTACTGAGTAGCCAGGGTAGAGTAGTAACCAGGGTGGAGTAGTTACTGAGTATCCAGGGTAGAGTAGTTACCAGGAAACCAGGGTGGAGTAGGTACCGAGTAGCCAGGGTAGAGTAGTTACTGGGTAACCAGGGTGGAGAAGGTACCGAGTAGCCAGGGTAGAGTAGTTACTGGGTAACCAGGGTGGAGAAGGTACTTAGTAGCCAGGGTAGAATTGTATCCAGGAAACCAGGGTGGAGTAGGTACCGAGTAGCCAGGGTGGAGTAGGTGCTGAGTAACCAGGGAGTAGTAGGTGCTGAGTTACGGGGGTAGAGAATGTACTGAGGAAGCATGGTAGAGTATGTACCGAATAACCTGGGTGGAGTTGGTACAGAGTTACCAGGGTGAAGTATGTACTGAGTAACCTGGATGGAGTAGTTACTGGGTAACCAGGGTGGAATATGTACTGAGTAGCCAGGGAATAATAGTTACTGGGTAAGTAGGGTGGAGTAAGTACAAAGTAGCCAGGGTAGAATAGTTACTGGGTAACCAGGGTGGAAGTAGGTACTGAGTAGCCAGGGTGGAGTAGTTACTTGCGCGGTATTTCAGATGGCTTCCGCGGAAGTTAAAGAATCAAAACTACTTACTAATTGTAATAAAATATGCATATGATTGATGACCATAAAGATTTTCCATGACACAACTTGTAACATAGCGATTTCTTCTCCGAGGCGAGGTTGTGGTTGAAGTAACAATAATATTGTAAAGTAGTATTATATTGACACCCACCTACGCTGCCAGGAGAAATTTGTTATGTTATCGCTATAATCATACAAAATCCTATTGGCCATCAATAAAATACATATTTTACTACCGGTAGAAAGTAGTTTTGATTTTGTAACTTCGGTGAAAACAAACCTAAATACCATTTATCCTCAGACTGGCGGATGTTCCCAGACAGTAGCCGCCATTTTAAAAATAAAAAAAATCTGTTAGAATTAATGAGATTATAGTTTGTTTTTTCATCAAGTTAGAAAATCAAGACTACTTTCTACTAAATGGTAAATATGTATTGGAATCATAACCAAAAGCATTTTGCATGACACAACTTCTAACATAGCGATTTCTTCCCGCGAGGCGAGGTGGAAGTCGAAGTCACAATACTCTTGCGATAACTTTCTTGCTACATTCCCATGGTTAATGTCCACTCACCAGTATGTAGATACTAGTCAGTAATGCGTCTTTATATTTGGTCTTATAATCCTAATTAAATACTTGTATGCATTTTGAAACTAAATAAAAGCAGGCGATCTGCTGAATACTTATAGTGAATTTATAACAGAACTGTAATATCTAGACATTATATAGTTTGCCAATGTGAATCATAATTAGCACACACACCCCTAGTGCATGTTGTCTGTCTCATTACACTTCCTTCGAAAACAATGATTCTGTTGATATGCTCGACAAATGAATAAAAACAAAATGCAAATATTAAAATTAAAACAGATTAAAGTTATAGGAACAATATCAGGCCATTACCTTGTTGAGGAATGTATCCATCAATATCCACAAAACTGTTCCAAATGATGTGTCTTTTAACAGTTTAATATATCTGAAAAAGTGATAAATCTTTTCAGGTATTGGTGTATAGTCTCATTGGTCACCCAAGATAGCACACCTGGCAACTAATTGCATAATGTCCATGCTTTCTTTAAAACAGTAATTTAGTTAGCCAATAATGGGCAATCAATCAATGTATTGCGGTTAATCCTTTGAAAGAAGGGCGTTGTTTTTACAGCAGAACACCGACCGCGACAGAGTGTATTCAGTATAGATTAGTAAAATCTACATACATAAACACTACCTTTTGACAATTCCGCTGTGTAAGATAAAAGTAATTAATCAATCAGCGTGTTATCGGTTAATCCTTTGATCGATGTTTATAATGTTGAATATTTACTCAGACACAAGAAATGCCAAATGGGAACCTTTGTCGAGTTAATCTAAGTGTGTTACCACTAATTATACCTGTTATAAATTCATTAACTGACCATCAAGTGAATGATGACAAATAACATATGTAGGTATATACCACCTAACACGGGTTACAACAAGGGAGTATTAATTGCTGTATTGCATGTGAAAACTTATGGGCCGACACTGTTTTGAGAATACAAACAGATTTTTACATGACATGATTAAATATCGAGGTAAAAAACACAGAAATGGGATCAATTTGGATCAGTCATTATACAAATAGGGCCCTAACGACACCAATCGATTTTGACAGAATCGTCTATGAAAACAAGTTGTAACTTCGGAAACTAGGCAAAGCAGGAGACAAAATTAAATGACAGTAGATTGTGAGAACATATAGCTTTCATTTTCCACAACAATTGTCCGCGATTTCAGGTTTATACAAGCCTGTAAACAAGATAATTTAACCCCTAAAATGTAGATGAATTCTGCATCGGCCCTCAAAGCTATTCCTCATATGGCGTCACAGATCTTGGCTCTGATTGGTTGAAATTTAGTTCGCCTTGGTGAAATTGTGCACTGTTGTCAAAAGGTCGATTTAAGTCAATTAAAGGTCGAAATGAGTAGTTTTAATGGCGGGGTTTTCATTTATAACGATGCCAGTTAGTGATTTATGTATTTTCACCCCTAGGGTTTATGTGACCTTTAACTGTTTACAAATTCTGTATACTAATGTCAACAGAAAATGCCCAGCTTCTACAGAATGTGGCTACATTTACACACTTGTACTGTGAATGTGCATGTTTCAAAATATTAAAATCGTTTCACATATGCTATGGCCTCTAGCCTTCAGTTCAGAAATATACAGATTGAACCTCTAATCTTATATATCAAGTGAACAAGTTAATTAACATTCATCCAAAATGAAAATGCCTTAGGGATAAATATTAAATATAGTTCATGATAAGATTATTATAAGCTGATGTCTGAGGGGTAAGCTCCTAAAATCCCTGAAAATTGAGTGGGGCAGCTTAAAATAGTTGCTGGAAAAATTTTAACTAGGAGGGCCAAGGGGGTAGCCTAGTGGTTAAAGCTAACGCTCGCTCGTCACGCCGAAGGCCCAGGTTTCGATTCCCCACATGGGTACAATGTGTGGAACCCATTTCTGGTGTACCCCGCCGTGATATTGCTGGAATATCTCTCAAAGCAGCATAAAACCCAACTCACTCACTCACTTTGAACTAAGAAAGGACCATGCATACATCTGTTGCCTGTTTACTGGAAGGTGGATGGTATGTTGTTTTGAAGGTTCAGCTTTGGTGTACTTTCATTACCATGGTTACAGATGATGTCCACCTTCCCATCACCCTTCAGTGTGGGGGAATCCAGCATGTGCTGCAGGACACAGTTCTGTGGATGAGCAGTGGCGGCACCAAGTCCGTTCTACACAGCGACAAACTGGACAATCTGCTGTGTGTGCTCAGTGGAACCAAGGATGTCATCCTCATTGATAAGGTGTGTGGTTTACTGAGGCAGTGATGTGCTGTGGCAGGTTTGATCTAAGACAGTCATTTACTGAGACAGTGGTTAATTTAGACATGTTTTGAAGCAGTGATGTATTTAAGCAGCGGTGTATTTAGGCAGTGTTGTGTTTCAGGCTGGGGTGTGTCAAGGCAGTGGATTAAACTTAAGTACTCTCCAGTAGTGTTGGGAATTGGTTGAAATCACAACTGATAATTGGTTTATTACCAATGAGCAATCATCGAAAAAAATTGGTTAGCGTCATTTTTCAGATTTTTCTATTTAGGTTGTTAATGCATGCAGATAGGTATAAGGTGGTTCTCTTTTTGTTGTTTTTTGTTTGTTTTATTTCGAAACTGCGCAAATTGCATTTGCAAATTTCACATCCCATGTAAAAAATGATGCAACTTGCTTCTTTAAAGTGATGACTAATATATCAAGAACAAAAACTTCCCGTAGTTTTAAGAAATATTCAGTCATGACTTATCAGCAAGTGAAGTGAGTTTTCTAAGCATTCAACACGTTTTATGTCCTTGACAACTCTAAAAATATGTCAAGTGTTTCAAACACTAAGACAACGGTTCCAAAATCGTTTGTGTTCAATTATGCAAAAATGTGATTGAAAAGCTTGGTCGTTTAGTCACTGCGACCAATCTTTTCAATTAATTGGAACACCACTACTGTCCATGAAACGTGATTCCGTGTTGACGAGGCATCTGTTCTGCAGTGATGATGTAGACTGTTGTGACTTGGTATTGTCTAGCTGTGCTCATACACCATGACTCTGACCAAGGCAGGATCACATGAATCTTCTCTCTGAGCAGAACTAACGATAGCCAGAGTAGTGTAGAGTCACCAGAGTGGAGCAGGCACTGAATAACCATGGTAGAATAGGTACCGAGTAGCCAGGGCGGAGTAGTTACTGGGTAACCAGGGTGGAGTAGGTACCGAGTAGCCAGGGTGGAGTAGTTACCAGGAAACCAAGGTGGAGTAGGTACTGAGTATCCAGGGTAGAGTAGTTACCAGGAAACCAGGGTGGAGTAGGTACCGAGTAGCCAGGGTAGAGTAGTTACTGGGTAACCAGGGTGGAGAAGGTACCGAGTAGCCAGGGTAGAGTAGTTACTGGGTAACCAGGGTGGAGAAGGTACTTAGTAGCCAGGGTAGAATTGTATCCAGGAAACCAGGGTGGAGTAGGCACTGAGTAACCTGGGTGGAGTAGGTGCTGAGTAACCAGGGTGTAGTAGTAGGTGCTGAGTTACGGGGGTAGAGAATGTACTGAGTAAGCATGGTAGAGTATGTACCGAATAACCTGGGTGGAGTTGGTACAGAGTTACCAGGGTGAAGTATGTACTGAGTAACCTGGATGGAGTAGTTACTGGGTAACCAGGGTGGAATATGTACTGAGTAGCCAGGGTAGAGTAGTTACTGGGTAACCAGGGTGGAGTAAGTACAAAGTAGCCAGGGTAGAATAGTTACTGGGTAACCAGGGTGGAGTAGGTACTGAGTAGCCAGGGTGGAGTAGTTACTGGGTAACCAGGGTGGAGTGGTTACTGGGTAACCAGGGTGGAGTACTGGAGTAACCAGGGTGGAGTAGGTACTGAGTAGCCAGGGTAGAGTATTTACCGAGTAACCAGGGTGGAGTAGGTGCTGAGTAGCCAGGGTAGATTAGTTACTGGGTAACCAGGGTGGAGAAAGTACTTAGTAGCCAGGGTAGAATTGTATCCAGGAAACCAGGGTGGAGTAGGTACTGAGTACCTGGGTGGAGGGAGGTGCCTGGGTGGAGTAGGTGCTGAGTAACCAGGAATGTACTGAGTAAGCATGGTAGAGCTATGTAACCCGAATAACCTGGGTGGAGAATGTACTGAGTAACCATGGTAGAGTATGTACCTGGATGGAGTAACCTGGGTGGAGTAGGTACTGGTAGCAGGGTGGAGTAGGTACTAGTTACCAGGGTGAAGTAATATGTAGTAGTAGCCTGGGTGGAGTAGTTACTGGGTAACCAGGGTGGAATATGTACTGAGTAGCCAGGGTAGAATAGTTGCTAGTTACTGGGTAACCAGGGTGGAGTAGAGTACTGAGTAGCCAGGGTGGAGTAGCCAGGTACTGAGTAACCAGGGTGGAGTAGGGGTAGTTACTGGGTAACCAGGGTGGAGTATGTAGTGAGTAGCCTGGGTAGAATAGTTACTGGGTAACCAGGGTGGAGTAGTTACCAGGTAACCAGGGTAGAGCAGGTACTGAGTAACCAGGGTGGAGTAGGTACCGAGTAGCCAGGGTGGAGTAGGCATAGTGTAGCCAGGGTCTCATGACCACATCCTTCCTCTTTTCTGTTCCCTTTTGCCGCCCTTTCCCTGTATATAAGTGGGACTCGGAACTAATTGTGGTTCATGGTGCCCTGGCATTGAATTGCTGATGCTTCCAATCACTGGTTGGAAATAAAATCTTTGCAGTTTGTGTTTGGTATGAATCAGCAAGTGTTTACTGATGTTACTAAAGGTTCACAAGTCGGATGTGGAGGCACACGGGTTTGTTCAGGAAGGGACGTACAGCACAGTGGACGTGGACAGTGTCAACTTGATGCAGTTCCCCAGACTGAAGGCCGTACCCTGGCATCGAGCACATCTTCAGGCTGGAGACTGCATATATATACCTTATAAGTAAGACTGCATCTCTCTGCCTTACCAGAACATCGCCACTCTCAATTGTTTCAATTGTTGTAACCCATGAAGATCCGGGTTAGAATTGGTCTTCAGTAACCCATGCTTGTTGTAAGAGGCCACTTACGGGATTGGGTGGTCAGGGCTGCTGACTTGGTTGCAACATGCCATCGCATCCCAATTGTGTAGATCGATGCTCATGTTGTTGATCACTGGATTGTCTGGTCCAGACTCGATTATTTACAGACTGCCAATATATAACTGGAATATTGCTGATTGCAGTCTAAAACAAAAAACAAACCAAATCAAATGTTGTATTTACCAGAACTTCAGTTCATAACCTTGATCATTCAAACCTTGGTCAAAGGGAGATAATCAAGTGAAGTAAAGTGCTTTTTTATACTTTTATTTGGAAGTCACTGTTTAAGAACCTCTCTACAACTGTTTTCAGCCATTACTGAGTTGGTGTTTATTGCAGATGGTACCATCAGGTCAACTCTTTTGGTGGGGAAAAGAATCGCAATGTGGCTGTCAACTACTGGTTCTCACATCGGTGGTGGCACAACGCCACAGACTGTCGACAGTTCCAACAACTCAACGTAACAGAACCACTTTCCAAGTTCAAATTAGCATCAACCAATGAACAAATTAGGTTTGTTTTTACTGTGACAACTTCAGAATACTCATACAATTTGAATAATCACGGTTTGTCTGAATTACTGCCGATGTGACTTTAAATTTAACTCACTCACTCACTATACAATTTGAACTGATTGAAATGTTTCCACTCAGATTCTATCACCATGATTTAATACCTCTCCATCCAGAGATTACAAACCTTCCACGGGACAAATCAGGTGTGACATATTTATCATCAAATTAGCATTGAAGCCTCAAAATTCTCGGAGCAGTGTATGTCAGAGTTTCTTATCGTGGCAGTTCTGTTTGGAAGAGGATAAAGACCATGATATGTTTGAGATATTTCACACTTTTGTTTTTAGCCTTTTAGCCTTTGAAGTAAGGTAGTTACCACACCTGTTCATCAGCTGTCAGTAAATCTACCCTGAAAGTGCTGTCAGTAAATCTACCCTGAAAGTGCTGTCAGTAAATCTACCCTGAAAATGCTGTCAGTAAATCTACCCTGAAAGTGCTGTCAGTAAATCTACCCTGAAAGTGCTGTCAGAGGACTCTGATTTCACAGTGGAGCCAAATCATTTTGATTGGCCCAATACACAGTACATACTACATAATACAAGGGTGGTGGACGGGTATCAATTCAGAGTTACATCAATTGTTAATACTAATTAAATATCTGAAAAAATCTTCCTTTTTAGTTGTCATGTGACTCCTGAAGTGTAAACTGGTCAAGTCTGACAACCAGGAAGTGACAGTTCACAGCACAGTTTGGCTAGGGACGCTATGGGTGTGGCTGGCAGTGCTAACTGAACCAAACTGTAGAAATGTCACATGTACATCCATCGATAATATTGAGACAAAACATTGATTTGGATCATTGTTGTATGTGATAACTCATTTCAGTTCTTTTCAAATAACAACACAGTATTGTCAACTTGGTATGTTGATTCAGTGAATCTATTTGTCATATCCGTCACATCAGTGGTAATCCTTGCAAGGTCTTCATACTGTGTGCAGGATGATCAGAGTAGTCCCCTTGGGAACAGTTGGAACAACGCTTTCTGCAATAATCATGTAGGTGTAGAACAAGTCAATTGTTTTGTCTGGTCCACTTAACATTACACTATTGTACATATTGATGGAGAAAAGCAGTAGTTATGGCTCACTGGTATTTCTCGAGTCTATTAATACAGATAGGTGTCAGTAGATTAATTACTACTGACACACAAGGCACCACTTTGTTGAGGAGCACCTGCTAATGATGTAGAATTGCCATTGATGGATCTGCTGGTCATGGGTTCAAGTCTCAGTTGGCATCATATCTGTGCTTATCAGTTTCAGTAATATGTCAGTGTTAAAGTTCTCACACCTCACACTAAAATGTCATGATATAACTTGATTGGTTGAAAAATGTTCCCAGTATCTGAAAGCCTGTTTGCTTGCTGATCACACACTCATCAAGCCTGTACACAAATAACTCAGTCGCTCCCCTACTTACACATGCCTACACGTTACACTTTACACAAACAAGCTGCACTGCATTAGCATGTAATAATTGTTGTGCATGTTTGTTTCGCTTGTATGACACACAGTAACCACTGACCTGTGGAGATCCAGGTTAGAATTGATCTTCAGTAACCCATGCTTGTTGTAAGAGGCAACTAACGGGATCGGGTGGTCAGGCTCGCTGACTTGGTTGACACATGTCATCGTTCCCAATTGATCACTGGACTGTCTGATCCAGACTCGATTATTTACAGACTGCTGCCATATAGCTAGAATAAATCCGAATATTGCTGATTGCGGCATAAAATTAAACTCACTCTCAGTAACATTCTTCCTACCTATCTAACACTTCCTGATTGTTTGTGTTGTACAGGAGCCATATACTGGAGCCCCTCAGTGAGATGGACAGCATCAGCAAGGCTGACTTTGTGTCTGTGTTCCTAGCTGGAGCAGCTCCAGCAGAGGAGGTATGTCTGTGTTAGACCCCTTTCATCATGTGAGAAATATAGTCATAGAAATAGTCTTCAGGAAAAAGTTACTGTGATTACGAGTTAGAGTTTGCCTTTTAGTTTTACAAGATTTGCATGCATGATATCTCTCTGGCTCTTGGTTTCACTGAGGAGGTGAAGATCTGGGCTAGAACTGATCTTCTGCAACCCATGCTTGTCGAAAGGGGCAGACTAGTGGGATTGGGTGGTCAGACTCACTGACTTGATTGACACATGTCATCGTATCCCAGTTACGTAGATTGATGCTCTTGCTGTTGTTCACTGGATTGTCTGGTCCAGACTTTATTATTTACAGACTGTCGTCATATAGCGTGAATATTGCTGACTGCAGGGTAAAACTAAACTCACACACTCAAGCTATATAAGCTGACATGCCATGTTGTAGTTGAAATACTGTTTTAAGTGCATTTTTCACACATTCACTCACTCCCTGTTTTCAGTTTTTCCATTACATCGCCAAGGAGGAAACAGCTGAGGTCCTATCATGGGCACAGCTCTATACCTTTGACATTGATGAGGCTGTCATGAAGTTTCCAGAGTTGTTCGCTGCAGGCGTGAAACTTCAAGAGGAGAATATTCACAAAAAGAAACCTCGTAAAGAACCAATAATAGTCCAGGGTGACTTTCCCGAGAGATCAGATCGTACTATCAATATCCCCATGATAACTCCGGATGACGAGGAGTTTGAGAAAATGTTAGAGGACGTCGCCAAACATGGAGGCTCAGCTAATATAAACCCAGCTGACAAAAGACCTGTCATTGATGATGTCAAGGTCAAGGTCACTAGTAAGAAACAGCAGCAGGACAGGAAACCTGACAGTGAAAATGAAAAAACGTCTAGTCATAAGCATGATGAGTTTTGATGAACTTCAGGAAAGAGTGGAGATTTTGTTATATATTCTACTCAAGAGAAGTTAAAGAGCTCTTCATTCTTTCATATTACGACAGTTAGGCCAAATAAAAAAATGTTGTGGTTCCGATTACACCTCTTTAAAATTTAGGGTAGGTAGGTAGTAATTCTTATATTTTATATCTTTTTTAGAAATTAAAGTACGAACTAATAACACATTTATCAATGTGTAATTGTTTATTCAATCAAGCCCAAGGCCATCATGTTGACTTTCTCTATCAGAATGATCAATGTCCGTTGGTGCCGTGGAAAAACAATGGTATCTGAAAGCTTATTTTATTCATACCTCTTAAAAAAACCAAAGGTCCTCACCAGAATTAAAGGGTCGGTCGGGTGATCGGAACACCATTATTTTTTTTTGCCTTAACGGCACGTCCCAAGTGAGACTGAATCAAGTATTAATTTTTAAAACTTATCCTAACTCATGCGATGCATTCTCTCTCTACACACAATTTATAGTTAAAATTTTCAATTCCATTTGTTTGGAATAGTATCTTCCAGAGTTTCCACTCAGAATAGTGTGTAAGTGAACATAGTGAAGTGGAATAACAGTCCTTCAAAGTGAATATTAGGATGAACTTGTTGGATTGACTCCAGATATTTTGAATATGTTATTGCCATATGAGTGCTAGTATTCACTCCTGATATCAGCAGCAGATGAGAGATTTTAGTATTTTTTTATGTTGATATTTGTTCAGATGATCTTACAAGATGGTGCTTTAGAGAGTTTGCCACAAAATAGGGACTCATTTATCAGCTTCTCAGTCAAAGAGGCAATATTGGTGACACTTGGAAGCCATTTATAGTAGTATGGGTCAGTTGTTGTACATTTTTCTTTTGATACAACATGATTTGATTTTTTGCCTTGTCCTTCTTAACCATGGTAATCTTTATGACTGTAAATGATTTTTGGGAGTGAATTATTAATTTAGTGTCTATTTTAATCAATATATATATCGATAAAGTGTTGATAATAGGAAATTACTGATGCATAAAAATAACGATGTACACCATAACAGGTTTTATGTGCTTTTATGTATAATGCTGGGCTATTGAGTGTTGCTGTAGGTCCGTGTAGTACAGGAAATGAGTTGTGTCTGGTCTGGTGTTGTGGTGACCCTTGTCTGGTTGTACTAATGGTTGTGCCCTTTCTGTGCTATGTCACACTCCATCATTCCCAGATATATTAACTGTTTTATTATGTCCTTCGTTTATCTGTTTACTGAATTGAGACAATGAGTTGTTTAATTGTTGAATATTATCCAAAATGAAATACAATGGAATTGAATAAACTACTTTTGTGGACAGATTGTTTTGAGAGTTTAACACAGTACATGTACAAAACACATGCATCGTTTCAACACACTTGCATTGTAACAGCACACTTGGTCATTCATACCAATGTGCTCCTCTGTTCCTAATGATGTTCAGGTGATGTGAGGGGCGGTGGGGTAGCCTAGTGGTTAAAGCGTTGGCTTGTCACGCCGAAGACCCGGGTTCGATTCCCCACATGGGCACAATGTGTTAAGCCCATTTCTGGTGTCCCCCGCCGTGATATTGCTGGAATATTGCTCAGTCAGTCAGTCAGGTGATGTGAGCCTATTTGTATACCTCCTACATGTTATGCTATAGGTCCAGGTTCGGTTACCCACATACTGCAAGGTGTGAAGCCAGTGTCTAGAGCCACAAGCAAAAACACCTTCAGGTATTTGTGTTCAGTGTTTGCAATACTTTAATTTGCCAGTTGGCCCTAAGTGCCTGCAGGCTGTAAACTCTACTGGCCCCGAGTGAAATCTGAAGGCCCATTTTATTAAAGTCAAACCAATCAACAACAAAAAAGACTACACTATACACAGTTTCACACTGTTTCTACAAGTCAGTTAGCGAAGCCTGTGGCACAAAGAGATGTTTTATTTGTTAAAGACTGGTGTTGACATTCCTATGCGTAAAGCGCTGAACTGCCAGGAAGTGAAACTGTAAGCTATCGTAACATGATGGATCATGGATGATTCCAAAATGTTAATAAAGAAGAAAAAAAATGGGCAATATTTTGGTTGAAGAAAAAGACAGATAGTTGACTGAAGGCCACAAGGGCCTGCAAATATTTGAAACTGCTTGCCCGATACAATAACAACCGGTGCTGGGCTTCCGGGACGGCGATTATTTCGAACGCTCTTAGTGTTACCTACCCGTTTTGATCCTGAGCATAAAGGGCATAAGAAGAGAACTGTCCATCACAGGTGACACAGTGTGCTTGAGTGGAGAGCTACAGCAGCCCATGTGTAGTTCTGGCTGACAACCATGTGTCAGGGTGTCCTGGCAGACACTCATTGTCAGGGTGTCCTGGCTGACAACCATGTGTCAGGGTGTCTTGTTGACATCCATGTGTCAAGATGTTCCGGCAGATAACCATGTGTCAAGGTGTCCTGGTTGACATCCATGTTCCAGGGTGTCCTGGCTGAAATCCATGTGTCAATGTGTTCTGGCAGACAACCATGTGTCAAGGTGTATTCTGGTAGACAACCAAGTGTCAAGGTGTTCTGGCAGAGAACCATGTGTCAGGATGTTCTGGCTGTTCCATGGCAGAGAACCATGTGTCAGGTGTCCTGATTGACATCCAAGTGTCAAGGTGTTCTGGCAGAGAACCATGTGTCTAGATGTTCTGGTAGACAACCATGTGTCAAGGTGTCCTGACTGATAAACATTGATTTAGACTATGTTACACAAGGTATTCTGAAATACTCTCCTATTCCAAGCTGTCAAGGCCTAGGTGCACAGGTGTCTGTGTTGCATCCCTTGGGTCTTCTAGAGACCCGTTATTGTGGTTCGAATCCCAGTTCAGCTTGATTATTTTTGTAGGTCAGTCACAATACAGATGCTCATGGGTTACATCAGTGGTAAATATCTGAAACTTTGGGCTTTCCTAATCTGGAACACCATGATATAACTGGAATAGCGTTTAAAATGACCTTAAACTAAACTCAGAGGTAGACTCATATTTGGATTGAGTGATCATTCTGTGGAGGCGGGCTGGTCTCACACTCCACCGCCAGCTGTAACAGGTGCTCAGTTTGGGATGTTTCACAAATCAAAGATGTTTACCAGCAATTGCTCATGTCAAGAAGAACTTGTAACATGGGATTCTGATAATCCAAACACTTTTATTGTGATATCTAGTAATAATATAAAGTGTTTGTTTTAGTTATTGTCATATCGGCAATATCTCAGCCATATTGTGACCATAATGTAAGGTGTGAGTTTTTAATGTGAATCAATTCTACCAGTTACACCAGGATATTTACACTGGTCAAAGTTATTCTGCTGCTAGAGTTCATCATGTGCTGTTTCCTCTACAGTTAGTGCTGAATCAAGGCTTGGATACTTGGACAGAATCTTGTGGACGTCCACATTGTAAAGTTCTTCCACTGACAGGGTCAAGCTGTGGTCTTTGTCGAGGTCCTTGAATAACTGAAACAGGTCAAGTTGGTTGGAGTCAGACAGACTGGAGTGAGACGATGAGGGTGGTCATACAGAGACGAGTTAGACAAAGTGGGTGGAATCATACAGAGACAGACAAAGTGGGTGGAGTCATACAGGGACAGTTACACAAAGTGGGTGGAGTCATACAGAGACAGTTACACAAAGTGGGTGGAGTCATACAGAGACAGTAACACAAAGTGGGTGGAGTCATACAGAGACAGTAACACAAAGTGGGTGGAGTCATACAGAGACAGTTACACAAAGTGGATGGAGTCATACAGAGACAGTTACACAAAGTGGGTGGAGTCATACAGAGACAGTTACACAAAGTGGGTGGAGTCATACAGAGACAGTTACACAAAGTGGGTGGAGTCATACAGAGACAGTTACACAAAGTGGGTGGAGTCATACAGAGACAGTTACACAAAGTGGATGGAGTCATACAGAGACAGTTACACAAAGTGGGTGGAGTCATACAGAGACAGTTACACAAAGTGGGTGGAGTCATACAGAGACAGTTACACAAAGTGGGTGGAGTCATACAGAGAGGCAGTTACACAAAGTGGGTGGAGTCATACAGAGACAGTTACACAAAGTGGGTGGAGTCATACAGAGACAGTTACACAAAGTGGGTGGAGTCATGCAGTTACACAAAGTGGGTGGAGTCATACAAGGCAGTTAGTCATACAATTGAGTCATACAGAGACAGTTACACAAAGTGGGTGGAGTCATACAGAGACAGTTACACAAAGTGGATGGAGTCACAGAGGCAGAGCAGTTACACAAAGTGGGTGGAGTCATACAGAGACAGTTACACAAAGTGGGTGGAGTCATACAGAGGCAGTTACACAAAGTGGGTGGAGGAGTCATACAGACAGAGACAGTTACACAAAGTGGGTGGAGTCATACAGAGACAGTTACACAAAGTGGGTGGAGTCATACAGAGACAGTTACACAAAGTGGGTGGAGTCATACAGGAGTCATACAGAGACAGTTACACAAAGTGGGTGGAGTCATACAGAGACAGTTACACAAGGCAGTGGGTGGAGTCATACAGAGACAGTTACACAAAGTGGGTGGAGTCATACAGACACAAAGTGGGTGGAGTCACAGAGACAGTTACACAAAGTGGATGGAGTCATACAGAGACAGTTACACAAAGTGGGTGGAGTCATACAGAGACAGTTACACAAAGTGGGTGGAGTCATACAGAGACAGTTACACAAAGTGGGTGGAGTCATACAGAGACAGTTACACAAAGTGGGTGGAGTCATACAGAGACAGTTACACAAAGTGGGTGGAGTCATACAGAGACAGTTACAGTTGGACATACAGAGACAGTTACACAAAGTGGTGGAGTCATACAGAGACAGTTACACAAAGTGGGTGGAGTCATACAGAGACAGTTACACAAAGTGGGTGGAGTCATACAGAGACAGTTACAAAAAGTGGATGGAGTCATACAGAGACAGTTACACAAAGTGGATGGAGTCATACAGAGACAGTTACACAAAGTGGGTGGAGTCATACAGAGACAGTTACACAAAGTGGGTGGAGTCATACAGAGACAGTTACACAAAGTGGGTGGAGTCATACAGAGACAGTTACACAAAGTGGGTGGAGTCATACAGAGACAGTTACACAAAGTGGGTGGAGTCATACAGAGACAGTTACACAAAGTGGGTGGAGTCATACAGAGACAGTTACACAAAGTGGGTGGAGTCATACAGAGACAGTTACACAAAGTGGGTGGAGTCATACAGAGACAGTTACACAAAGTGGATGGAGTCATACAGAGACAGTTACACAAAGTGGGTGGAGTCATACAGAGACAGTTACACAAAGTGGGTGGAGTCATACAGAGACAGTTACACAAAGTGGGTGGAGTCATACAGAGAGACAGTTACTCAAAGTGGGTGGAGTCATACAGAGACAGTTACACAAAGTGGGTGGAGTCATACAGAGACAGTTACACAAAGTGGGTGGAGTCATACAGAGACAGTTACACAAAGTGGGTGGAGTCATACAGAGACAGACAAAGTGGGTGGAGTCATACAGAGACAGTTACACAAAGTGGGTGGAGTCATACAGAGACAGTTACACAAAAGAGTGGGTGTGGAGTCATACAGAGACAGTTACACAAAGTGGGTGGAGTCATACAGAGACAGACAAAGTGGGTGGAGTCATACAGAGACAGTTACACAAAGTGGGTGGAGTCATACAGAGACAGTTACACAAAGTGGGTGGAGTCATACAGAGACAGTTACACAAAGTGGGTGGAGTCATACAGAGACAGTTACACAAAGTGGGTGGAGTCATACAGAGACAGTTACACAAAGTGGGTGGAGTCATACAGAGACAGTTACACAAAGTGGATGGAGTCATACAGAGACAGTTACACAAAGTGGGTGGAGTCATACAGAGACAGTTACACAAAGTGGATGGAGTCATACAGAGACAGTTACACAAAGTGGGTGGAGTCATACAGAGACAGTTACACAAAGTGGGTGGAGTCATACAGAGACAGTTACACAAAGTGGGTGGAGTCATACAGAGACAGTTACACAAAGTGGGTGGAGTCATACAGAGACAGTACGTTGACACAAAGTGGGTGGAGTCATACAGAGACAGTTACACAAAGTGGGTGGAGTCATACAGAGACAGTTACACAGTGGGGTGGAGTCATACAGAGACAGTTACACAAAGTGGGTGGAGTCATACAGAGACAGTTACACAAAGTGGGTGGAGTCATACAGAGACAGTTACACAAAGTGGATGGAGTCATACAGAGACAGTTACACAAAGTGGGTGGAGTCATACAGAGACAGTTACACAAAGTGGGTGGAGTCATACAGAGACAGTTACACAAAGTGGGTGGAGTCATACAGAGACAGTTACACAAAGTGGGTGGAGTCATACAGAGACAGTTACACAAAGTGGGTGGAGTCATACAGAGACAGTTACACAAAGTGGGTGGAGTCATACAGAGACAGTTACACAAAGTGGGTGGAGTCATACAGAGACAGTTACACAAAGTGGGTGGAGTCATACAGAGACAGTTACACAAAGTGGGTGGAGTCATACAGAGACAGTTACACAAAGTGGGAGTGGAGTCATACATACAGACAGTTACACAAAGTGGGTGGAGTCATACAGAGACAGTTACACAAAGTGGGTGGAGTCATACAGAGACAGTTACACAATGTGGGCGGAGTCATACAGAGACAGTTACACAAAGTGGGTGGAGTCATACAGAGACAGTTACACAAAGTGGATGGAGTCATACAGAGACAGTTACACAAAGTGGGTGGAGTCATACAGAGACAGTTACACAAAGTGGGTGGAGTCATACAGAGACAGTTACACAAAGTGGGTGGAGTCATACAGAGACAGTTACACAAAGTGGGTGGAGTCATACAGAGACAGTTACACAAAGTGGGTGGAGTCATACAGAGACAGTTACACAAAGTGGGTGGAGTCATACAGAGACAGTTACACAAAGTGGGTGGAGTCATACAGAGACAGTTACACAAAGTGGGTGGAGTCATACAGAGACAGTTACACAAAGTGGGTGGAGTCATACAGAGACAGTTACACAAAGTGGGTGGAGTCATACAGAGACAGTTACACAAAGTGGGTGGAGTCATATAGAGACAGTTACACAAAGTGGGTGGAGTCATATAGAGACAGTTACACAAAGTGGGTGGAGTCATACAGAGACAGTTACACAAAGTGGGTGGAGTCATATAGAGACAGTTACACAAAAAAGGTGGAGTCATACAGAGACAGTTACACAAAGTGGGTGGAGTCATACAGAGACAGTTACACAAAGTGGGTGGAGTCATACAGAGACAGTTACACAAAGTGGGTGGAGTCATACAGAGACAGTTACACAAAGTGGGTGGAGTCATACAGAGACAGTTACACAAAGTGGGTGGAGTCATTTAGAGACAGTTACACAATGTGGGTGGAGTCATACAGAGACAGTTACACAAAGTGGGTGGAGTCATACAGAGACAGTTACACAAAGTGGGTGGAGTCATATAGAGACAGTTACACAAAGTGGGTGGAGTCATATAGAGACAGTTACACAAAGTGGGTGGAGTCATATAGAGGCTGGAGTGAGACAATGAGGGTAGAGTCATACAGAGACTGGGATGAGGGTATGAGGGTAGAGTCAGGCTTGGGACAAAGTGCAATGAATACATCAGTGACTGGAGTTGTACCAAGTGGATGGAAACATGTAGTTGAGGAAAATCTGCAGTGACTTGAGTTATAGGATTAAAGGTAACGGTGCTTTTTTATTTTGTTTGACCCTTATTTGCAGTGTGGGCTGTAAACATTGACTTAGATTATAGCTAAAATACATGGAATTATCATGAAACGGCCCTCCCATTATCAGAAACTTGCGAGCCGCTGCAAATGATATTGGCCCGCTCAACCTTAACGACGGGCCACTATCAATTCTGTTGTCAAGTGACGTCATAGTGGGTGCGTGGGCTTACGGTTCATTCGACATTTGCTTTGGACTGGCAGATATTCTGGGTGAAACAAGTCAAAACAACCCGAATTCACGCTTAAAATAGCGGTAATATTGGCTTTCTTGCTGGTGCTAACCTTAACAATTGCACTATTAACGTTGTTGTTTGATCAAACCCGAACACTGAAACTGACGTTGTGTCTGACATAGTTTGACATGTTGCAGGCTATGTTTTGTCAAAGGCCAAGGTCGAATATCGTCACTTTCTGTTGTGACGTCACTTGAATTGTTCGATGACGTAATTGCATTCGGGCAGTCAGCCCCGTCAGAAGTTGGTTTTGAGTAAACTTACAGTCAAATTCCTTCATTGTTTCCTTTTTCTTTTCAACACAAATTCCATGTATTTTAGCAATAATAACGGTAATACTATTTTTGAGGGCATTATCATTCGCAGAAGCCCTCGGTCTTTTTCAACTGCGCTCCTTCGTCGGGCAGTTAATGGAAGACCTCGGGCTTCTGCAAATGATAATGCCCTCAAAAAGAGCATTACCCTTATATTAGCATACTATTTGCACCACACCAGTGTTAAACGATTATGATTATCAAAAATCGCCTTCTATTGACCTCAATAACTGAGATAACTGAATTTAAATAGGTAATCAATTCTTGTACCTTCGGTGTTAGTCGTGTATTCCTCTCGAAATGCCGATGCGAATTTGTTCCTGGAAATGACTTATGAATGTTAGTCTGGGTACAGATAAGACGCTGAGCTCTCATTGCAGCTCGAAATATGCTCAAACGGCATAAAACTCACTGGCTCTCTTACATAGAAAATCCCCTATTCAAAATGCACTCACAAAGTTATTATCCATAAATTTGTCAGTGAAATGTTTTCGCCAAACTATTCAGTGAACGTCCCCCATCCTCAACACTCAAAAAAAAGAGAAGAAAATAAAGAAAGAATAAGCACGGATATTACCAGGCCTGCATCTGACCCTGTCCGATGTCAAACATGGAACTTGGGAGTGTTTGATGCTCTAAGTTCTTCTTCTGACAGTCTGAGTTGTTGAACCAGCGGGTGGAAAGGAACCAGAAGTTGATGGCGAGGCTCCGTCCTCCGGGGGAATTGACTTGATGGTACCACCTGAATACAGAGACAACCCGGTGTCGTTAACAGACACATATTTTATTCATTTCGCGTGATTACGTCATAAACCTTCAATCTTTCAGATACTGGTTTTTCCTGAGCTCGACTAGACTGTTTTCAGATATAGGTGGAATGGTGTTGACTTCTCTGTAACAACATTCCCCAGCTTTATATACAAACAATCCTAACACGGCCTCGACACGGGAAGGAAGGGTGTGTCCGAGTGGAATACAGGCAGAAGGAAAGACCGAGCCCCAAGCTGCAGCAATGTCTGGAACCTGCTGTGGGGACAACTGGATGATGCTGATGACGATGATGATGCTGATGACGATGATGATGATGTGAAACTTTCATTATGAATAAGAATTCTTCCCTGATTTTCATGCGTTTTAAAGACGTGAAGCTGATTGGTTATGGATTCTATTCGTCATATTGGGTTGGTTTCTTCTTGAAACACATCAGGCTTCAGAAATGTAAAAACGAACTGTTTGGAAAGATGGCACTTACTGGTAGGGTATGTAGAGGCAATCCCCCTTATGCAATACGGCCTTGTATACGGGGACTTCCTGGAGACGCGGGAACTTGTGCATGTCCACCTTGTCCACATCAACATCACTATAGCTACCGTCCTCATGGTAACCGTCCGCTGTCACCTGCTCACTATGTTTCTGGAATGTAAAGTAAGTTTCCTGATAAACCTGGCATACTGCTAGTAACAGCCAAATGACAATTGCGTATCGTTCAACGTGGCATCGTATAAGGGTCTATGATTAAACGTACCCAGTCTATGAATATCAGCTCCTTAGTCCCGTCCAGAACGCAGTTGAAGTTTTCGTAGTCGTCGTTGTGAAGGACGGATTTGGTGCCGCCGCTGCTGAACCACATGACCAGAGACTCGATGGAGAACTGGAGTCCCCCACAGTGCAGCGATCGGGGCACGTACAGGTCATCTGCAGCAAACAGCGCTAGGATATATGTTGGACTCGGACATGATCAGTGAAACTGTATACCTTGGTTGTCCAGGAGTGAGATATTTATCTCCTTCATAGACGCCACAGTCACACGGAATTACAACCACACAGTCCCGAGCTGAGAATCGAACTCACAACTAGAGCATCCTGACAGCTAAGGGGCATAACTCTTCACACCTTACGAGCTCATGGTTATTATTACCAATGGTGTTTCTAAACAAAGTCTGTGCATAAAATGTTGGCATATGGTTGACAATATTTCCAGTGCCTCCTCACCCATGAGCTTGTCCTTGGCCTGGAAGTCTAGGATTCCGCCGACAAGGTAGAGCTCGCTCTCGGTGTACTTCTGCAGGAAGGTCTTCATCGTCATCTCCTCGGGCTTCAAATCGCGGTTCTCCTTCCGGGCCGGCTCGGCGTCGATGTATTCCGACCCCAGCTCCTTCCTGGTGCATATACAATGGTAATCGGGATATACTACCCCTCGCCCTATTACTCTATGACATACCAAAATGAATACTTAAATTACGTGTTCGTAAATGATATTTAATATCTCGTTGTTCCTCTCAAATATTGTTGTTTGGTGTTTAACCGTGCTACATGACGGAGGTCAGTATATAATCCGGACTAGACAATCCAGTGATTGACATCATGAACATCATTTACGCATTGGAGATACTGTGACTCCCATCAACCAAGTTAGTCAACCAAGTCATCCGATCTTAGAAGTCGCCACTTTCGATCAGGGTCCTAACCCGGATTCTTCCCTGGACATACAAAATGTTGTATAGTGTATAAAATGAATATGGCATTTATGAATAGATTTTAACCATCTGTATGTATATTTACAGCCTACACAGCCTGAGGCGCGCGTTTACGTTGCTTATAGATGTCCTACTTGAACTTGGGTCCGACCCAGTATACCCGACACTTCAACTAATTATTCTTCACGAACCCCTGACATGTCGAGGCATCAGTTTTCAAGAATACTCGACACGTCGAGGTATCTGTCTTCAAGAATAACGCACACATGCAGTCGAGAGGCTGTTCGTCATGAATCCCCGACACGTCGAGTTGTAATTTCTAACTTTGCCCTACACATCGAGATATCCATCTGACTAAATCTTTTTCAACAAACCCTTACACATGATGGACTTGGAATATTCCTGAGCGCGGAGTTAAACAATTAAACGAAAATAAATTTATGGCTTTCCATACCTGAAAAAGTCGTCCGTCCATTTCACAACTGCCGGAAAAGTTGTCAAATTCATAATCGCCCTAATGACCAAAGGCCTACTTTTACGCAAGTACTCCTCAAAGAACACCTTTGGCGTGGGGAACTTGTCGACAACAGGGACTTCGAGGGGAGTTGTGTGAGATCCAAGCGGTAGATTATGTCCCGGGGGCGCTGTCCTACCTCCATCTTCCTTCTGTCCATCACCCCAGGCCGTAAAGTGAAGCAGGATTAAGATACTCACGAACCAACAGAATAAGACTGCCCTCATCTTACCTGCTTTAATGTTCAACAACTACAACTAAGTAACAGCTGATTCCTGTTGACAAGCCGTAAACGTGTTGTCGGCGCAGTTGTGTTGTGTCACCGTTGTCGACAGGGGTGTTTGCTACAGATTATTTCCGCGTGCTGTTACTGATAGTGACGTCTGAAACATCGCATGCCGTTCAGGAGTGACTGCAAAATTATAAAATAGTCGCTGTTTTGTAAAGAGAGCGTTAGAAGTATTCATAATTTAATATACAACTCACAACTATATACCACGGACGAAAAATACGGAAACTAATGATTTGTATCTAACGACCATTGACGAGAACATTCACATAAACATCTTAACGCAGGAACGCCAATATCCACGTTACTTGATTGTTTGGTAAATCAGAATGTGTGATTTCTCGACGGTGGGACAAGTACTGCAAGATAGACTTGCAGTGAGATCAGGGCGAGGCAGGCATATAAAAACCGACACAGAGTAGATCGTTCATTACAATAACTGCACTACACAACAGATTCACACCTTCTCATGTTAATATTAGAGAATTCTGTACCATAACAGGAAGGCGAATTTTAACATCTTCCTTTAAAACAGGCTTTATGCAGCCCGTCCTGTGAAGGTTGTAGCCGCTACAAGATACAAGAGCCGGCAAGACTGTGGTGTGCTAGGTAACAGGGTGTTCGTCAATAACGTTTTTCCGTGACGAATCAAGGTTCTGCCTATGATTTACATATGGCAGAACACGATTTGGGCCACGTAGTCAACGTATAGGTACGGAGGATATACTCGTATTTGACCCGATGTTGTAGACAGCAGTCGGTGTAACGTGATGATGATGATGATGATGATGATGATGATGATGATGATGATGATGATTTCCAACTTACCCCTTAAGTTCACGGCACCAGGTCAAATCTCAAATGATTCTGTCGTTATTAATATATAGGCATCATATTAAGCCATGTAACTATCAATAGCCCCACCTTTGGTTGTAACCCTGCAAGCGTCGATATGCATGAACTATGGTTCAAAGCTGTACGTCACAGCTGGTAACCGCCGCTCGCACAGCTGGTTGGATGTGAGTGATGGTTCCGACATGGTATGGGTAGGTTAGGCAACAGAACGGCTTATTTTTCTGTTTATGTTTCGCCATTGATTGCTTGGACAACGAGCGAGTTAAGACTAGTGGTTGAAGCGTTTGCCTCACTCACAGAAAGCCTGCATTCGCAAATCGTGCACTGTCACAAATCAGAAGTACACCTTATGGATATTCAGCACATGTTACTTCAAATGGAAAAAAAACCCTTTTTGGCTAAATACGTTTATTATATTATAGCCTCATTTCAAAACAGTTGCATGAAACAGTCCATTCTCCACAAGAGAATAAGGTAATCAGTTTATCTTTTACTAATCACCACAAATATAAATCCAACCACATGCACATAGCGAAGAAAACAACGGTCAAAAGTACACACAATTCAGCTTAACAAGACTTTATATTGCAGATTTTGAGAACCAAATGCATGTTTTCCACATGTGTGAAATGGTGTTTTTGGGAGATATGTGCCCACATTAAGGCTGACATCCACCCCTATCAAAATAGGCCTACACCAAAAATATCTTTGATAATAGAGCATGAAACGTGACACACTGAAGGTGTCCACGTCAAGAAAAGAACGCAACAGTCACATCCAGTCCTGTAGACCATATATACCATATCGATATAACAGACAGATCACAATACAGTCCTGTAGACCATGTATACCATATCGATATAACAGGCAGATCACAATACAGTCCTGTAGACCATGTATACCATATCGATATAACAGGCAGATCACAATACAGTCCTGTAGACCATATATACCATATCAATATAACAGACAGATCACAATACAGTCCTGTAGACCATATATACATATCGATATAACAGGCAGATCACAATACAGTCCTGTAGACCATATATACATATCGATATAACAGGCAGATCACAATACAGTCCTGTAGACCATATATACCATATCCATATAACAGACAGATCACAATACAGTCCTGTAGACCATATATACCATATCGATATAACAGGCAGATCACAATACAGTCCTGTAGACCATATATACCATATCGATATAACAGGCAGATCACAATACTGTCCCGTAGACCATATATACCATATCGATATAACAGGCAGATCACAATACAGTCATGTAGACCATATATACCATATCGATACAACTGGCATATCACAATACAGTCCTGTAGACCATATATACCATATGGATATAACAGGCAGATCACAATATAGTTTCGTAGACCATATATACCATATCGATATAACAGGCAGATCACAATACAGTCCTATAGACCATATATACCATATCGATATAACAGACAGATCACAATACAGTCCTGTAGACCATATATACCATATCGATATAACAGGCAGATCACAATACAGTCCTGTAGACCATATATACCATATCGATATAACAGGCAGATCACAATACAGTCCTGTAGACCATATATACCATATCGATATAACAGGCAGATCACAAAACAGTCCCACACACCTTTACCACAATATATAACATCCGAATACAATTCCCCCGACCTTTACTTTGTATAAAAAGGCAGATCACAACACAATACGACTTCAATCCTCTCCAAATATAAAGTGAAACCCCGGGAGAGTTCCACATGAACTTATAGAAATGGTTATACAGGTAAATCTAAGAACAGTGCCATATAAAATATCTGCACAACATTTGTGAAGGTGGAGAAAATAATATCAAAACAAATTCTACGATCTTGACAGAATGAAACTGTTTTCAAACTCACACTGACTTGTGTTAGATGGCTGACGTGCGCGTTAAGCTGATGCCGTAATCTGATCGACTGGATGAACGAGTCCGCTTTGCTTCCGGGTGAATGAATATCACCACCTGACAACACGACGCGCATCATTACGAGCAGCTAACATGGACGTGTGGGTACTCGTGTGTCTCCTCTCCTTCTCGTCACTGTCTCACAGCGCTGATCCCCCGGGACACCTGCAACCCATCGGGAGCCACGCCCCTCCCCAAACTCTGGAAGTTAAACACGAATTTCCACACCCCTCTGATTTTTTCGCAAAATATGTTAAACCAGGAATACCTGTAGTTTTCAAGTCTATTTTGGAGAATATTGATTATAAACCATACAAGACGTGGACAGACGAGTACTTGAGGTGAGTAAATATCCTTTTTTCACAAATGTTAATGGAAAGTGTTGTGACACACTTGCCAGTGAGGCATATCTCCGTCACGGTCAAGGCATGTCACATACACAACATAAAATTGCCAAGGAACATGTTCCGGGCGCATTTTGCCGAAGGAAATATTTAGAATGCGTATTCCTTTTTTTTCCATTTCATTGTCTGGATAGTTCAGCACGTGTTGCTCCTTTTGTATGAATTAACCTGAGAGTTTCCCGGCTTCTTTCGTGAGGCAATATCGATTGTTATCAGCCTCATCCTATATTCCACAGCAACAGGTGTGCAGATAACACCCCTGTATGCATCCTCATCACCTGGGTTCTTGTGTACCACGTGTTACCCATCATGTAAATGGAAACAGAGAGGGATTTTATAATACATTGACAGCAACATATGTTTGCTTTTTAACGATCAGCAGTACTAATTAACAATTCCCCGATAGAGACAGGTACTTGCTCGCTAAGCAATATGTGACATACAGTGGTAACGTCAAGTACGATGTCGGAAGCGCAATACACGCCTGTCTCAAACTGACCCGTGTGGCTGACATATTGCCGCGGTTAATGGCGAAAACCTGTTTTCCGAAAAAGAAATAATCTGCATGGCACTATAGATTGTACGTGACTCATCTCTGTGTTTTGTTTTGTTTTTTTGCTGAAGGGCATCATATGTGTTTTTTGCATGGAGGTGGGCTGACGTTTTGATTGCCATTAAGTTTTCTGATGTTTTCGAAGCAACTAGAAACAACACATGCGCATGCCGTGTTGTCGTATAGAGTGAGTGAGTTTAATTATACGCAGCTTTCAGCAATATTCCAGCAATATCACGACATGGACACCAGAAATGGGCTTCACATATTGTACCGTTGTGGGGAATCGGACCCGGGTCTTCAACGTGACGAGCGGCCGCTTTAACCACGAGGCTACGATCTTGACAGATCGCTTTAACCACGAGGCTACCCCACCGCCCCTGTCACCGGTGTCGCCACCAACTCATGTTCTACTAGTTGTCGGGGCGGCGGGGTAGCCTAGTGCTTGAAGTGTTCGCTCCTCACGCAGAAGACTCGGGTTCGATTCCCCACATGGGTACAGTGTGTGAAGCCCATTTCTGGTGTCGTGATATTGCGGGAATATTGCTAAAAGCGGCGTAAAACCATACTCACTCACTCGCTCTACTAGTTGTCTGTAATGTCATAGTGACATAGGCAACTAGTGGAACAGTCGATTCGAAATGTGAAGTGAGGTGAGGTGAAATTAGGTTTTACGTCGTGCTTGAGAATATTTCGCTCATTTGACGACGTGCATGCATGTGTATGTGTTTTGCGGCTGCTTGTACTAGGCCAGACTTCAGCTGGTTTTATAGTGCTAGCCAACTGAGATACCATGCCGCAGTGAAGCATGAATACCCCACTCAGACACATTATACTGTCTCCGAACCGACCAGTCCTTGTTGTACCCATTAATGCCGAGCGCCAGGCAGGGACCAACAAGTACCATATTTTAACGTCTTTTGGTATTACGCGGTCGGGGATCGAACCTGCGACCTTCCGCTCTCCGGGATTCGAAATGTACATATTGAGATATTTAATACTCAACATCCACTCGAGTTTGTGAGTGTGAGTGAGTGAGTGTGTGAAAGTGAGAGAGAGAGGGTGTGGGTAGGCGTTGTGGTATTCTGTTCCTGGTGTGGTATTCCGTTACTAAATGGTATTCCGCCTTTTCTGTTGTATTCTGTTTCTTGTGTAGTATTTTTTCCCTGGTGTAGTATTCTGTTACCATGAAATAATAATGTAGTGTTATAACTACAAGTAGTATCCTGTAGAACTTTAACCCCCGTCTCTCTCTCGCTGAAGTGTTCCGCCCACCCGGGCCTCCTTTCACGGACCGCCTCCGTGGTGTAGTGGTTAGAGCGTCCGCCCGGAGAGCGGAAGGTCGCGGGTTCGATCCCCGACCGCGTCATACCAAAATTAAAAACGTTAAAATATGGTACCTGTTGGTCCCTGCCTGGCGCTCGGCATTAATGGGTAGAACAAGGACTGGTCGGCTCGGAGTCAGTATAATGTGGCTGAGTGGGGTATTCATGCTTCACTGCGGCATGGTATCTCAGTTGGCTAGCACTATAAAACCAGCTTAAGTCTGGCCTAGTACAAGCAGCCACACATACATACGCATGCACGTCGTCATATGAGCGAAATATTCTCAAGCACGATGTTAAACCCAATTTCACACCTCACCTCACCTCACCCTCCTTTCACAAAGCGCTAAGGTGATCATTAGTCACTGAGGTAACGTTAGTGTAATGTTAAATAATTAAAGAATGGGAGTTAAAGTTAACCTTAACTTCGTGAAAGTAACCCTAGATAATGTAGTGTTTGTGTGCAGGGAGAGGTTCGGACACACCGTGGTGGATGTGGAGACGGGGAAGAAGGAAGATCGCAACAAGGAGCTGAAGTCGCAGACCCTCCGTCGGTTCCTGGACGAGTACCGCAAGGCCGACGTGTACTTGGTTCACGACCTGACCGCCGACATGAAAAGTACTGTAGCTTACCCATCCTTCATTCTTCTGTGTAAACGTTTCGTTCCGTGCATCTTCACAGCAGGGCTCTGTTATAGACAGCTTACTTGTAACGAAAAACTGTATGATTTGAATGTTTATTAATAATGAAAGCAAAAAAGAAGGGAAATGTAGCTAATTGTAAAGAGTGAGTGAGTGAGTATGGTTTTACGCCGCTTTTAGCAAAATTGCAACAATATCACGGCGGGGGACATCAGAAATAGGCTTCACATATTGTACCCATGTGGGGAATCGAACCCGGGTCTTAGGCGTTACGAGCCAACGCTTTAACCACTAGGCTACCCCGACGCCCCTAATTGTAAAGACGTTTACCTGGAGCGGGATTTACTTTTAGTTGTCAGTATGACTCAGCAGACTCTGTCGATGTCTGTGGGTTCTAGACATTATGGGGAGTTTCCCGACGGTCAAGACTGACATACTGAGTAGTGTACCCTGCGTGTGTGTTACAGGGGACGTGGACGTGCCCTACTGTCTACGTTGTGGAGGGTTCCAGAAGCTGTTTACGAAGGCGATAACGTGGTTCAGCAGCGGCGGCACCAAGTCCGTCCTCCACATGGACGAGTTCGACAACATCAACTGCCTCTTGGATGGCACCAAGGACCTCGTCTTCTACGATAAGGTAAACAGAGCTCTTCACATCTCTGTGTTATTGCAGGTGCTGCTTGACAGCCTTGTAACACAACTTTGAACCGTTTTCAGGTATCTTAAATTATATGTCAGTGTGGGAGGAAGCCCGTAGTGATGCCAGTCACTTGGTGTATCATCATTGCGAATCTTGGGTTCAAACCACCACCACAAGTCAAAACATTGATTACACAACAGTCTCGTTTCCTGTTGACTGGGTTCCGCCCTATTACGCAACTTAGTACAATAACCAGTCCAGAATTTTGAGACCAATTCATTAAACTGGATACATAAATATTAATCAGTATTATTTGGTACATTTAAGCACTTGTATATTGGAACACTGCGCTCCATATAATCCTTGCAAACATGTCGTGCAGCGTGCTCTGTCGTACAGCGAGCACTGACAAACAGAAACCTGGAAATCGTGGAAATCTCAAAACGAGGCTCTGCCGCTAGAAAAGTTTGGCGGTCTGGTACGGACTTGATATTCTATCAATCACATTATGGGTTACAGAACTACACTGAATAAGCGCAGAACACACATAACAGGTGTAACCAGTGAGCCAGATGCATTGTGAATCATTGTACGACCTCATCAAACTGCGGCAGTCTGTGACGTCTTAGTTAAGGTCATGCTGCCTACACCTCGCCATAAAATATAGAAATACCATGTTATTAAAGTTTGAAATTACAATTCAAGTGTAAATACCATTTTCTTATGAAACAAGGAATTGGAATTCAGTGTAACCATAGTTGTTTGTGATGTCTATTTTCACTTTCACACGAGAAAATTCGGATAGGCTGAAAAGTAGGTCATTGTCTGAATAGGTTAATGAGACTCATGTTTCGGTTTGTATTTACACGGATGCAGCTAAAGGAAAACCAAGTTCTATGGGTAGTCAACTTCCTTATTGCAATGAATGTGACGTTTCGGTGTAGATACTAACGCCGTTATCAAGCAAACACCGCATTCATCGCAATAAAGAAGTTGACTATCCATAGAGCTTTTGCTTCATTTCTACAACTTCTAAAATGCCTTTTAAAGAAGTTAAACGGATGCAATTGTCTTCGTTTATTAACAGTCGCACTATTTCGCAATTCTTCGGACTATTGTAATGGCTCTGTTGTTTTGACGCTAGAAATACGGCCCTGACATTGAGGCTGACGGCTATGTGTGGGATGGATCCTACAGTTCGGTAGATGTGGACAGTGTAGATATGTACAAGTTTCCCCGTCTGAGTGGTCTCCCCTGGTTCAAGGTACACATGGAGAAGGGAGACTGTTTGTTTATACCATACAGGTAAGCGTGTCTGTACCAACATTGCACCGCTGTAACAAAATCTGAAAACGAATTCATTTTCTGTAGAACTCGCACTTAATGATACGTGGCCGTATTTATTAACGTCTTACTTGAAACGAGAAACCTTATGACTTAATGTTTGAACTGAAAGCAAAAAGAAGGGAAATGTAGTTATTGTTTTAATATGAGGAAATCGATCATCAAAACATTTAATCCCAAGATGATAGGAAATGGAATTTACGCAAGTGTGAATCATTTATTTGTGAATATGACGATCCATCTATACAGATGACCGTAAGTGATGGATCCATCACTCATTTTGTAGTTTGGCTTTCCTGCAAGCCATAATTGGGATTTTCTAAAGGAAAACCACATATTTTTCAAGCTAAAACCATAGAGCCAAATATATTCTGTCTAAAAACACATTGACATAATGTATCACATATATAGACTGAAACATCATTTATCAAAAAAATTCAGGCATAAAATTCATGTACCCATTACTTATCACATTGGCCCCATCTATCCTACGTTCGCCATTTGAACCTGACCGCTGAGAAACAAAAACACCACGAGTGGTTTTCCTCATGTAATGCGCATGCGGTGTATAAACCGGAAGTGTCCCAATGTGTGCGAGTCACCTGGTTCCTGTAAGGCCCCAGCAGTGGCGACCGACATTACAGGTTAATGCGAGATTACGCACAGGTTTGAGGACACTAACAACAGTCCCGCTAGCATGGTCTTACCGACCGGTTTTCACTGTGCCACTTCCTGGTACAGTTATATCAGGATTCATTGGACACTAATTGTAGCTGCTGACTGGCCCCTGTAGTCAGATATTCAACAGGCGTGGTTGTAACAAAACATTGTCACTGCTCCCATTACAGTAATTTAATTTCGACAGATTAAAACCGTTTGGAGAATGTGCTGATCTTAGTATTGGAAAATATCCCCCAACCATGCGCGTGAGAGATGAAAGTTGTATCAACCATCGTCACTCGCACTAAAATAATATTTATTCTTCTGATTATTTGTATCAAAGTTATGAATGTTGATCATTACACTCGGGGGGACAAACAGGTATATGTTGATCATTACAGTCGGGGAGACAAACAGGTATATGTTGATCATTACAGTCGGGGAGACAAACAGGTATATGTTGATCATTACAGTCGGGGAGACAAACAGGTATATGTTGATTCTTATGCAGTCGGGGAGACAAACAGGTGTATGTTGATCATTACAGTCGGGGAGACAAACAGGTATATGTTGATCATTACAGTCGGGGAGACAAACAGGTTGTTGATCATTACAGTCGGGGAGGCAAACAGGTATATGTTGATCATTACAGTCGGGGAGACAAACAGGTATATGTTGATCATTACAGTCTGGGAGACAAACAGGTATATGTTGATCATTACAGTCAGTGGGATTCACGGGTATATGTTGATCATTACAGTCGGGAAGACAAACAGGTATATGTTGATCATTACAGTCGGGGTAACAAAAAGGTATATGTTGATCATTACAGTCAGTGGGATACGCAGGTATATTTTAAACATTACGTTTACACAGGTACGTTAATCATTACAGCCAGTGGGATACACAGGTTTATTACTCAACCGTTGAAGATACCACTGTTAAATAAATCTACAATGTTATTACACATTGTGTAATAACATCGCGTGACTCCGGACGTATGACGTCATAATTGTTTACAGTTATAACGTCACGATGCTAATACCTCAGTCACAATGTTATGACTCACGGAAAGCTGAGAGTCATCACACTGTAGGCAGTTTCTCTCAAGTTATGTTGGAGAGTAATAAACAGAATACTAAACTCGCTTCCGTGAAATGCCATTTTTATTAAACTCATAAAGGATTTAGTATCAAACGAGCGAAAGCTTTCGCTCGTTTGATACCAAATCATTAACTCGTTTTATAAAAATGGTAATACACGGAAGGTCGTTTAGTATCCTCTATATATGTTAATCATTACAGTTAGTGGGATACATAGAGAATACTAAACGATGTACCGTGTAATACCATATTTATGAGCCTTCGCTCGTTAGATACCAATACCATTCACCAATACCACACACAAATATGGTATTACATGGGACATAGTTTAGTATTTTATTTATTACGCACCCAACATTAGCAAAATAATATCGAGCAAAGTACTTCTTTCAAAGAATTCAACGTGCATGATGACAATCAGCTTTCCGAGAGTCAAGCAAGGTCTAATACTATTGTGACAGAGTTATTAGCATTGTGACGTCATAACTGTAAACCAGTTTGACGTCATACGTACGGCATCACGCGATGTTGTTACGCAATGTGTAATAACATTGTAAAATTATTAAACAGCGATATCTTCAACGGGTGAATAATAATATACAATTATTGACTTCTAGTGAGGTTGATCCAATGATTTATCGACCTTGGACATGTGATATTCACCTCGGCTGCGCCTCTGTGAATATCACATGTCCAGGGTCGATAAATCATTGGATCAACCTCACTAGAAGTCAATAATTGTTTTATTATATGACAAAAGTACTGAATGCCTGTTTTTCTGTCACATAGCATACCACCGATGGCGTTGCACATGACCCAGAGGTGCAGCCATTTTGATACAGATGGGACGTAACTCTAAACCAACACAGACACTGGGACGAAGCGTGACGCACGCAGTGCGGAGTTGACAGCTAGAATGTCCCAAATCTATTTTAGCCACTGGAGGTTCTTGGATTGTTATATCAACCTCTCGCGACGTTTCGAGGTTGACATTGCTTAGCGTCAAAGCTGTCATGTGACCAAGTGGGCCAATCAGCAGGGCGGAAATCTACCCGTCATATAATATACTGGTTTATTAACTACCAGGGCGAAAATATCGGGTTCATATTTTTCATACGATGCGCTTGGGCAAAATATCACTTTGTCATGGTGACTTGACGTCATGAACAATGACGTCACGTTTCTTCTATGACGATGCGTTCTACATGCGGTCATGGCGGGTAGCCAGCCTATGTTTGAAAGTAGATTCGGGTTTGTTTTGCTCAATTTGACGACTTCGGTAATAAATGCATTATATTCGTGCCCATATCATACTATGTTTACGACACTCGTGCCTAAATATATGTATATCCCTCGCTCTCGCTCGGGAAATACCAACATTTAAGTACTCGTGTCATAGTATGACATGGGCACTCATATAATATCCTCTATATATTTTAATCATTACAGTCAGTGGGATACTCAGGTATATTTTAATCTTTACAGTCGCGGAGACAAACAGGTGTATGTTGATCATTACAGTCGGGGAGACAAAAGGTACATGTTGATCATTAAAGTCGGGGAGACAAACAGGTATATGTTGATTCTTACAGTCGGGGAGACAAACAGGTATATGTTGATCATTACAGTCGGGGAGGCAAACAGGTACATGTTGATCATTACAGTCGGGGGGACAAACAGGTATATGTTGATTCTTACAGTCGGGGAGACAAACAGGTACATGTTGATCATTAAAGTCGGGGAGACAAACAGGTATATGTTGATTCTTACAGTCGGGGAGACAAACAGGTATATGTTGATCATTACAGTCGGGGAGTGAAACAGGTTTATGTTGACCATTACAGTCGGGGAGACAAACAGGTATATGTTGATCATTACAGATACATGTTGATCATTACAGTCGGGGAGAGACAAACAGGTATATGTTGATTCATTACAGTCGGGGAGACAAACAGGTATATGTTGATCATTACAGTCAAACAGGTTATGTTGATCATTACAGTCGGAGACAAACAGGTATATGTTGATTCATTACAGTCGGGGGAGACAAACAGGTATATGTTGATTCTTACAGTCGGGGAGACAAACAGGTATATGTTGATCATTACAGTCGGGGGACAAACAAACAGTATATGTTGATTCTTACAGTCGGGGAGACAAACAGGTATATGTTGATCATTAAAGTCGGGGAGACAAACAGGTATATGTTGATCATTACAGTCGGGGAGACAAACAGGTATATGTTGATCATTACAGTCGGGGAGACAAACAGGTATATGTTGATTCTTACAGTCGGGGAGACAAACAGGTATATGTTGATCATTACAGTCGGGGAGACAAACAGGTATATGTTGATCATTAAAGTCGGGGAGACAAACAGGTATATGTTGATTCTTACAGTCGGGGAGACAAACAGGTATATGTTGATCATTCCAGTCGGGGAGGCAAACAGGTACATGTTGATCATTACAGTCGGGGGGACAAACAGGTATATGTGATCATTCCAGTCGGGGAGACGAACAGGTATATGTTGATCATTACAGTCGGTGGGATACACATGTACATGTTGATCATTACAGTCAGTAGAATACACAGGTATATGTTGATCATTGTCACGATATGGCTGAAATATTGCCGATGTGACGTAAATTTTAACTCACTCATTCACATATGTTGATCATTACAGTCAGTGGAATACACGGGTATATGTTGATCATTACAGTCAATGAGATACACAGGTATGATATGTTGATCACTACAGTCAGGCAGACATACAGGCATGTGGTATCAGGTATTAGATCATCCACATCTTCCATACAATTACAAACCGAGACACAAACATTCTGAAACCGAACACCTGTGTATTTGTAATTTGCCTATGTAGATGGTACCACCAAGTGAACTCGTTCGGTAGTCGGAACCTGGCCATCAACATCTGGCTGCACCATCTACACTGGTTTAACGCCACCGACTGCTCTGTGGATGTGTCGTGGAAGACGGAGGGCTCCCTCACTAAGTACGGCTACGGAGAACTGCATGAATCGTTCAGGTAAGATCCACGGCCTCAGCTTAGGTCTCATAACTTCGGGTATTACCTCATACAAAAGCGCCCTTCTCAAGACATGAGCCTATCGCATATACATGCAAAGCCAAGGCAACTATTTGAAAACTGCGGGAACCTACGGCGTAATTCAACTAAGGAACTGCACCATGCAGAATTGTTGTCACTGATGCCTCCAACTTGGAAACATGCCCTTTACATGTCACCATAAAACGATTTTGAAGCTTCACAGAGGCCTCAGCGATTTGCAACAATTGTACAAAAGCATTTTCGGTTGTACCTCTAAGGTAGAGCTTCTAGAATATTGCCAGTTATAAGGGGAATGTCGAAATTACAAGCAATGCATAACACTCACTGGTTTTCCTGGTTAGCTTCAGGTCTTAATTTGTATTTCATCTTGATCTGAATAATATTTCATCAGCTACATTTCATTGTTACATTATGTACTTTATATCCCTTATCGGTTAATGTGAACAGAGTTGTTTTTCAGTTCAGCTACGAAAACGTATATCATAACTCACCAACTTTACATGTACGTGGTGGACGCTAGTGTTGTCGATGTTGCAGGGACATGGTGTTTGCACCGCTTCGGATGGAGGAGAGCCTGACGGAGGTGGAGTTCCTGGAGAGATGGAGGGAGATCTCTACTGACAAGGAGGCCAGTTCGAAGGTCATACACCATCTATATATATTCTGTCTACAGTCGTCACTGTGTAGAGTGTAAATGTTTACGACATGCACACTGTTCTTCCGCATTAAGTTGACACGCTGTGAAATACCTATATACCAATCCTGCTGTGTCGAAGGCACCAAGTAAATTATACGAGTTATCCCAGGTTCGAAACAACCGAAAAACAATGAATAAGAAGGAATATGTCGGGGACAAGCTCCTTGATTGCAGGTTTCGTCAGTTATTATCATATAACATGTGGTGAAATATCGTAATCGAGACAACGGCACTCTAAAACACGCCAATTTGGCGAGCTGTATCCCATGCATACCATACCATGTTTCTGAAAATATGAAGTGTAAAGCATGTTGACTATTACGCTTGTACAGATGGCAAATAATCACACTGTTACGTCACCTGCTACAGTTGAAGTATATATATGTGTCATTTATTCAATGAAACGTGTCAAATATCGTGTCCATAACGAATCGGTGATTATGGAACTAAAACACAAAATCACCACTATTTACTAATCATTAATGAGAGGGTATGAGGTGGCTTATTGGGTAAATCATTCGCTCGTCACGCCGAAGATCCGGGTTCGATTCGCCACATGGGTTCAAAGTGTGAAGCCAATTTCTAGCGTCCCTGCAGTGATATTGCTGGAATATTGCTAAAAGCGGAGCAAAGCCATACTCATTCACTCACTCACTCTGTACAAATTGTGATCTTTGTTAAACTATGGTAGTTACGAAAAATGTAGTTGTACGATCGCTTTCTGAAACTGATGCCAGCAAACTGGTTCTACCATACAGCTACCCCTTGTTTTCAGATATTCCACCATATTGACGTCAATGGGGACGGTGAGCTGACGTGGGACGAACTCTACACCTTCAACGTGGACGAAATGTTCAAGATGTATCCTAAAGGTTTCGGCAACGACTTCCGAGAAGAGTATCGGAGTAAGAAGGACATGATGGTGTCGTTTCTGGAATCCAGAGACCAACAAGGGAAGGATCTGACACGCGATGAACTTTAGAGGTTGGCAGTTTGTCATACCGCTTTGACACCAACCATTGGCAGTTGTGTTTATTACAGGTCAAGCAGTTTGCTGTATGAATCCATGTCTGAATGGCAGCGTCTGTAATACATAAATAACCTCAAACACATATACTCACACACCATCACATGCGCACGCACACACCTTTTCACTGAAGTGACAAACGTTTTAAAAATGTGTTTTCCTTATATGAAGCTGACGACCTTGATATAGCTGAAGTGATGTTCACAACGCCATTAAACAACTAAATTCACTCATCTATTAGTTTGTATGAGATTACATAACGTTAACTGTACAGTAGCGGAGGGACGGTGGGATAGCCTGGTGGTTAAAGCGTCCGCTCGTCACGCAGAAGACCCCGGTTCGAATCCCCACATGGGCACAATGTGTGAAGCCCATTTCTGGCGTCCCCCGCCGTGATGTTGCTGGAATATTGCTAAAAGCGGTGTAAGACCATACTCACTCACTCACTACAGTAGCGGAGTCAGTGAACTGTACTGTCACTGACCAGGTGCTTCAAACTGGCTATTGGGAAATCATGTTGAGGCACAAAAAGTCCGAACCATTAGTTTTAATAGACCTGTCCAGACCTGCACGTAGGTTCCGATGACACATACAGATATTAACTAAGTGCTGAAGTGTGCAGGTTTTCACAGGTTCCCTTCTGTACGAGTATAGTGAACACCACTTTCACGGCACTGTGTGTTGTTCTCGTGGTGCACCCTGAGCCAGGAGTGAGTGAGTGAGTGAGTGAGTATGGTTTTACGCCGCTTTTAGCAATATTCCAGCAATATCATGGCGGGGGACACCAGAAATGGGCTTCACACATTGTACCCATGTGGGGAATCGAACCCGGGTCTTCGGCGTGACGAGCGAACGCTTTAACCACTAGGCTACCCCACCGCCCCCTGAGCCAGGAGCTCACCGGCCCTTCTTTACCTGCATTGGAGCAGGTGCGACTAACGCAACCATTTGGCATCATGCAAACTTCTAGCGAAATGATGTATATAAACCATATAGTCTCGTTGATGCTTCTTCTGGAATCAACAGATTCTTCTGATTTCTGTCATGGAACACGATGGACGAGGTATTTCTGTACTCCAATAAAAATGCAACTTCTCACCGATCTACACTGGTGTTAAAATAAAACGTTCACAACATAGAAACTTGTGTTTTTATTCACGAGAAGGAATACGTCTTTAACTCCGTGAAATGGGAGCCAGACAAATTGAGCTAATTTGAATTTTTTACAGTTGATATCATGGAACATTGTGTGTACAAGTGAAGTTTCTATTTCTTGTGCCGGACTCCACATTCCTATACTTACCAAATTCTTCACTAAATACTGGGAAATACAATTTCGAACACTGTAAACCAAAATACAGAGGCCTCAATAATTGTCTTCAGGGAATTGTCTTTCGGGGATAGTGAAGGAGTAGGAAGGCACGGGTGTATTGTTTCCAGGGCCCGGATTTTCCAAGCTCTCTTAGCGCTAAGATAGTCGTAAGTGCCATTCATTAACATTAACTTACGACTATCTTAGCACTAAGAGAGCTTCGAAAATCTAGGCCCAGGTCAAGAAGTAAATAATCAGAAAGCAGTGGGAATAGAGTGAGTGAGTTTATAGTTTTACGCCGCAATCAGCAATATTCCAGCAACATGGCGGTGGTCTGTAAATAATCCAGTCTGGACCAGACATGGATAAGCATCAATCTACGCAACTGGGATACGATGACATGTGGCAACCAAATCTTGAGCCTGACCACCCGATCCCGTTAGTCGCCTCTCACGAGAAACTTCAGTTACTGAAGTTAAATTTGTAATTTATTATTTACTAATTTCACAAAAAGACGACGACGATGAGTACGTTGCAGTTGATGTTCGGATTGATAATACAGTAAATCTGTGTTGACCTAATGCAGGTACACTGGGATGTATAAAACATGTACACACTTGCTGCAGACTCAGGGGGCGATGTAGACTAACAACTAGTCTCTGAAATGAACATATTTTTACTGAAAAAAGTTCATAGTAAAAAATATAAATATAATATAATGAAAAGGAGCCCTGAGACTTTTCATGTTCCTCTGAGGCTGAGGAAATCTAGACTTGCCACATTTTCTAGACTTGTGTGGGCTTTCTTGGATATATTTGCTTCAGGGTCTGTACGACAGACTAGGGGCGATGGTACATGCACAAATGCGTAAATAACCCCAAAGCTTAACAAAGGCTGAATGGTCCATGGGGAGAATTATATTCCTTTGTAAGAGGAGACGCTTGGCGACAACTCGCTGGAATCAAATGAGATCATGTTTTAAAGGTTTAAATGTCAGTGGCAATTATGAGTGACACAATGAGCATGGTCGTCTGTGAACATTCAGCTGTCTCGCCCACTATTACATCACAAGCACACATTCAAATAACGCATTCAAATAAAGGAGTCAGTTCATTGTGTAACATGGCAGTATATAGTGAAATGGCAAGGCTTATTGTATATTCAAATTATAGTTTGCTGCTACTGCTAGTGTGATAACTATGAACACAGACATAATCAGTGAGGTTTCGAAGAGAATTATGTGTAAAACAGCCAAATGTTAATGTTGACTCGTGCCACATGTAATCATATAGACAGATGTGTATGTACACGGTGTATTATGTACACTCGTATATTGTGTATTATTGTCAATGTGGAGGCTTAGAACCAAAAACTTGAAACCAACTTTCAACTTGAAATCCATTTTTTAACTTGAAATCCATCAACCAGCCAACTTTACGAAACACACTGTTAACGAGTGAGTATTGATTTTGTGTCGACACTCACGTGTGTAGCTGTGCGGTGTACGTGGAGTTGTGAACGTCACAGGGACAACTGACGTGGATGTGCCAGCCCGCCAGGTGTATGTGACACCCCCACGTGAGGAAGGTGTCGGCCTCCATGGACCCTGGCAGGATGTGCCAGACAGAGTGTGATGATGATGACGAGGGAGACTGGCTAATACATCACTGTCACCCTTCACCACACCACTGTATTCAAGCTCTGTACAAACAAGAGGTGAGGTGAAATGGGGTTGAACGTCGTACTTTAGAATATTTCGCTCATATGACGACATGCATGAGTGTGTATGTGCGGCTGCTTGTACTAGCCCAGACTTAAGCTGGTTTTATAGTGCTAGCTCACTGAGATACCATGCCGCAGTGAAGCATGAATACCCCACTCAGACACATTATACTGACTCCAAGCCAACCAGTCCTTGTTGTACCCATTAATGCCGAGCGCCAGGTAGGGACCAAACTACGATATTTTAACGCCTTTTTGGTATGACGCGGCCGGGGATCGAACACGCGACCATCCACTCTCCGAGCGGACGCTCTAACCACTACACCACGGAGGCAGTTATGTACAATCAAGAATAACGCGGATGTCCGTGTCTGTTTGTGGGTTTATTGTTGCAAGCTGTGTTGCTAATTGCTCTTAAAGCGTTTCCAAACTTCACTGCATGGTTTGTGTATTACGAAATACAGGCATAAATAAAAGCGAAGTTCAGCACTGAACAGGTGTTCAGAAATCTATCTACCTGTCTGTGTGCGTTCGTGAGTATATGTGCTCTGCTATACAATATTTAAACAGTCAACAAGAGTTCGTTGGTGAGAACGCTGTATTCACAGTAGTTGGACAGTTGCTCTGTCTGAGCTAGCAGTTCAAGGGAGATAACCCCTTCCACAGTTAGCTACGTCATGAGAAAACTTTACACAGCCCTCTCTGTTGGTAAAATAAATTAGTGAAAAATAGTACAACTGCGCCTCTTAGATCGTTGTTTGTTGTGTTCAAGTTCTTATCTCATTCATTAGACATTCAACTAAACTGGAGCGCGAGATACACATGGGCAGACAGCAACATCACTTACGATACACTTTGCGACACCTGCGACTGATTCACGGATCATAACACCTTGATCAGCGCCATCTGGCGGCACATCCGGCTCACGTGGGGGTGGCAGAAAACGGAACTATATTGTCGTAAATGTATATATCGTCAAAACAGAGTAGTGATATTCTGAGTCGGTGATGGGGCCACCGTGTGCTAGCTATTGACGGATTGTTAAACAAATACACAGATTTCATTGTTTACTTCTCCTGTTTACGAATACTGCCGATGCAAATTTTAACTCACTCACTCACTTAACTCTTACGAATGCCTCTTCACTGAATCTGCACAGAACTTGACAACAGAGCTCCATACAATCAGCGACTGCAGTGTCGATATCAGTGACAATGGTATATTTGTCGTTTTCGATGATGACGGTATCCTGTGTTGTGGCAACGATCGTGTATGCGACATTGATTACGTCATGTGTAGGGGCTGCCCAATTCCAAGGTCACTTGAAACCTCTTGGGAGTTACCCCCCTTTACATGACATCCCCGTCATGGAGGGAATACCCACCCCCCAGTACTTCTACGAGTGGTTCGTGAGGCCGGGTCAACCTGTGTTACTGAGGTCGGCCTTAAACAACCCTAGCTTCCAGTACCCCGCATATAACCTCTGGACGGATGACTACCTCAGGTAAGTGAGTGTGTGCGAGGACAGGTGGGTTGATTGATTGATTAGGATCAAGGTGGGAACATCATTGCTCCAGTTAAAGTGACGGTATCCTGGAACCTGTAACAACATGACGTAAACTGGCTGACTTTAGGTATCTAGAGATTCCTTCTGATGGAACTTGGCAGTGCAGATAAACACGATGCCCGAAAGGTACCACCGAAAAGAAGTCGAGATATGGCATTAGATTACATTTGTGACGCTATTCTGTAGGGGTGAAACGGTACGCTCTTACGGTACGTATTGCGATACAAGGCCTTCGGTTCGGTCCGTTTCGGTTCGGTATATGAGACATATCATAATTCAGAAAATTGACAACAAGAGGCTAACCTTACACTGTTTAATAACATGGGAAACAATAAATCATAATCTTTGTTATTTTGAATGAACAAAACTGTCATTTCATGACAAGATAGAAGAATTAAAATATCACAGGCCTTGGAGCTCACACCTGTGTGGCAAAATAGCAAGTAGCCAAAGTATGATTAAAAGTCATTAAAATCACATCAGCATTTACTGCAGTGAAATCACCACGTCCCAGAAATTGTTCATGCTTAAAAAACACTAAAAACAATACACAAATCAGATCTTGTCGGGTGTGACTTCTGTTGACGACATATCATGGATAAATAAATTATACAAATTAACTCAACACAGTTGTCATAAGACAGTTACAGTCCGTGTGACAGATGATTGTCCTTGATCTAAATCACTGCCAATCTCTCATTTCAGTCAGTTAAACATTTCGAGACTTGAGAAGTACTGCTACACAATCTTGGCACATTCCAGAATTTTGTTTTGTTCTGTTTTCAGATTCATTCAAAATATCTTTTAAAGTTCACTCAGAAATGCATTTCTCCTTTCTGAAACAAATTTGTTTTAGCCTGAGAAAGCTGCTTTCTCTTTTTATCGGTCGTTAAATGTCCATTGCTCTGATATAGCTTGCAATGAGATGGTAGCAACAGCAAACAAACATAAGGCATACTAACTGTGATGAACAAGCCACCAGATCCATACCCATAATTGCAGTTATCCCTCGCCATAACGCCGGTCTTGGGGTCCATGGATGATCCCCCCGAGCTGTGAGACACCCGTGTAATACATAACCCGGAATAAAGGCCAAGTAAAAATTATTTTCCATGGACATAACAGAACTGCTATTTCGTGTATTGTGCCCAGTCAAAACTATATCGTATCGTCGAAAGTTGGTAAATCTACCTGTAATAATACCAGCGCCTTGAGCATGCACTAGTGCGTGGATATGTGCGCTATATAAATATCCTATAATAATAAAAATAATAAATAATAACATGGCTCTTGGTGATTGTGGCAGACTTCCTCTACAAATTACTTATATGACTAAAGTAATTAAATACTGGTGTCACCTATTGTATATGCCTTATGATAGACAGCCAAAACATTGTTATATTATGCTCAAGTCCTTAGATGATGTTGGCCGCACTACTTGGGCAACTTGTGTCAAAAATATTTTATTTAAGTATGGTTTTGGCTATGCATGGATCAGTCAGGATGTTGGCAATGTTGATTATTTCATATCCTTGTTTAAGCAGAGACTTTCGGATAATCTTAAACAATGTCGGTCCACTTCAATTCAAAATTCTAATACGTGTTTTTATTACTCCCAATTTAAGACATTTTTAAATGTGGAAAGATATTTAAATTCTGATATTCCTTTACATCTCACATCTGCACTCTCTAAATTTAGATGTGGTAATTTTAATTTAGCTGTTGAAACTGGAAGATACAATAAAGTTAATTACAATGAGAGACTATGTCTATTTTGTAAATTGGATGACAAAAATGTTATTGAAGATGAATTCCATGTACTCCTTAAGTGTGAACGTTTTTCTGATTTAAGGTTAAGATATATTCAGAAATATTTTACTGATTTTGATCCAAATGCCAATTTTATTAACATTATGAAAACACATAATGATTGTATCATAAGAGATGTCAGTATTTTTCTGTTTCATGTACTTCAGCGCATTAGAAATGTTCCTCTTACACAGCATGTACACTCAACTATCTATATCATATGCAAATGACTGTATGATGGGCCTGTGGCCTTTTACTGAATAAACTTGTCTGTCTGTCTGAAAGTGAAAAAACAAATTATGTAAATGAAAATAAATATGTGAATAGGAAACCTGCAATCAAATTAAAAATCACTAGACACGATAATTCAGTTGTCCTTCCTGTTATGCTACCTGTTATTTAACTAAGTTGGAAATAACAATCAGCTGTGTACTCATGTTTTGCTCCAATCTACCGGTGATTCAGTTAAAAACGACCTGAAAATATATATATAACATAAAAGGATTTCTATCCATTATCAGAATAATTTATATCTTAAGCAGTTATTTTAACAGAAATATTATATATTGCTATCGTATTAGTATAATGCATGTTTTCTACGAACGTATTTAACATAATAATGAACATAGGTTCAGCACTTTGGGTTACGTGGCTGGATACATTTTACGTATGAGACAGTTTGACAAGTCACCGTTGAGTTCCCGCGGTACCTGTCTCTTTGATTGTAAAAACACAATATTGGCAATTAATTGTGAAATATGACTTCAATGAGTCAATAACGCGGGTCTTGGGGTCCATGGATGACAAGGCGGTAATCTGTTCGTGATTGCTGAGAATAATATGAAATTAGTACTAACGCGGTTGGCGTATAGAATGAGGGGATGTCATTTCACACACGTTTTCTCCAATGTTACTGTAAACAGTTTTAATTAATGAAAATGGGATTAAATTTAATCAAATAAAATGAAATCGAGGTAGATCGTTTTATTATGAGTTTTCTGACATCGTACGTTTTCGGATGGCAGTGTTTATCCCCGCTATAACGCGGTGTGTTGCATCACAGCACACATCGTAAGTACTCGGCTGACGGCGTGTATTTATGATAAAGTGGACTTCAATAAGTTATTACGATGTTTCGCTGTTCGTCTGATTTGAAATAACTGAAAAAGAAACAGAACTCAGCTATTGATTTGGTATCTGCAGTTGCTGTCTTGCTGACTTTGTAAGTGGACGACTTGAGGCGATCTCGAACTTACTTCCAGGAAAATAGCGGCCGTCAAGCAAAGAAATGAATAGATTTTGACCAAATGATTCAATTTCTAGACATTTTAGAAAAGGTTTAAAATGATTAATAAAATGACTGTACGAAAACCGAAGTTTTGGATTGCATTACGGTATACCGAACCGAAGGCAAAATACCGCGGTTCTACTAATACCGCGGTATACCGTTTCACCCCTACTATTCTGTTCAGTTTCAGCAATCCATTATATATAAGGAATGGACAGTCGCTAAAGTAATGGAGAGTGGTCGTTCCAGTGCACGTGGTACATGCTGTGAATATGTTAACAACAGTGTCGCTTAATGAAGGGCCGCTTCTATCCGATCATTACTTTTAAATACATAATATTTTAACGATAGTTTTGAAGTTTCTGCATTAGGATGAAGGAAATGTTCCAAGACACAATTTACCAAATAACCTCGGAATATCCTCGCAACTCTCCATTCCTTCAAGCTACTGGGGCCATAATGTTTCAGGAATGGAGAGTTACAGTGACATTCTACTCTACATCTGTAATTGGAGAAAAGGTGTCGAGTTGTATTGCTGGTTTATAATATTCAAGACATACAAAACTTGTCTCCCTTCTTGTTCTGAACATGAGCTGGGGAGACATCGCTCGGACTGGATTCAGAGAATCATCATTATTTAAATACGAGGGGTTGCGCCACCTGTGTGTTATTCGCCATGCCGAGTCCTGTTATAAGAATAACTGACGTATATGAGGTATAACGGTTTCCTGAATGACAAAATCCTGAGTAAGTGAATTATAGAATAGCTTGCGATTAGCACTCTTGTATATTTGTAACACTCACACGTCCACAAAAACAACATGCAGAACGTGAGAATCATGTTTTTACATTTAATTCATTAACTTAAATAAATGCAAGTAAACATGTTTAGATGTAAACATTGGCGAATATGGCAATGTCAGTTGAAGTACGTCCCACGTAGGTAACAATAGACAGTGAGCCAATTGTCGACCATGAACGATGCTGGACCCACATACCACCACTGGACGGGTGGGTCGATGGATGAATTTTGGAATATCTATCAAACTGACGTTTTCCATTCGAAATCAGAATCCATTAAGCGACATCTCATTCCATATCAGCACGTGGCTCATAGACGGAAAATCGGAGTTATTAATAGAAAAAAACGGTAATTGGCAAGTGGTTTCCAGAACAATATCCGGCTGCCCTCATGGGCAAGAAAATGCAATACCTAACTCCCTCTCATCGCGTATTTCTGGCGCCCCAGCGTCCAACACGTCCTTGGTCACTATCAGGGAATCAAGGTATTTCGGCTGGAATTACACTCGACAAGTGGCTTTGGTGAACGATTCCAGGAATTAACGTCAAGCGGGGCATCGTGTGCCGGATGTACATCTCTTCATTAACACGTGAAATAGATCATTATTGTGAAAACCGCTTGTCAATATAGACTACTTCCACTACAGGAGGAGGTTTGGTGACCTGGTCGTTTCATTCGAACATAACAAGAAAGAGACGCGTGACGAGAGAGATGGTGACGAGGGGCCATTCAAAACGTTCCTGAGTCAATACAACACATCCGATGTGTACCTGGTACTGAACCTGGAGCACAGCAGCGCCATGGCAGGTAGGTGCTGATAGCCGTGGTAACTAATGAACGGATGGGTACTTGTACGTGTAGAAGGTAAAGGGTCGACCATCTGATCAACGGGTGTCTACTGGAACGTGAAGTAATTTGTTGTACTGGTCTGGTGGGTACAAGTGGTGGTGGTGGTGGTTGATGGGATGGTTCTTGTAGGGAAGTGGGGGTGTGGGGTGGGTTAGGAAGGGTCCTATGTTGTACTGGTCTGGTGGATACAAGTGGTGGTGGTGGTGGTGGTTGATGGGATTGTTCTTGTAGGGAAGTGGGGGTGTGGGGTGGGTTAGGAAGGGTCCTATGTTGTACTGGTCTGGTGGGTACAAGTGGTGGTGGTGGTGGTTGATGGGATGGTTCTTGTAGGGAAGTGGGGGTGTGGGGTGGGTTAGGAAGGGTCCCATGTTGTACTGGTCTGGTGGGTACAAGTGGTGGTGGTGGTGGTGGTTGATGGGATGGTTCTTGTAGGGAAGTGGGGGTGTGGGGTGGGTTAGGAAGGGTCCTATGTTGTACTGGTCTGGTGGGTACAAGTGGTGGTGGTGGTGGTGGTTGATGGGATGGTTCTTGTAGGGAAGTGGGGGTGTGGGGTGGGTTAGGAAGGGTCTTATGTTGTACTGGTCTGGTGGGTACAAGTGGTGTTGGTGGTTGATGGGATGGTTTTGTAGGGAAGTGGGGTGTGGGGTGGGTTAGGAAGGGTCCGATGTTGTACTGGTCTGGTGGGTACAAGTGGTGTTGGTGGTTGATGGGATGGTTCTTGTAGGGAAGTGGGGTGTGGGGTGGGTTAGGAAGGGCCCCATGTTGTACTGGTCTGGTGGGTACAAGTGTTGGTTGATGGAATGGTTCTTGCAGGGAAGTGGGGGTGTGGGGTGGGTTAGGAAGGGTCTTATGTTGTACTGGTCTGGTGGGTACAAGTGGTGGTGGTGGTGGTTAATGGGATGGTTCTTGTAGGGAAGTGGGGTGTAGGGTGGGTTAGGAAGGGCCCCATGTTGTACTGGTCTGGTGGGTACAAGTGGTGGTGGTGGTTGATGGGATGGTTCTTGTAGGGAAGTGGGTGTGTGGGGTGGGTTAAGAAGGGTCTTATGTTGTACCGGTCTGGTGGGTACAAGTGGTGTAAGTGGTGGTGGTTGATGGGATGGTTCTTGTAGGGCGGTGGGTTTGTGGGTTGGGTTAGGAAGGGTCTTATGTTGTACTGGTCTGGTGGGTACATGTGGTGGTGGTGGTTGATGGAATGGTTCTTGCAGGGAAGTGGGAGTGTGGGATGGGTTTAGAAGGGTCTTATGTTGTACTGGTCTGGTGGGTACAAGTGGTGGTTGATGGGATGGTTCTTGTAGGGAAGTGGGGTGTGGAGTGGGTTAGGAAGGGTCCTATGTTGTACTGGTCTGGTAGGTACAAGTGGTGGTGGTGGTGGTGGTTGATACTGGTTCTTGTAGGGAAGTGGGGTGTGGGGTGGGTTAGGAAGGGTCCCATGTTGTACTGGTCTGGTGGTGGTGGTGGTTGATGGGATGGTTCTTGTAGGGAAGTGGGGGTGTGGGGTGGGTTAGGAAGGGTCTTATGTTGTACTGGTCTGGTGGGTACAAGTGGTGGTTGATGGGATGGTTCTTGTAGGGAAGTGAGGGTGTGGAGTGGGTTAGGAAGGGTCCCATGTTGTACTGGTCTGGTGGGTACAAGTGGTGGTTGATGGGATGGTTCTTGTAGGGAAGTGAGGGTGTGGGGTGGGTTTGGAAGGGTCCCATGTTGTACTGGTCTGGTGGGTACAAGTGGTGGTTGATGGGATGGTTCTTGTAGGGAAGTGGGGGTGTGGGGTGGGTTAGGAAGGGTCCCATGTTGTACTGGTCTGGTGGGTACAAGTGGTGGTGGTGGTGGTTGATGGGATGGTTCTTGTAGGGAAGTGGGGTGTGGGTTGGGTTAGGAAGGGTCCCATGTTGTACTGGTCTGGTGGGTACAAGTGGTGGTGGTGGTGGTTGATGGAATGGTTCTTGCAGGGAAGTGGGAGTGTGGGATGGGTTTAGAAGGGTCTTATGTTGTACTGGTCTGGTGGGTACAAGTGGTGGTTGATGGGATGGTTCTTGCAGGGAAGTGAGGGTGTGGGGTGGGTTAGGAAGGGTCCCATGTTGTACTGGTCTGGTGGGTACAAGTGGTGGTTGATGGGATGGTTCTTGTAGGGAAGTGGGTGTGTGGGGTGGGTTAGGAAGGGTCCGATGTTGTACTGGTCTGGTGGGTACAAGTGGTGTAGTGGTGGTGGTTGATGGGATGGTTCTTGTAGGGAAGTGGGGTGTGGGTGGGTTAGGAAGGGTCCTATGTTGTACTGGTCTGGTGGGTACAAGTGGTTGTTGATGGGATGGTTCTTGTAGGGAAGTGGGGGTGTGGGGTGGGTTAGGAAGGGTCCCATGTTGTACTGGTCTGGTGGGTACAAGTGGTGGTGGTGGTGGTTGATGGGATGGTTCTTGTAGGGAAGTGGGTGTGTGGAGTGGGTTAGGAAGGGTCCGATGTTGTACTGGTCTGGTGGGTACAAGTGGTGTAAGTGGTGGTGGTTGATGGGATGGTTCTTGTAGGGAAGTGGGTGTGTGGGGTGGGTTAGGAAGGGCCCCATGTTGTACTGGTCTGGTGGGTACAAGTGGTGGTTGATGGAATGGTTCTTGCAGGGAAGTGGGAGTGTGGGATGGGTTTAGAAGGGTCTTATGTTGTACTGGTCTGGTGGGTACAAGTGGTGGTGGTGGTGGTTGATGGGATGGTTCTTGTAGGGAAGTGGGTGTGTGGGATGGGTTTACACAGGGGCTTGTCGCGCTTACAAACAGCGTTAGAAAGACATATAAGTATATATACCCTCCCTAGTACAATATAAAACACTATCTAACGCTGTTTTTAAGCGGGACAAGCCCCTGTGGTACATACCCTATCTGACCGATGACACGTTGTGCATTTCTTTCGTTCAGAGGACATATTCCTGCCGCCATTTCTGGCGTGTGGGGGAGCGCAGAAACTGATGACGTATTTCCACGTTTGGTTCAGCAGTGGTGGGACGAAGTCCGTGCTTCACTTAGACTCCGTGGACAACGTCAACTGCCTCATGGACGGCACTAAAGATTTCATTTTCATTGACAAAGTGAGTGAGTTTGTCATGTTTAACGCCACCGTGTACACAATTTCAGTCGATAACATCAAAAGACTTTACAATATGGTACTTGTTAGTCCTTGCCTGGCGCTCGGGATTAATGGGTACAACAAGGACTGGTCTGCTCGGAGTATAATGTGTCTGAGTGGGGTATTCATGCTTAACCGAGGCATGGTATCTCAGTGAGCTAGCACCATAAAACCATCTTAAGTCTGGGCTAGTACAAGCAGCCACACATACATACGCATGCACGTCGTCATATGAGCGAAATAATCTTAAGTACGACGTTAAACCCCATTTGACCTCACCTCACTACCACTACTACTACTGCTGCTGCTGCTGCTGCTGCTGCTCCTCCTGCTCCTCTTCCTCCTCCTCCTCCTACTACTACTACTACTTCTAACACTTTTAACGATCATACATACTACATACCAGTTTGTACTCCACCTCCACTTACCTCCAATACATGTATTTTCTTCACAATTAAACTCGATGATATACAACCATACAAGATATATTCCGCCATATAGCTGGAATATTGCTGAGTGCGAAACACTTCTAAAGATCCATAAGAAACAAAAGAAAAGCAGTACCGCTTTTAGAGAACAAAAATTGCACCTAATGAAAAAGCATTTTTGTGTTGAATTCATCATTCAAAGTTTACTTTCCACCACAAAATGGTTGTCCTAAAACATGGCTCTTATAGTAGCTGTGTATGACCTGGCTCAAGTGTGTGTTATCTTACCCCGACGGTGGGGATGAGAGCTCGTACCACTTATTGTGCCTGGCCCAGATCAATCACCTATTCTCGCCACCGAGATATTGATGAACTGTTGCTGACTGCGTCATACTTTGTTAGTTAACCGTAGTTTCTTGTGAATGACTTTCTGATTCTGACGCTTGAATTTACAATACATTCTACCATGACTTCAGTTAATACTGGATTGTGATTGATGATTGATTAATCAAATTTATTCAGAGGTGTATAATCACGTTATATACCTCTGATTTTCCAACACAATGTGTATTTTTTTTAATCGTAATAACGCGGCTATGGTAGAATGCAGATATACGCACTGTGTTGGAAAATCAGAGGTATATCACGAAATTATAAATATAATATGTTTATCTCCGAACTGCTTTACTTTTATACAGAGATATAAGCCCCAAATTGAAGCTTCCGGCTTCAATTCAGAACGAGGCTTTAGCACAGTGGACGTGGACCGGGTGGATCTTGACAAGTTTCCTGGGTTTAAGTCCGTTCCTTGGCTCAAGGCTAAAATGAAGAAAGGCGATTGTCTCTTTATACCCGCCAAGTAAGTGGCGATTCCTTACACATAAGTACAGAGGTGAGTGTACATACCTACAAGTAGGTCCCATTTAAAGTCTCCAGGCGCTCCTGTTGACAGTTGTCACGTGCGGCAGTGTACTGATGTCACGAACTGCAGTCGTCATTTTATTTATTATTACAAATGGTTTGGTCATGCCGGGGAGTTAACTGTATGTATTACGAATTGTAGGCCTATTTCATAGTATGTTTTAGGGTAAGATAATAAAGAGGGCGAGGTGAGGTTTCTCCGCTAGGTTGAAAGGCTGGGTTGTCTGTCGTATAAAGCGGTTACGTCTCCTAAGCTTCGGGATCCACCCTCAACATGGATACAGGTCCCCAGTTTTCAGATTACTCGTTCCTGTACCGGGAAGTAACTCCGCTGAACCCCTTCTAATCCTAGTCGCTGTAGGCATCGCATAATCAGCAAGTAATCGATGCTCACTGTCTTTCAGCTGGTATCATCAGGTGTACTCGCACCAAGGCCGGAATCTGGCTTCTAACGTGTGGTTCGATCGCCTTCTGTGGTTCAACAGTACCGACTGTGAGAGGACAACCCCACGCCCCCTAAGTAAGGTGCCACTCATCACCGCACAAAACTTCATCAGGTGAGGAAAGGCCGACAAGCATCCACGAACCAGTGAAGAGCGCGTGTGTTTCTGTCTCCGTATTTGTCTGAATACAGTGTGTTAGTTTTGAGTGTTTTCTTTTACAGAAGTGACCTGTTTTCTGGTCTGGATGGGAAGGACAGCATCTACGAGTATGATTTGCAATACATGGTGAAGAATGTAGAGGAAACCAAGCAGGTGCGTGTTCTCGTGGCTTTAGTAGTGGGAACATTTCTAGCCCTTGATGTGCGAGTATAGTGTATCAGTTAGTATTGTCGTGGGGAACCTCAGATCCAGTAAATACCCCTTCACGGTGTTATATACTTGGACTACAAATTGCAACTCGCACGGCTTATATGGTGGGCATTCTACATAAACGTACCCGTGAAGATCCGGGTTAGAATATTGATCTTCAGTAACCCATGCTTGTTGTAAGAGGTGACTAGCGGGATCGGGTGGCCTGGCTCGCTGACTTGCTTGACACATGTCATCAGTTATCAATTGCGTAGATCGATGCTCATGCTGTTGATCACTGGATTGTCTGGTCCAGACTCGATTATTTACATACCGCCGCCATATAGCTGGAATATTGCTGAGGTCGGCCGGCTTAAAACTAAACTCACTCACTCTACATAAACGATTGTGGCAAAGCGACAGCATCATGGAAGTTAAAACAGATGTATTCAAAGAGAATGGCGGATCAGCCTCATGATGTTAGAAACCTTACAAGGACGACTAACACGGAGATCAGGGGCGGATACAGCTGTTTTAGAAAGGGGGGTGGGGTGCATACTATTGAGAAAAGGGAGGGTGCACATTTCATTTTCACCCGAGTTTCAATGGTCATTTAATAAACTTTCAGGACAAAAAAGGGGGGGGGGGCGCACCCCTGAACCCCCCTTCTGGATCCGCCTATGGAGATGCTTGAGGTTCTAATGTGATCCTTGTCAACACCCATGTGTATCGTCACAGCGGTGGGTGGGTGGATACCCATTATTCCAATAGACGTTTTGGCATTTAGGGGATAAAACAAGCACACGGAGTCAATGTGTTGTGTCGTAGATGGGTACCAATGAGGCACAGTGTCTCGATAGCATTGAAATTATTCTGGACGAGTACAAACACGCACGCACGTCTCAGCATAAGTGCTTTCATCTTGAACGCCAAGTTGAACCTCATTTCCACTTACCCTACTTCCTGTGTTCCAGGTGTACCACTATTTCAACACCGACGGCGACGACCATGTCTCCTGGGAGGAACTTTACCAGGCCGACGTGGACGACTTCGTCGCCAGGTTCGGTGGCTCGTTAGCGGAGAAGTTCAAGACAACAATGGAGGACATTGACGACAATAGAGAGAACCAGGATCAAAGCAAGTCCAAGGAGGAACTTTGACCTCTGTGTATGTACGCTTACAACAATAAACATTTAATTCTCTTGACCTGTTTCATTTGTATCTGTTAGAAGTTGTTAAACGTCACTGTTCCGCACAGTATAATCTCCAGCTACAGTCTGTCACAGTGTGCGAAATATACTATCCCAAAAAAGAAACGCACAGGCCAGAAATCTGTTGCGAAAATGGTGTATTTTCAAACATGTATAACTCGTCCACAAATAGACTTTAGTGCATGGATTTTTACATCAGTTTAGAAAAATGAAATGCCTATACAACCAAGTGGATAATTATAGATAACGGAGACGTTGAGCGCGATGGCGATGACGCAGCACGGTCCCGACGTCGGGTCTCAGTCTAATCTCTCTCAACCTGTTCCGTACAGTTTGACCGGATTCCTCCGAATTCCAGGTACCCTGCTGTCACCCCTGACAGTACGATCACGCAAATGTAGTACCCGGATGTACCGATCTTGGGATGCAGTGGTGTCTCGAGGTCTGCCTGTACGGGGACGGTCATTTGTTATACCTGTTTGGTTGTATCGAGCTGCAAGCAGTTAGCTCCGACTAGCATTCCGACGCCTGGCAACAGAAAATTGGTAATCTCGAGCGTGCATTCTTCCAATGGCGATGTTCCGTGTCGTAGCCTCAAGACGTGGCGTAGTGATTCGACCTTGAAACTCCTTCAAAGCGAATGCCGATTTCCGAAATTAATCTGGATTTTTATAGCCAGACAGTGCATGCTCTTTGCTGCTCAATTTCAACTGGAAGGTGATTTTTGTTGCTTTGTGGCAATGCGTTTTTAATCCTTGTAAGAAATCTCATCAAAATCAACATTTTCAGGTAAAGTCGAATTTTTACTTGTGCAATTGTGTAAAATCATTTTATCAACACTTTTGTTGCATATTTTGACGATTGTTTGAATACAATAGGTAATTAATAGGTTTTAAAAAATACAAAACGCCTATGCGTCTCTTTTTTTTGTTGCATATTTTGACGATTGTTTGATAGGTATACAAAACGCCCATTCTCTTTTGGGATAGTATAGTTTCAAATTTTGTTAGCCAGTCGGGCAAGTATGCCTGAAAGTTACTAGCCATCAAAATAATTCACTTGCCCGAAATGTGAATGTAGAAATTCAGCAAAAGATTACAAAAATTGATGAGAATAAGATATCGTAGGTTTGGCAAGGGTTTCATCGTTAAGCTGCTAATATGATAAACATTTTTTATCAGGCCATAATTTTGCATGATTTAAAGTGTATTATAACTTAGCAAGTCAGAGAGAGTGATATACTTACAAAATGACGCCATGAAAATTCACTAGCCAGTCGGGCCAGTGACTATGGAGATTTACTGGCCCACCTGAATTTTTACTAGCCACAGGCTAGCGGGCCATTGGCTATTTCGCACACTGGTCTTTCAACAATGTCACCTTACGCACCTCATGTCAACATTCTCACCAGCTTGTGGCATTGTATTAGGCTAAATACATTGTGTAGTGTTTTCACAGATGCATAATTTCTTCTATTCTACAAATCTAGCATAGTGTGGTGGATCTGATCTCTCCAAGCTAGTTGGTCAGACCTAACCAAGAAAAAAATTGAATTGTTGGTCCGATGTATACCCATGAAACTAACCAGGCACCACCCACATTTGTATATGGTAAGTACGACCACATTACATATTGTATATGCTTCGAAAACCAATTTCCGCGTATCAAAATGGTAAATGTCAACAATGCCGTGACTATGTAGTATGTACAGTACCCAACCCTGTACACTTAAAACAACCCATGAATCCGTTGGTAAATGAACAGATGGTGGCCACATGAATACGTGCATACACCTAGTTGCGGGTACAGCAACGTGCAGTAAAACTTGGACATAGTACTGTGACCATGTGCCCCAGTCCACCCAGCTGTGAATGGGTATAACGTAAGGATGGGAAAGCCACATTAACACGGTGCGCCTAAAGTTGTATGATCCCCAGGGAGTTGAGATTGATAATGTATTGTGCCGTTTGACATCAAATGATCGAGGGAAAAACAAAGCGCCTGTGAGCAGCTGAGCTGGATATTGGCACTATACAAATATTAGCATAATAATAAAGTGCCACCAATTTGATTGTCACACAATTGTCAAATGAAGATATTTGTGAATGTATGAACCAACACTGGCGACTACATCAGTACCTGGTGCAGCAACACCTCGCACGGACAACATCTGCTGGTCTCTGACAAGGAGTGATTGCGTTAATTCCTTCAGATGTTGACCAGGAGTATCTCTAGTTCGAACTTGGCATCCAAGATAGTCCCAAAGATGTTCAAAGGGATTCATATCGGGGCTCCTTGCGTGCCATGGTTATTGTTCAGGGTGATGACGGCTCGAGAGCGGTGGTGTCTAGCGTTGTAATCCACTAATGGTTGGTTATCAAGTACTTCGTGTGGATAACGTTGACCATTGAGTATCCCAGGTATTGTAATGGCATCCACCTTACAGGCATTCGAAACACAACCCAACACCATCACTGGGTGCTGCTGCATAGATATTCCTGGTGATATGCCTCGTTACGACGTCAACAGAAGGGACAAAGGTCGTCTGTAACGTGTAGAAGTTAACGACTTTCATTAGAACAATGAATCCAACGCCGTGTCCTTAAGTTACAATTTCACTACTTTCTCTTACATTTCTCTCCCGTCAAGGCCCGGTTAGAATGAAGCTTCAGTAACCCATGCTTGTCGTAAGAGGCAACTAACGGGATCGGGTGGTCAGGCTCGCTGACTTGTTTGACACATGTCATCGGTTCCCAATTGCGCAGATCGATGCTCATGCTGTTGATCACTGGATTGTCTGGTCCAGACTCGATTATTTACATACCCCCGCCATATAGCTGGAATATTGCTGAGTGCGGCGTAAAACTACACTCACTCACTCACTCCTTAAGTTACTATTTTCTCAGAGCCTGCACGTCGAGGTTCTTTACCTGTGGGTAAGGGACGTCCGATCTTATGCCCTCTGCCCGGCAGCCCGATGCTACTGGTGGCGTGTCGAACTTCCTCTCTACATCGCCGGCGCGATCTTCCGCATGGTTTCTTCGTGGTGTGAAAAATATAGTTTAATTATTGAAGAACAGGCCGGTTTCCGAGAAAATTACAGCACTGTTGACTGTATGTTTGTTCTACATGGATTAATTAATACTGCAATTAAAAATAAAGTTAAATTATACTGTGCATTCATTGACCATCGAAAAAAGCTATGTAAATAGACATGCACTTTGGTGTAAATTATAAGCTTGGGATAAGTTCAAAACTTCTAACTTTAGTTCGAAGTATGTATGAGGAGGTTAAATCTTGTGTGAGGCTGTCCAGTAATATTCATTCAAACTTTTTCATGTCGTCTATTGGTGTCAGGCAAGGAGAAAATCTGTCGCCGATATTGTTTTCATGATTTATTAATGATATAGTAGAAGAACTTTCTTCTATTGATGACTTGGGAGTTGTTATTTCTCATGTACGTTTACTTCTGTTGTTATTTGCGGATGATATGGTGCTCTTTAGCAATAGTGTTAAAGGTTTACAAGACGGTTTGGATATGATGTTTACTTACTGCACGAAATGGGGCTTGACCATAAATACTGAAAAAACAAAGGTTGTTATTTTTCGTAAAGGAGGTAGACAAGGCAAGGCTGAAAAGTGGTCCTATAATGGTTCACCTCTTGAGGTAATCAATAGTTTTAAATATCTTGGTTTAGTATTTTCAACAGGTGGCAGTTTTTCACAAGCTCAGAAAATCCTATCAGAACAAGGTTTGAAGGCACGTGGTTCATTGTACAATATATTCAATGATAATGTGTACATTACTCCAGATATTCAGTATCAGTTATTCCAATCAGTTGTTTCTCCTATTCTCTCATATGGTTGCGAAGTTTGGGGCTTTATGGAAGCTAATGCTATCGAAAGGGTACACTTGATATTTATGAAACATATATTATATGTCAAAATGTCAACTTCATCAACTTTCTTATATGGAGAATTGGGTACATTCCCTTTGAAAGTTATTCGTCTTGTCAGGATTATCAAATATTGGCTTAAGATTTTGAGAAGTAAACCAGATAGATATATAGTTTTGATATATAATTCATTATTGAATAGTTCAAATGAGAACCCTGATGTTGAAAATTGGGCAAGTTTATTGAGAGATACGCTCTTCAGGTTTGGTTTTGGTTATATTGAGGTCACAGGGGCGTGTCGCGCTTAAAACAAGCGTTAAAAAGACATATAGGTATATAGACCCTACCTAGTTGAAATATAAAAGTCCTTTTTATATAGTACTAGGAAGTAGAATCTATAACCTATATGTCTTTTTGAACGCTGATTTTCTAAAATCCCACTTTCTGTTGATATTATATAGTACTAGGGTAGGGTCTATATACCTATATGTCTTTTTAACGCTGTTTTTAAGCGCCTTTTATATAAGTATGTTTAAGTTTATCAAATTGTTAAAATGTGAAAACAGTTCTGAAATATTGAAAGCTGCAAAGTGTATTTATTATATCTTAAATGAAAGAAACAAAATTGAATTTTTGTAAATCGTTCACACATATCCTCACTCTTGGGCAATAATGATAATAACAATATGATTGCTCTCTATATACGTACCTCGCCATGTGCACAGGCGAATATTCAGTATATATATATTGTATTGGTCTTTGACCTAATAAAAATCTTGTCTTGTCTTGTTATTTTATGTTCATTGAAGACCATATTCTCTATTGACAGAGGTTATTGCCTGTATTTAAGCTTATTGACACTGCTCAATTTTTCTCAGCTGCTCTCTTCTCTTCTCTTTCTCTTGGCATGACGTATTTCTTTGTGCTTTTTATGTATTCGTGTGCCAGCACCGAGTTTTGACGTACTCCTTAAGACCCAAAGAATCGTTTGATGGATGCTATTATTAGTGTTGATCTTATTCATACAATGGCCAAACAAATATAGCAACTATTACATATATGTGTTGTGGTTTTATTTTATTTTCGAATACCGAACAGTGTTTTACGTGTATCTGTGTTTAGTTTACAGGTGGGAAAATTAGGTAAATGAATGTACCTATTACATATCTGTTACATACAACTATCTTTGTTCATACTCAGACTGAGGGCGGTGGGGTAGCCTAATGGCTAAGGCGGTCGCTCGTCACGCCGATGACCCGGGTTCGATTCCCCACATGGGTCCGAAGCCCATTGCTGGTGTCCCCCCGAATATTGCTAAAAGCGGCGTAAAACCAAACTCACTCATTCACTCATACTTAGACTGGGAAATACTACAGGGATTTTGGCAGTATCATATTCTCATCATTTCTACATTTCAGTGGTTGTCATGGCAACGTTTTCAATAATGCTCCACCAAATCAGGTTGGTACAGTATAAATACTTGAATGTATAATTGCTTTGTATTTGTTTTCGTTCCACTGACAGGATAAGCAACGTAGTCAGGAACTCACGGAATCCAAGGACAAATAAATCGAAAATATCTCCATTAACAAACAGATGTATTTCACAACACATGCACTAATTAATGGTGATGCTCGTACCGATGTGTTTGTCGCCTGCAGCGGGAGGCGGCCGCTAGGCCTCTACTGTGGACATCTCTGTAAGCGCCAGGTCCGTCTCCTTGCCGCGCCTCCTCGGCAGTCGGGAAAACCCATACCCAGGGAACCTGTCCCGCCGCTGCCAACTCTTCCTGTCAGGATAAATACAGGTTGTGGTTGGTTAAAAACATCGAGGAAATATTTTGTAGTTTGAAGATTCGTAGATTATAATGCATTGTATTTAAACGGAAGTAGACAACATAGTACACTGTGTATACCAATATACCGGATACAGTAGTCGACTACACAGTATAGCTATATACCGGAAGTAGAAGGCGGCAACACAGTGTACCTTCTTACCCGAATTAGCATTATCCCAGCATTCCGGATGTAGTAGACTACAACACGGAACACCTTCCTCCCGTGGAGAAGCAATCGATCACATGATCTAAGCAGTAATCAACAAACCAGTGTATCCTGTTACCGGAAGTAGAAGATGACTCATTGTGTACTCCCCTACCAGAAGGAAATGACAATACAATGTACCCTCTTACCGGAAGTAGAAGATGACTCATTGTGTACTCCCCTACCAGAAGGAAATGACAATACAATGTACCCTCTTACCGGAAGTAGAAGATGACTCATTGTGTACTCCCCTACCAGAAGGAAATGACAATACAATGTACCCTCTTACCGGAAGTAGAAGACAAAACAGTATACTATTACTGGAAGAAGTAGACGATTACGCAGGGTTTCTGTCCTACCGGAAATAGTTGACTACAAACCAGTGATACTCTTTCCGGAACGTTACCGATTATTCTCTTACCGGAAGCAGCAGTCGAAGACACATTATATCATCTTACCGGTAGCAGCAGTCGACTACACAGTGTATCCTTTTAATGGAAGCAGCAGTCGACTTCACAGTGTGTCCTTTTTACCGGAACGACGACACATTATATCATGTTACCAGAAGCAACTGCGACTACAAAATGTGTCCTCTTACCAGAAACAGCAGTCGACTACACATTGTATCCTTTTACCAGAAGCAGCAGCCGACTACAAAGTGTATCCTCTTCCCGAAATAAGTGCACAACCTTCTTCTTACCGGAAGTAGTAGACAACAGCAGCCAGAACTCCTACTCCGACGAGCGCCCCAATGATGGTGGGCAGCCATCTTGTTGGGAAAGAGATAGGTTCACTGACAACGGGACCTTCTGCAAATACAGTGGTATCAATGCATTGTTGATAGAAAAGGTGTAATTGAAATGGCTGAACGAATACAATACATTAATATTCAAGTCATTTTCGACATTGAACACAAACCAGTTGACCAAAATATCTGGAGATTGCACAAAATCAGTTATATCTTTGAAGCTCAGTTTCCTGTGTACAATCAAATCGTCCTCAGTTCCGGTTCCTTATGCAAAGCACTGTTCTACCTTCGGAAATGGAGTATTCAGAATGATTACTACCAGTGGCGAAATACCTGTGTGAGTGGGTGTTATTATATCAGTTGTGTTACATCCATGTTGTCTGCATCTGTCTTCACAGTCCTCCACGTGCTGTCCTGACTGATGCGTTTTGGAGCAGGCAACCGTACACACTTTGTCCATCTCACAGAGTGATGCCACACCTGGACAGACAGGAAGCACAGGTATAATACACGCACAATGCCTTACCCTCACAGAGAGATGCCACACCTGGACAGACAGGAAGCACAGGTATAATACACACAGAGAGATGCCACACCTGGACAGACAGGAAGCACAGGTATAATACACGCACAATGCCTTACCCTCACAGAGAGATGCCACACCTGGACAGACAGGAAGCACAGGTATAATACACGCACAATGCCTTACCCTCACAGAGAGATGCCACACCTGGACAGACAGGAAGCACAGGTATAATACACCTGGACAGACAGGAAGCACAGGTATAATACACAATGCCTTACCCTCACAGAGAGATGCCACACCTGGACAGACAGACAGGATAATACACGCACAATGCCTTACCCTCACAGAGATGCCACACCTGGACAGACAGGAAGCACAGGTATAATACACGCACAATGCCTTACCCTCACAGAGAGATGCCACACCTGGACAGACAGGAAGCACAGGTATAATACACGCACAATGCATTACCCTCAATATGCACCTGCACAATACCTTACCCTCACAGAGAGATGCCACACCTGGACAGACAGGAAGCACAGGTATAATACACGCACAATGCCTTACCCTCACAGAGAGATGCCACACCTGGACAGACAGGAAGCACAGGTATAATACACGCACAATACCTTACCCTCACAGAGAGATGCCACACCTGGACAGACAGGAACCTGAGCAGGATCACGTACGCTAATAAAATGATCAGGTTGATTGTAGATGTTCCTGAAAAATGGATATGGAAGTTCGTGGTGGTTGTGGGGAATGTGGATATCCCTGGGGGTTGAATGTGGATGTCCCTGGGAGGTGAATTGTGAATGTGGATATCCCTGGGGGTTGAATGCGGATTTCCCTTTGTTTTACGTGCCTTTCGGGTTCAATGAATGTGTCCCCGTCCCTGGACGATGGATATGGACGTGCCCTAACGTTGAATGTGAATGTCCTCAACTTAGATGTTCCTGTGGTTGAACATTGTCTAGGTTCTGTTTTGAATAATTGTGTCTTATTGGCACACTAGTAACTTATGTGAAAGAGTTACACTGTACATTAGAAAACTCTCAGTGTGTGTAACTGTTCCGTCCTACTCCCGCCTCTGTAGAGGAAAACATATGTACACGCACGTATAGGGATCATTACTAGGTGTAGCAACAGTCACGGAGGATTAGTTCAACATTGAGAACAATGGTCATGTTTCTCGCTGGCAGACACTCTCTTGTTGTTACCAGATATAGTCGTGTTGTCGTTGTTGTTGCGGCTGCTGCAAGCACGTGGGAATGATGTAGTGACTTGTGGTTGATGCAAGGAAATGTGGGTGTTAAGAGTCGACGTATTGTTATTGTGAATACGTATAGTTGCTGTAGTGGTTGTAGTGACGTGTGGTTATTGGTAGGACGTTTGGTTGTTGTGACGTATGGTTGTTGTAGTGGTCGATGTAGTGACGTATGTTGTTGTAGTGGTCGTTGTAATGACGTGTGGTTCTTGTAGTGACGTGTGGTAGTTGTAGTGACGTGTGGTTGTTGTAGTGGTCGTTGTAGTGACGTGTGGTTGTTGTAGTGACGTGTGGTTGTTGTAGTGGTCGATGTAGTGTAGTGACGTGTGGTTCTTGTAGTGACGTGTGGACAGTAGTGGTCGTTGTAGTGACGTGAGTGGTCGTTGTGACGTGTGGTTCTTGTAGTGTAGTGACGTGTAGTGGTCGTTGTAGTAGTGACGTGTGGTTGCTGTAGTGGTCGATGTGCCAGTGAGTGACGTGGTTTGTAGTGGTCGCTGTAGTGACGTGGTAGGTTCTTGTAGTGTCGTGACGTGGTAGTTGTAGTGGTGGTAGACGTATGGTTTGTAGTGGCGTATGGTGTAGCTGTCGTGGTGGTCGTTGTAGTGACGTATGGTTCTTGTAGTGACGTGTGGTTGTTGTAGTGGTCGTTGTAGTGACGTATGGTAGTTGTAGTGACGTGTGGTTTGTAGTGTCAGTGACGTGGGTGCTGTAGTGGTCGATGTAGTGACGTGTGGTTGTTGCAGTGACGTGTGTTGTTGTAGTACGTGGCTGACTGGTGGTTGTTGTAGTGGTCGTTGTACGTGTGGTTGTTGTAGTGGTCGTTGTAGTGACGTATGGCCAGTTGTGAGTGACTTGTAGTTGTAGTGGTCGTTGTAGTGACGTGTGGTTGCTTGTAGTGGTCGTTGTAGTGACGTGGGTTGTTGTAGTTAGTCGTTGTAGCGACGTTGTGGTAGTTGTAGTGACGTGGTGTGGTTGGTAGTGTTGTAGTGACGTGTGGTTGTTGTAGTGGTCGTTGTAGTGTTTACGTGGGTAGTGTAGTGAGGTCGTGTGGTTGGTTGTTGTAGTGACGTGGTCGCTTGTAGTGACGTGTGGTGTGTTGTGGTCGTTAGTGACGTGGCGTGTGGTTGTTGTAGTGACGTGTGGGTTGCTGTAGTGGTCGTTGTAGTGACGTGTGGTTGTTGTAGTGACGTGTGGTTGTTGTAGTGGTCGTTGTGATGTAGCGTGTGGTTGTTGTAGTGACGTGTGGTTGTTGTAGTGACGTGTGGTTGTTGTAGTGACGTGTGGTTGTTGTAGTGACGTCTGGTTGTAGTGACGTGTGGTTGTTGTAGTGGTCGTTGTAGTAGACGTGTGGTTGTTGTAGTGACGTGTGGTTGTTGTAGTGGTCGTTGTAGTGACGTGTGGTTGTTGTAGTGAGTCGTTGTAGTGACGTGTGGTTGTTGTAGTGACGTGTGGTTGTTGTAGTGGTCGTTGTAAAGACGTGTGGTCGTTGTAGTGACGTGGTGGTTGTAGTGGTCGTTGTAGTGACGTGTGGTTGTTGTGGTGTGGATAACGTGTGGTTGTTGTAGTGACGTGTGGTTGTTGTAGTGGTCGTTGTAAAGACGTGTGGTTGTTGTAGTGACGTGTGGTTGTTGTAGTGGTCGTTGTAATGACGTGTGGTTGTTGTAGTGACGTGTGGTTGTTGCACTGATGTGTGGTTGTTGTAGAGGTTGTAGTGACGGGTGGTTATTCGTAGGACCTTTGGTGGTTGTAGCGGTTGTTGTGACGTCTGGTTGTAGCGGTTGTTGTGACGTATGGTTGTCGTAGTGGTTGTATTGACGTGTGGTTGATGTAGCGGTTTTTCTGACGTATGGTTGTTGTAGCCGTTGTTACGTATGGTTTTTGTAGCGGTTGTTGTGGTGTATGGTTGTTGTAGCGGGTGTTGTGACGTGTGGTTGTTGTAGTGGTTGTTGTAGTGACGTGAGGTTGTTGTAGTGGTTGTTGTAGTGAGGATGTTTACCTGGCAGCGTCATAAGAGCCAAAAGGACAACCAGCACCATCACCGCCTCAGGCTGAATCTCGGATTCAATATGTAGACCTAGAATAAGACACATAAAACGACATTTCTACTGAACATTTCAAATATATATGCTGCACTCTTCTGTTACACAATATTTGTGCAATATGCTTACACTGTATATCACATCTATATGTGTATAACTCACGTATGTTATGATTTACACAGTATCTGTGAACTAATACATAGCACATTGTGTCAGTCACCCAGTTATTCCTGGTCGGTGTCAGAGCAGATCAATCTTAATGATACCTGCAACTTAGAATACAACGCTTACACTGTACAGCTTACCTGGTCGTACATGCACCTGTCTTCGGGTAGTTTACAATTCATCCCCCGGTACACATCAACTGTGATTCTAAATCCTCCCACACAAGTCGAGAGCCATTACCACCGTGACGTCCACCCACACATGATCCTGCATGACTCGTTGCTCTCATGGGGAACCTGTCGGGAGCCTCATCACAAGCCCCATCTAGTTGATGTCTGTCCTCTACAACAGTCCTTTGTTCCAGGTGTTCAGTTCATGACCTTCATGGCCTTCATGTTACACGGCCGTCACCGGGTCTGCATTAGCAGGTGTCCTGCTTGATGGCCTTTGGTGTTTGCATCTCCAGTAGGTGTCATCTCTGATGACATAGCTGCGTAAGCTGTAACGAGGGATGCCTTGTCGTTTTGGGTGAGTGAGTGAGTTTAGTTTTACGGCGCACTCAGCAATATTCCAGCTATATGGCGGCGGTTTGTAAATAATCAAGTCTAGACCAGACAATCCAGTGATCGATCTGCGGAATTGATAACCGATGACATGTGTCAACCAAGTCAGCGAGCCTGACCACCCGATCCCGTTAGTCGCCTCTTACGACAAGCATGGGTTACTGAAGATGAATATTCTAACCCGGACCTTGTCGTCTTGGACTAACTGTCGTCCTTGAATATAAATAAGTTTGACAGAAACAAACAATCCCTTTCAAATTGAGAAGGGATATTCCTGAACCTGAGGAATTCTAGAATTGCTTCATATAGACCTTTGTATTGCAAAACAGGGGCGGATACAGCTTTTGAGAAAGGGGATGGGTGGGTGGGTGGGGATGCACACTATTGAGAAAAGGAGGGTGCACACATCATTTTCACCCGAGTTTCAATGGTCATTTAACAAACTTTCAGCACAAGGAGGGTGCGCAACCCCCAAACACCCATCCCCACCCACCCCTGGATCCACCTATGCAGAAAGGGCGAGACAGTAGGGGAAAATGATGCGGTTCGGGAACTGTTGCTTGCAGTGGCACTAGCCAGATGTGTTTGGTGTATGTCTCCTGGTGCCTGAATGTAGGTGTTTGAAAACCTCACGGTATCTGTATAAGTAGGCGTTCTGTTTTCATCATTATAAGGTATCTTTGACTGGTGTTGTTACCGGTGTTGGCGCTAGCATAAGCAGGTGTCTGTTTCACGGCATACTGGTGTTTGCATCAGCACTGTGCTGTTGATTTGGGGCACGGCTACCACTGTGACAGTTTCTGCATTGGCGACAATAGCAGTGGACGGTAAAAGTGTTAACGTACATGTTATCGTGACCCAGCTGTCTACACTGGTGAAGGAACCTTTTTAAGTTTCATATCTATTTCAGCGTTTTCTCACAAGCTCTAACAATCCGTTACCTTTGGGGTTCGCGCAGGTGAGGGAATATAAGTTCTGTTGTAATTCCCTTAACGACTCGCCAAACCTTGACGAGCTGTGCCATTGGTGAGCACCCCAAAGCGAAGACCACTGTCCGAGCCCCAGCTTCTAGTACCTGCCTAGAATACCTAATGATACCCAACGAAAACATCAATGTACGAATTGGCGGACCTTTCCGAACTTCCGCTTTTATAGGAACACTTTTCATATATATTTTTTGCAGCGATTTTCCATGTATCACATTAATACATCAAATTAAGTTTTTCAGGTTACCAGCATATGATAAAATTGAATACCGTTTTCATAACTGTTGTAGATTTCTGATTTCTGAATTTCCATCATGAAAAGGGGAAAAAAGAATCGGACCCCATAAACATCCTTGGCGCACGCTAAATCTGTATTCAAGACATTTCGGGCAATAATCTCGTTTTAACAGTTACGTGTACTCTACGTGAAATTTTGGAACATTTCGGAACGCGCTCTGTGATCTGTGTAAATTGATTACTAAGCCCATGATTGTCTGTTCGAATCCTGGTTCCCCGGATACCCGGCGTTAAACCTGACAAACTCGCCCTAATGTGTCTCTTCAGGGTGGAATTTTCAGTTGGCATTCTGTCAACACCTGTAGATAGCAGTGTTGACTCGTGGCCGTGTGGCGGCTACGAGTCAGTGCATTGTCAACATACTTTAAAGGGACTTTGGGTACAGACACAAGGTTGGAGGACTTGAAGATTTACGTTGATAATAAAACACTTAAGAATCGTGATCGTTTTGTCAAAGATTATGCAAGGGTAGAATGGTGTTTCTTGTGTTGTGCAGGCTGGGGAGGGTGCATTTATATAACTCTGGAATTAAACGGGTAAATGTTTATGTCTATAAGGGTGTCATACGGGTAGCAGAGTTCTATAACCATATGTGATGTTGGGTGTACATACGGGTAGTAGGGTTCTATTAGCATATGTGCTGTTGTGTGTACATACGGGTAGTAGGGTTCTATTAGCATATGTGTTGTTGGGTGTACATACGGGTAGTAGGGTTCTATAACCATATGTGTTGTTGTGTGTACATACGGGTAGCAGGGTTCTATTAGCATATGTGTTGTTGTGTGTACATACGGGTAGCAGGGTTCTATTAGCATATGTGTTGTTGTGTGTACATACGGGTAGCAGGGTTCTATAACCATATGTGCTGTTGTGTGTACATACGGGTAGCAGGGTTCTATAATCAGCATATGTGGTGTTGTGTGTACATACGGGTAGCAGGGTTCTATAACCATATGTGGTGTTGGGTGTACATACGGGTAGCAGGGTTCCATCAGCATATGTGTTGTTGTTGTGTACATACGGGTAGTAGGGTTCTATTAACCATATGTGCTGTTGGGTGTACATACGGGTAGCAGGGTTCTATAACTATATGTGGTGTTGGGTGTACATACGGGTAGCAGGGTTCTATCAGCATATGTGTTGTTGTGTGTACATACGGGTAGTAGGGTTCTATAAGCCATATGTGCTGTGTTGTACATACGGGTAGCAGGGTTCAATAACCATATGTGGTGTTGGGTGTACATACGGGTAGCAGGGTTCCCATCAGCATATGTGTTGGGTGTACATACGGGTAGCAGGGTTCTATCAGCATATGTGTTGTTGTGTGTACATACGGGTAGCAGGGTTCTATCAGCATATGTTGTTGTGTGTACATACGGGTAGCAGGGTTCTATCAGCATATGTGTTGTTGGGTGTACATACGGGTAGCAGGGTTCTATAACTATATGTGCTGTTGTGTGTACATACGGGTAGCAGGGTTCTATCAGCATATGTGGTGTTGTGTGTACATACGGGTAGCAGGGTTCTATCAGCATATGTGTTGTTGTGTGTACATACTGGTAGCAGGGTTCAATAACCATATGTGCTGTTGTGTGTACATACGGGTAGCAGGGTTCTATCAGCATATGTGGTGTTGTGTGTACATACGGGTAGCAGGGTTCAATAACCATATGTGGTGTTGGGTGTACATACGGGTAGCAGGGTTCTATCAGCATATGTGTTGTTGGGTGTACATACGGGTAGCAGGGTTCAATAACCATATGTGGTGTTGGGTGTACATACGGGTAGCAGGGTTCTATTAGCATATGTGTTGTTGGGTGTACATACGGGTAGCAGGGTTCTATCAGCATATGTGTTGTTGTGTGTACATACGGGTAGCAGGGTTCTATCAGCATATATGTTGTTGTGTGTACATACGGGTAGCAGGGTTCTATCAGCATATGTGTTGTTGGGTGTACATACGGGTAGCAGGGTTCTATTAGCATATGTGTTGTTGGGTGTACGTACGGCTAGCAGGGTTCTATCAGCATATGTGTTGTTGTGTGTACATGTACATGGGTAGCAGGGGTTCTATCAGCATATATGTTGTTGTGTGTACATACGGGTAGCAGGGTTCTACAGCATATGTGTTGTTGTGTGTACATACGGGTAGCAGGGTTCTATAACATATGTGTTGTTGTGTGTACATACGTGCTGTTGTGTGTATATAGCGGTAGCAGAGTGTTGTTGGGTGAACATATCAGGGTTCTATATATATGTATTGTTGGGTGTACATACGGGTAGCAGGGTTCCATTAGCAGATGTGTTGTTGAGTGTACATACGGGTAGCAGGGTTCTATTAGCATATGCCCTGATGGGTGTACATACGGGTAGCAGGTTTCTATAACCATATGTGCAGTTGTGTGTACATACGGGTAGTAGGGTTCTATCAGCATATGTGCTGTTGTGTGTACATACGGGTAGTAGGGTTCTATTAGCATATGTGCTGTTGTGTGTACATACGGGTTGCAGGGTTTTATTAACAGATATGCTGTTGGGTGTACATACGGGTAGCAGGGTTCCATTAACATATACGCTGTTGAGTGCACTTACGGGTAGTAGGGTCAACTCAAGATAGGTTGGGTGTTTAGAAGTGGGGAAGGAGAGTGGGCTGTAGTCAACGCCTTTTTAGGAGGACCATGTGACAATACCCGTAGCGGTTTTCACTCGGTATCGACATATTGACTTTGATCACATGATCAAGAAATTAATTAACTGGGTATGCATGTTGTAGTATTCAGACTTTCAGTTAATTTCTAGCCAAATCAATACAGAGAATGTCTGTGAGAGTTAATAAAACTGTCCACAGTCTATCACAACAGGTAATATAAGGAGTGCCACAAATCTAAAGATGTTTACCTCTCAGTGATTAACAGTAATTCAGTGAACCCGCAGATATTGACTTTCCATTGACTCTGTATTGATCCCCCGTCTTCATTCCCAATATCATATGACGGCCCAATTACTGGGGAAGTGCGTCACTGACGGGGACAGGTAAAGCTGGACCAGGGTGGACCCTGGACACAAGCAATAGAGGCCGTTTATAGTCGCACCTGTGGTCATCGGGCCAGGTGAAGTTTTGATGCATGATTCAGTCCTTGCCAAATAATTGCCCAGGTGAAGATTAATGATATCATCGCTTCACAATGCACTAATATACAGTCTACATGTGCTGTTCACTCAGGCAATATCGTCCTGTAGGGCGGTGTGTTGAGCGTTTAGTGCTATTGTCCCCCACATAAGATATGTTGCGTCAAAGGTTTCTACGTCTCTCACCGCACATTGCTTTTGTACCTCCTCAATGATTCCACGAATAGTTCAAGGGGTTCGCAAAGCGCTCCCAGTAAACGTACTGCGTTTTGACGACTTTCACAACGTGATCTTGACATTATTCCGGCGGCTGTCCAGTGATGGGTTCCCCGACTAGTCCCGTCACAGAGACAAATGGGCTGTTTATGTTCTTTCATTCGTTGTGTTAGCGTTCTCTTGAAGAATCAATTTACTTGGGTGTCATCTATAAAAGAAAACTAAAACCTAAACAAACCATAAAATTACGACTGCCCTCATTATCAAAGGGTTATGCTTATTTCAAATGGCACGAAATAAACTATTTTTGTCAGTGACGGATCACGAGTTTACATAATCACCGAAGTTCATCCATTACTCTGTTGTGACAGTGAGATACACTGTCTAGAAATCACGAGTCTATCGGTTTCCTTCTGACATAAACCCTGAAGGTAGTACACATATTTAGGGACACATCTGAGACAACTACTCAGTTTGTAACCCAGGTTATAATGGGATACTGATCTTAGCAAGTCTAGAAATGAGCAGCACCAAGGGGAATGTCTATCTGTTTATAACCCTGTAACGGGACTGTTTATACCCTAACAAGGTACTGTTTATAGCCTAGTTAGCAAAATGATATAACTGTTTATTACCAGGTAACAAGGGATACTGTTTAAGTAAGTTGGCAAAATGGATGTTGTGAGACAATTAGATACTAAACAGTTTATAACCCAGGTTACAATGGGATACTGTTTATAACCCAAGTAACAAGTAACAGGGGATACTGTTTATAACCCAGTTAGCAAAATGATATTACTGATTATAACCCCAAGGGATACTGTTTATAACCCAAACAAGGGATACTGTTTATAACCCAGTTAGCAAAAATGATATTACAAAAGTGGGATATTTATACTGTTAGCAAAGGGATGATATAACTGTTTATAACCCAAGTTAGAGGATACTGTTTATAACCCAGTTGGCAATGCGGATAACCCAAGTAACAATAAACCCAGGGGATACTGTTTATAACCCAGTTAGCAAAATGATATTACTGTTTATAACAAGGGATACTGTTTATAACCCAGTTAGCAAAATGATATTACTGATTACCTTAGTTGGGATGCTGTTTATAGCCCAAACAAGATCATAACCCAGTAACAAGGGAGGATACTGTTTATAACTGTAGTTGGCAAAATGATATTACTGATTATAACTCAGTTCGGTAAGTAACAAGGGGATGCTGTTTATAACCCAGTTGGCAAAATGATATTACTGTTTATAACCCATAGTAATTACATCACCTCTCGCCCAACCTTCGCCTCATCTGCCCGAACGCGTTGTCAAGCCGAAGTGTCTAAACATAAACAACGCATTAATGGGCCTGAGTAGAGACGAAAGGAGCAGGCCAGAGCGCGGATATTTTCTTTAGTGTACTCCGTCTCCCCGAGTGAGACGACTCACGACTATTCATAACGGCTGAAGATAAACACCACTCACAATGGGTGACCCTACTGGAATATACAAATGATCTATTAAAACCGTATGGACAGGGGCGTTTAGAAGAGATCTATTTACCTTCTAATATAGATGACGCACTGATCTTTGCGAGAGCTGTGAAATCCGTCATACTGTTATGAGACTGCCAGAACGTTATACGTTATTACTGTATTGACTTTGTAAAGGACCGTGACGCCGGGCTGAGGCAGTACAGATCACCAACTGAAATATCCACCCGTAGTCGGCCATCTTTCTGGATAGACAATCTTGGAAGGTGTACTGCACGTTAGTGTCAGCTGGATTTCTGAGGATACACTGTGGTGTCCAGGAACATCGGGGAGCGCCATGGGTTTCGCGAACGAACGCTTCTGGGTGGGCAAAAGTGGCCTTCTTCGTTCTCATCCTCGGTGCCGTGCTGGACATTGCGGGATATGCCACCACCAGCTGGGTGGTGTACGCCTCCTCTGATGGTGCCACCAAAGTCAACCTGGGACTGTGGACTATCACCGCATGTCAGGCGTCAGTTTGTCAAACAGCCTCCGTCACCGACGCCTACGTCAACAGTTAGTATTGTCTCCTTGTTGTATATGTGTTGTGATGTGGTGAATGGATTGTGTTGTGGTAAAGGGTGCTTGCTGTACAATGACTACAATTCTTCAACATGTCTATGTTCCTTGATGACTAGCAGAATATCTGCACCTTTACACAGCAGACGTAATTTAGAATTAACATATAACTATACAAATCAGCAAATGAGATCTCTCAGATTTGATTCTAGTCCATCACTTGATCGTCTGGTTTGCTACATGCCGTCGTCGCATGGTGGACGTACTGCTGAGCGGGGTCAGACAACAAGCACATATTCTGTATGTACATTGTGAGTGAGTTATGTTTTACGCCGCACTCAGCAATATTCCAGCTATGTGGCGGCGGTCTGTAAATAATCGATTCTGGACCAGACAATCCAGTGATCAACAGCATGAGCATCGATCTGCGCAATTGGGAACCGATGACATGTGTCAACCAAGTCAGCGAGCCTGACCACCCGATCCCGTTAATCTTTATGTACATTCGGTGGACGTAAATACTATATGATGATTAATAATCATGATAAGAAATACACAGGAACCAAACTTAAGCTCTTTGACAACATTTTTCAACGTTATTTTTCCCGTTACACCCAAGGAATCTGTTTCAGCGGATAACCGAGACTGGTTATTGTCTGGCATTGACGTTTTTGTGGACATGTTAATGTGACCCGCTTTGAACAGTATTTTTGCTATATCGCTTCGTGTCGCTCGAAGTGACGCTAGTCTTAGGTGTTTACCGATTCAATGAAACTCTAGAGAAAGGATTTGGTGAGGTAAAACCTAGAGAAAGAGCTGAGGACTCGAACCCTAGATCACTGTTTACTGGGAAGCAAGTCTGGCGGGCGATTTCCGATGCCCTATACGAACGTGCTAACCGTGTCCTCGGCCTATACCGTGACCAAATAATAGGTGGTTGTGAAAATCATCAAGAAATATTTTCTGATCCGTATGGTATTGGAAAATGGAAATGATATGATCATCTTTGCTGGAGAGTTGACGATCAGATCTAGTAGGCTCTAACAGTTGGTGTCGCGAAAGAGATAAATCACCCTTTGTTAACTGGACGTACATGAATTCTTCGAGGTATGCATCTGATCAGCCTGATCTGATCAATGTCATCTTGACCCATGTTGTTCAACACACCAGTGAGAGCTGCACCGAATTCATTGAGAATGGTGGTTGAATTTTTATGGCGACATACTCATTTGCCACTGACGTCCAAGACCTGTTCAATGAGTGAGTGAGTGAGTGAGTTATTATTTAAATCACATCGCCTGTTCAATGAAGGGAAAGATCAGGATTGAGCATTATCGTCTGACAAGATGGTCATGCGTTGTGTAAATGGCACGTCGAAGGGAGCATTTAGTTTTGATAGTATGGACCTAGACTCTGCCGTGGACAGTATGGACCGTAGGGGTCAGTCATTGCGACGCCTAAACGATTATGCTGTGCGACGCTAACGTTCATAAGAGGCTCACGAGGACGTCTCCAAACTTCATCTCGTCGATCATATAAGTCGAGAGCACACCTCGATTCATCAGAAAACATAAGCCAAACGCCGATTATCCTAGTGTTGACGTTCTAAGCACAACACATGTCTCCGGTTCCAATGTCGTGCAGTAAGATGCGTGATGGCACCTGGATGTCTTTCGCACAGTGTGGGCATGTACTCTTACACCACTGCCTGTTGCAACCGTTGCCCTTGTCTGCGTGGAAAGCAATTTCTTTATACCATCGTTCTGACTAATCTGACCCGGGTCGGAGCCTTGGGCCTCCAGAGCGACGTCGACCATCAACGCCATGTGTTAGTTGACATCGTGACCATGATCTGCTGATGACAGGCTGGGAAACAGGCAGCGTTTGGACACGTTGCAAATGTCTCATATCAATAATTTCAGCTCCTTGATGAATAAATGACTGTGCTTCTAAACGTTCACTGAGCGGTTGGTTCCAAGACTGACAATGGCACATCTGGCAGATCACCATGTGCATGACCTGTCCGAGGTCACGCGCTTCATGACTGTCCCAATGTTTGAGAGCTTGTCAGTTTCACTGCCAGACATTGGTGTATGTCTGAAGCTTTACCCCGAAACAAAACAAAAATTGAACTGAGTTTAACGCCTTATTGAAGTTATTGAGTTGAGTGATGGAAGTTTCAACGTTTACCAATTTGAAGTAAGCCACGGAACCGATGGGTTAGGCTAGTGTTGTAAACATCTGATTGTTCTCTAGGTTCGAACCCATTCAATCTATAGCCTGCATACTGTTACAAGGGTTGTAGAACTAGAATATCCCAATTACTCTCAGTCAAACCCGTGAAGGCCCCGGTTAGAATGAGCCTTCAGTAACCCATGCTTGTCGCAAGAGGCGACTAACGGGATCGTGTGGTCAGGCTCGCTGGCTTAGTTGACTGAAGGTTTCCAATTGCGCAGATCGATGGTCATGCTGTTGATCACTGGATTGTCTGGTCCAGACTCGATTATTTACAGACCGTCGTCATATAGCTGGAATATTGCTGAGTGCAGCGTAAAACGAAGTGAGTGAGTGAGTGAGTGAGTGAGTGAGTGAGTGAGTACGTTTGCCAACTTGATGCGGGAGGATCATCTGAACTGATACGAGGTCACGGTAAATACGAAATGAGCTGTACGCTTGCTCTGTTAGGGGATTGGAAGCAAGTGAGTTTGTTTCCGCTTTTCTCGTCTTTAAAAAATCTTGCACCAGATCTTTTGTTTGTTAAAAAATCTGGCACCAGATTCACACATTGCTTGTTTCCTCCAACAGGCATGGGTTGTTACTCCATTTACCGTTGTTGTCTCGAGATACACTAAAACACTACACAGACAACTCCTTATCATTCTACGTGTACTATTTCAGCGTTATTCAACGTGATGAGGATCATGGAGACTATCGGCCTCATCCTCGCTGTCTTCCTCGTCTTCTTTGTCGGCATCTACGTGTTCCTCGACTCCATGAAGACGTCAACAATCGTGAGGACTGCCATGGTCCTCTGTTTTTTGGCAGGTAATATAAGAACACAGCGAGAGGCTTTACCGGAATTTATGTTTCTGTTTACAGGAGTATATCAGTCATTTCATAATTATTTACTTAACCAACGAATCAGTTTATTTCGGAGTTCATCTTACATGTTTTCCCATATTCTTGTCCCTGTTAACATGTTAGTGGATGTTTAAGTGCCCGTATTCTCCAATGTACCTATTGTGTAAGTTCTAATGTAGTCCTGTAATGTAGGGATGTAGTCATATGTATGCTATAGCCCTCCTTACGTCGGTATGACACCGCCCCTCCGTAATGCCCTCCTCACAGTGTTATGAGACCGCCCCTCCGTAATGCCCTCCTTACAGTGGTATGAGACCGCCCCTCCGTAATGCCCTCCTTACAGTGGTATGATGCCGCCCCTCCCAAATGCCCTCCTTACAGTGGTATGATGCCGCCCCTCCTAAATGCCCTCCTTACAGTGGTATGATGCCGCCCCTCCTAATGCCCTCCTTACAATGCCCCATCCTTACAGTGGTATGATGCCGCCCCTCCTTAATGCCCTCCTTACAGTGGTATGATGCCGCCCCTCCCTAATGCCCTCCTTACAGTGGTATGATGCCGCCCATCCTCAATGCCCTCCTTACAGTGGTATGATGCCGCCCATCCTAAATGCCTCCTTACAGTGGTATGATGCCGCCCCTCCCTAATGCCCTCCTTACAGTGGTATGATGCAGCCCATCCTCAATGCCCTCCTTACAGTCGTATGATGCCGCCCATCCTAAATGCCCTCCTTACAGTGGTATGATGTCACCCACCCTTAATGCCCTCCTTACAGTGGTATGATGCCGCCCCTCCCAAATGCCCTCCTTACAGTGGTATGATGCCGCCCATCCCAAATGCCTTCCTTACAATGGTATGATGCCACTCCTCAGTAATGCCCTCCTGCGTCGATATGACACCTCCAGGTTTCAGGTTTCGTATCCGAGGACTTGATACAAATGCCACCATCATGTAACTGTACCGTACACCATGCCCCTCCGTAATGCCCTCCTACGGTGGAATGATGCCGCCCCTCCGTAATGCCCTCCTACGGTGAAATGATGCCGCCTCTCCGTAATGCCCTCTTACGGTGGAATGATGCCGCCCTCCGTAATGCCCTCCGTACGGTGGTATGATGCCGCCCCTCCGTAATGCCCTCCTACGGTGGAATGATGCCGCCCTCCGTAATGCCCTCCTACGGTGGAATGATGCCGCCCTTCCGTAATGCCCTCCTACGGTGGAATGATGCCGCCCCTCCGTAATGCCCTCCTACGGTGGAATGATGCCGCCCCTCCGTAATGCCCTCGTACGGTTGAATGACACCGCCTCTCCGTAATGCCCTCCTACGTTGGTATGACACCGCCCCTCCGTAATGCCCTCCGTACGGTGGTATGACACCGCCCCTGGTAATGCACTCCCTACCTCCGTAATGGATTCCGTACCCATGATTCAACCTTTGGTTGGCGATGTTCAGGTTTCAGGTTTCGTATCCCCGGACTTAATACAAATACGGCCATCATGTAACTGTACCGTACACCACTGTACAATCTCTTCTCATAGATGATCATGCTTTTACTGATGATCGTTAATGTTTTCTATGACGGTAGTCATGATGATGATGATGATGATGATGATGATGATCATGATGTGATGTTGGTGATGATTCATGTTGTTCCTTCAGGTATTGTAATCTTCATCGGGATGTGCCTGTGCCTCGCCTATGTTCCCTTCCCGTACGTGGTCTCCTTCTCCATGGGTCTCACCGTCCTCGGCTACCTGCTCATCCTCATCGCAGGTGCCCTCCTCATCCCCGACTCCTGTGAACCCAGGGATTACGACTGAACGCACAGTCCCGTGACCAGTGGACGTCTCTCACAATCTGTACTGTATGCTTTACACAACCCGACAGCTGCACCAACGGTTTTGTTCTATGGGTGGATTTGGTCGGGAGTGTCGCACGAACCTATATTTTTTCAACTCCATCGTTACGAAGTGGATATAAAGACTATCAAGAAACATCTGTAATATACGGTATTGACCTGTGTGTGTCGCCAGTCTTTCAATGGCATTTACAACCGATACACATAAGGGGATGTTTCGGGGTATATGCTTACTGCCTTATCATTCACCTGACGAAGGGGTGCGCACATACTCCGAAACACACACGCGCACATACCCGTAAGAAATTGCCATCGTCCTTATGTTATCTTTTAAACTTCGGATATAACGAACTGATAGAAAGGCTCCGTCCGATTTTGTTTCGAATTCTTTGCTAAAACACATGTATATTTACTGACCATGGCATGTACCATGTGTAATAATACCTTATGCTGGAAACTGAAGACGTCAGGGATGATTTAAGATTCGTGTTAAAGTATTCGTACACCCCTGTGTACGGTTGACGTGTTCCGTGTTAAGCGTCGTGGGTTTTCCTGTACAGCATGCGTTAATATAACTGAAACATTGTTTACAACGGCGTCAAACCCACTCACTCACCCACTCATCACATGTATGTAACTTAGTGAGCACATTTGACGGAGGGTAACACTGTACTAGTCCTCTTCAAAGTCAATGTCAGGAATTTCAATGCCAGTATTTTTTAAATTTCTCTTTCTTTTCTTTTTTAAATGTTTTGGTCACGTGCGTAAGTCTGGTATTCGTAAACTGATGTCGAAAACACAATGTTTAGACATGTTTTAGAAGGGTATAATGTGAATCCAAGCGGACAAGTCTTGGTGGCCATTGATGTGTTGTAGCTAACAACGGTGCCGGTACCTGTCACTAACGACGATCACCCGCCACGTCCCTTCTGTCACAAGTTCCATATGTGTGAACATGCTGAGTGGACCGAAGTGAGACGTTGTCACATGACACAAGCAATGACGTCATCTCATGATGTCGCGATGACGTGAAGTTTTCCTGAAAGTGTAGAAACTGAAACATTTGTGGTATTCAATGAACACCGTGAAACTGCAGTACACTAACCAGTCTCCTGGACGTACAATGATACTGGTGCACTAGCATCCCAGGACCTCCCTTCACGTGTTGAAACTAGGCTTCTTGAACACAATGGAGAACACAGCTGGACCATCACCTCTGAAGAAAGGATTTCTCCCAGTAACAGTTGTATGGAAACAAATACTATTGTGATGCTATTAACTACGGTTTACCTTCATGTCGTTGTCAATTTACACAGTGCATGCTATCTATACAAACGTTTATTAATTTATTTTTGATATGTGATGTGAATTGTTACTTGTTAAATTTTCGCACATGTAGTGTATAGAATACAGAATAATTCACTTGTATAGCGCCTAATTTCCAGGCTAGGCCTGCTCAACGGCGCTTAGTGTAGATTCTAGATGTGATGCACGTTATACACAACCCATGTATGCCACAAACATAAACGGGGCGGTGGGGTAGCCTAGTGGTTAAAGCGTTCGCTCGTCACGCCAAAGGCCCGGGTTCGATTCCCCACATGGGTACAACTTGTGAAGCCCATTTCTGGTGTCCCCCGCTGTGATATTACTGGAATATTGCTAAAAACGGCGTAAAACCATACTCAGCTTTCGTATGTTTTAAACTGTTATGCAAAACCAGTGTGACTGTTATGCAACGCGTCAGTATTGAACCTATGTCTTTGGCATAGAGCACAGACAGTAGAAGCTGTGAACCTACTGCCGTGGACACCTCACGGTGCCGTAGAACAGGTATTTAACATGTTTGAGTGGCATTTTAGAAGTTGAGACGTACAATATAGAACAAGTTTTATGGATAACAACTTCTTTATTTCGTGAGTGCGACGTTTCGATACAGATTCTTGTACCGTTGTCAAGCAAGAGTGATACATGAAGTGTAGGCGCTGCATATATATACTGTATATAACAATGAAACAACATAATAGACAAAGGAAACAACATAATTGCCATGATTGGCTAAGCAGTAAGCTGAAGAAGCCAGTGAGTACACAAAGGATAGTGAATGGAAGCCAGAGATGTAGTTACAATGAGATGTTTAAACAATAGATGCGATGTTTATACAATAGATTGGGCTTGGTGGAGGAGTGGATCATAAGCTGATGGAATGAAGTATCCTTGGTCACGGTTGATGGTGGGCTTGTGGCGTTTGATGTGAATGGCTTCTGTGAGCTTGCGTTTAGTGAAGTCCGTTTGGTTGTTGGCGAGAATGGTGATGTCGGACCACTCTATTTGATGATTGGGGTTAGCTTTGATGTGGTCAGAGATAGCTGACTTGGTGTCGGAATTAGCAACAGAGGTGCGATGTTCTTTGACTCGGGTGTTGATGGGTCGGGATGTTTCACCTATGTAGCATTGTCCACAATCACAGTTTATTTTGTAAATAACACATTTCGGGTTGTTGTTGTTGACGGTGGGTTGTTTTCTTCCATTGGCATGGAGGAGGTTGTTGAGGCTGGAGGACGCTGAGAAGGTTGTGTCTATGCCTGCCTGTTGTTTCAGGAGTCGGCTGATTTGGTGTGATGGTTTACCAATGTAGGGAATGGATATCTTGATGGGGGCTGATTCTGGTTTAGATCTTTTGGCGGGAGGTGAAAGCGTTGCTTCGATATCAATCATGAAATAGAGTGGTCCGACATCACCATTCTCGCCAACAACCAAACGGACTTCACTAAACGCAAGCTCACAGAAGCTCATTGTTTAAACATCTCATTGTAACTACATCTCTGGCTTCCATTCACTATCCTTTGTGTACTCACTGGCTTCTTCAGCTTACTGCTTAGCCAATCATGGCTATGTTGTTTCCTTTGTCTATTATGTTGTTTCATTGTTATATACAGTATATATATGCAGCGCCTACACTTCATGTATCACTCTTGCTTGACAACGGTACAAGAATCTGTATCGAAACGTCGCACTCACGAAATAAAGAAGTTGTTATCCATAAAACTTGTTCTATATTATAAGGCATTTAACAGCTTACCTGTGTGTAACACAATATTTGATATTGACAACCCAACCAAAGGAGGGGCGTATAAGATATAGGACACATGATGCTCACTCCACTATTTACAGTATCGTCGGCACGGTATGAGGATCGTATTTAGCTCAAATTGTTACAGTGTCCAGCTACCTTTGGAGAAGCCGCGACATGACACCAGTATTGTCACAACAAGTTGCTACAGTAACTTATGTTTAGAAAGACCCAAGGATGCTACAAAAGCATCATGCTGTAAGCCTCGCTTGAGGAGAAAGCAGCGACTTGGATGGACGGTCCATGGCCCCCTTTAAATATGATACCACGTTCTGTAATGGACGGAGACTTTATTTATGTCCAGACATGCTGTGCTGTACATAGTTCCTGGTTAGAGATTTCAAACATCCGAAATGAACATGTTTTACAAAAAAAAAAAAAAAAAAAAAAAGAAAAGAAAGCAACAATATATTTTCAGACGCTGTGGCAGTCTAGACTTGTCACATATTGAAGACTTGTATGTGACAGGACAGGTACACACTTCAGTTTGCCCGGTACTTCACGGACAGGTACACACTTCAGTTTGCCCGGTACTTCACGGACAGGTACACACTTCAGTTTGCCCAGTACTTCGCGTACAGGTACACACTTCAGTTTGCCCAGTACCTCACGGACAGGTACACACTTCAGTTTGCCCAGTACTTCACGGACAGGTACACACTTCAGTTTGCCCAGTACTTCACGGACAGGTACACACTTCAGTTTGCCCAGTACTTCACGTACAGGTACACACTTCAGTTTGCCCAGTACTTCACGGACAGGTACACACTGCGGACAAGCAATATAGTCTGCAATACGGCATTTTCCCTCCGTACTTTATTCATGATAAGTTATTATTTTAACTCTGTTATCATATTTCAGTATTAAATGTATTTTTCACAGGTTTGTTTGGTGGTTGTAAATTTATTGCCAAGATCACTACACGAGGAAAATATGTGCTGACGTGTGACAGATGTGACGTTAGTCAAACATACCAGCATGTGGGGAAATCATTCGACACATGAATTTATGTTTTTGATAATTAAAGCTTACTGAACATATCGGAAAGTAAATTAATATGCAAAATATATACAAATTTCAGGGCTTATTCTGTTACAGTACATTTAAGGTTGTGTAGTTAAATATGACCATTTGTGGATGTAAGTTTGTAGTATGCATAAATATGACCATTCGTGAGTGAGTAAGTGAGTGAGTTTAGTTTCACGCCGCACTTATCAATATATGGCGACGGTCTGTAAATAATCGAGTCTGGGCTAGACAATCCAGTGATGAACAGCATGAGCATCGATCTACGCAATTGGTCACCATTTGTGGATGAGCCTTTAAAGTACTATACTTCAATATGACTATGTGTGGATGTACGTTTAAGGTACTATACTTAAATATGACTATGTGTGGATGTGCGTTTAAAGTACTATACTTAAATATGACTATGTGTGGATGTGCGTTTAAAGTACTATACTTAAATATGACTATGTGTGGATGTACGTTTAAAGTACTATACTTAAATATGACTATGTGTGGATGTACGTTTAAAGTACTATACTTAAATATGACTATGTGTGGATGTACGTTTAAAGTACTATACTTAAATATGACTATATATGTGTGGATGTACGAGATACTGAGATGGACGACTTCACGAAGAAGTGGGACAAATCAGAGAAAAGGTTCACAGGAGCTGCGTTTATTAAGTATCTAAAAGATGTATACATATTTTTACATGTGAACACATGGTTCCTGCTGGGGCCAGGTTGATGGGATCTTCTACTACAAGCACATGTGACATTGACAGCACATACACAACAATTGACAAACACGACGCCTGGACAATAAGTTAAACACAGATTACAGGAAACATTTACACTTGAGGAATGGCACCTATATCTATCGCCTGTGGATGTCGTCAAGTAAAGGCACGTGGGCGATCATACGCTAAAACATCAACATGACAGGATATATCGTGATGACAAGGAATGGCTGCATGATCTTCATGATGGTCGCGCAAGATGAATGATATTCCTCGGAGGTCAGAGTTCAAGGTCGGATCAGGTCACGTGACGTCTCTGACATCTTGGGATGTCTTCCTATGACGCCATAACTGTTCCGAAATTGTCACTCCCCTCGATGAGCAAGGACATTATTTGCGATATGTTTCACATAGGAAGCGATGACATAGCTGCTGAGATGGTTTACTGTACCATCACCATGACAACGAAGACTACGACAAAGCTGAGCATGTGTAAACACGCCTGGGTGGTGGAGCTTGGTGTTGTCTCGGCAACCGTCTCAGGCGTCGATTCCGGTTCGGGTTCGGCTGCAATAAAACCATTGGTAATAAATATCAGTTACCGACTGGTCAGAACCTGAAGGAATCACTGGGATTAGTCCAGTATGACCGCTACACGCACACACATTGCTGCCATGTATAGAAGCTAGGCCTACCACAAATTATTCCATAATGAGTGAGTGAGTTTAGTTTTACGCCGCACTCAGCAATATTCCACCTATATGGCGGCGGTCTGTAAATAATCGAGTCTGGACCAGACAATCCAGTGATCAACAACATGAGCATCGACCTGCGCAATTGGGAACCGATGACATGTGTCAACCAAGTCAGCGAGCCTGACCACCCTATCCCGTTAGTCGCCTCTTACGACAAGCATGGGTTACTGAAGATCAATATTCTAACCCGGATGTTCACGGGTTTATTCCATCATGATGTGTACAGAGCATAAATAACTGTTTACTACATAAGAAGATGCCCTTTAATACGCCGGATCGTGTATTCATTTCATACAGTGACATACTCATACTGACGTACAAAAAAATATCGCAAGAAAGTTGACGCTATCATCAACATCAACAACAACTGTGTCAGTCACGTTGGCAATGAAGCACCCGTACAATATCGATTCGCGTGCGCTCTCTCCATACACAATACAACGGCACCGCGATGTTGAATAACACGCGGACAGTAAAGAAACGTGGCTATATATTAGTTACATATGTTATATTTGGGATAACACTTTCTTGGTAATGTACAGATTCTAGTACCTTTGGTGGTTGAGTCCCATCCAGGATTCGAACCCACACCCTCAGAGTCAGGCACCTAAAGACAGACGCCTAGACCGCTCAGCCACCGCGGCTTCCATGAGCGGCTTCTGACTTTGTGTGCTGGCGATTAGGTGCCTGACTCTGAGGGTGTGGGTTCGAATCCCGGATGGGACTCAACCCCAAAAGTACTAGAATCTGTACTTTACTAAGAAAGTGTAATCCCAAATATAACATATGTTACATTTGACCACTTTCTAAAATGGCATTGTGTATTTCATATATATTCCATAGTTAGTAATAGATTTTCAAATGACAGTCGGTATTGTGATGCATGTACAGCACAGGTTGGGATATAGAACTTCTCCATGTAAAGAGCTGCTCTCATAAGGCGCCGTCCAAAAGTAAAAGTTCTTCCAACTAGCGTCCTAGACATAATGCCCAGAAGGAAATTAGAAGCTATGTCGTTATTTGAATTACTTTGTCTCCGCACCACACATTTGTATTGAAGTAACAAAGCAGAATGAATAGTAGAGTGAGTGAGTGAGTGAGTGAGGTTTAACACTTCATTGAACAGTATCAAACAGACCACGGCTTTCAGCTTCATGCGAGTTGAATATACGCGAAACCAACAAACATGAGTATGGTGTTGACAAACAGAAAACCATAAGCGGGCGAACAGGAATTCGAGCACACTGTCAGAAATATTTGAAACGCCCAAGGAACGCGACCAGAATCGGTAGTTTAATTAAGATGCAACACTTAAGTTGTGCTTCAGTAAGGAACGACTTATTAAATGTTCACAATTTAAGATGTTCAGCAACAAAAATGCTATCACTGCGCCTAAATAATCGGATTTTTGTTTTTTTTACAGGGATTGCATTCCATATGTATCGACCGACACGTGCAGTATTCACTTACTGGCATTGTTTGCTGGTTCCGGCTCGGCGGTGGAGGAGGGTTCCGGTTGCACCTCCTCCTGCGCGCGCACCAAGTAGGCCCCTCCTACAATCATGAGGAACAGGGCTAACAACCACGGTCGCATCATCAAGCTTGTCTGTCACTCACACCTGGAAAACATGAAAACGGGAGCAATTAAATAACGCACGAACCCCGAGAAGGTACATTGTTAGAAATATAGGTGAGTTTGTACGGTTTACCGAAGAATATAACATCAACGCATGTTAACTTAACGTGGGTGACAGCTCCAGAGAGATGCGGGTCTCAGATGTTATATCTCTGAAGCACGAGAATGTGACAAAGTGAGGAATTTTATGACTAACGTATTTCTGGTCCGTGTACGGTAAAGGGACGCAACCCTGCAAACAGTCACAGCCTTCTTCTGGACTACACACACAGTCCGTTTGGCTCAAAAGCGGACCGATGAATTGCAATCTAACTCGAAAACTAATGAACACAAAATACTCAATGAAACGTTGATCATAATCAAAACATCATACCCACTATGTGAGGTTTTTGCAGAATTTTTGTCCTAAAAATAAAAAAGTTGTTAAACAATCTATCATTAAAATATTGACACAGTTCACTATTTGTTACGAGGGAGGAGTGCAGAGAAAGGGACAGCCAGGTGTTCGAGAACGGATGGAGACGGTACAGTACAGGTTAATGAATAAATAACTTTGTCTGTGAACGTGCTTCTCGAACACCTGGCTGTCCCTTTCTCTGCACTCCTCCCTCGTAACAAACAGTGAACTGTGTCAATATTTTAATGATAGTTTGTTAAACAGCTTTAATATTATTAGGACAAAAAATCTGCAAAAACCTCACAGAGTGGGTATGATGTTTTGATTATGATCAGCGTTTCATTGAGTATGTTATGTTTATTAGTTTTCGAGTTAGATTGCAATTCATCGGTCCGCTTTTGAGCCAAACGGACTATAACTGCGTCTACACCTAGGAACATATACATACAGTTTCTGGATATGGAAATGCCCACAACACATCTGCCAACTTTACCTACAGCAGGAGTATATACTAGGGCAGGATCTTGACCAGACAGTGCGCCCACTTTGATGTCTTGACACTACTGGCCGGCCTACATATAGCGCCAGTATATGAACTAATGGTGACACCATGACCTTGTAATTAGGAATAGGTCTCATACCACCGGTCCACATGATTATACATCATATTAGAATTGATTGAACGTCGATTTCAGGGGGCCGTGCCAACGCATGTACACACACATATTATCATGTCTGTACAGGTATGGATAAAGGAATAACCATAACAAACACCTTTGAGACGACCCCCAGATGATTGATGCCTGTGGGATGACCTTGGGAAGACCCGCCACGTGTGGGTAGTACACGAATGTTATTGATTACCGAGGTGTTAATGACTTAATGTATCAGTTATGTGTCCACATGTAGCGGTTTCCTTGATGAATGTGTGCTCAATTGTTTTTGGACACTGGAGATATTGTAATTACTAAGAACGCCTAAATGAGTACAACTAAACAGGGATGAGTCGTACGGCTGTGATACGCGATGAGTGTTCACATACATGAAGTTGGGTTTCCTGGCTCTATATTAGTCTTTCTATATTAGTCTTTTACAAAGGAATTGTCTGAACAGGTATTCTGAAATATGTTGAGGAAGACGGTGGAGTGTTAATGAAACACCCACAGCCCTCATTGCTGACACACGGCATCTACATATGCGACACACAGGCCGTGACTCGTTAGTGATCTGTTCGTATAACAGAAGGAACGCTACAAGACAGAGATCTGCTTGTATGACAGAAATATGGTTACACCACACCACCTTCGTACAACAGAAGGAACGCCACAAGACAGATATCTGCTCGTATGACAGAAATATGGTTACATCACACCACCTTCGTACAACAGAAGGAACGCCACAAGACAGAGATCTGCTTGTATGACAGAAATATGGTTACATCCACCTTCGTACAACAGAAGGAACGCCACAAGACAGATATCTGCTCGTATGACAGAAATATGGTTACACCACACCACCTTCGCACAACAGAAGGAACGCCACAAGACAGAGATCTGCTTGTATGACAGAAATATGGTTACATCCACCTTCGTACAACAGAAGGAACGCCACAAGACAGATATCTGCTTGTATGACAGACACAAGACAGAGATCTGCTTGTATGACAGAAATATGGTTACATCCACCTTCGTACAACAGAAGGAACGCCACAAGACAGATATCTGCTCGTATGACAGAAATATGGCTACACCACACCACCTTCGTATAACAGAAGGAACGCCACAAGACAGATTTTCCTGTAAGACAGAAATATGGTCACACCGCACCACCTTCGTACAACAGAAGGAACGCCACAAGACAGATATCTGCTCGTATGACAGAAATATGGCTACATCACACCACCTTCGCACAACAGAAGGAACGCCACAAGACAGAGATCTGCTTGTATGACAGAAATATGGTTACATCCACCTTCGTACAACAGAAGGAGCGCCACACGACAGAGATCTGCTCGTATGACAGAAATATGGTTACACCACACTACCTTCGCACAACAGAAGGAACGCCACACGACAGAGATCTGCCTGTATGACAGAAATATGGTCACATCACACCACCTTCGCACAACAGAAGGAACGCCACACGACAGAGATCTGAGTGTATGACAGAAATATGGTCACATCCACCTTCGTACAACAGAAGGAACGCCACACGACAGAGATCTGAGTGTATGACAGAAATATGGTCACATCCACCTTTGTACAACAGAAGGAACGCCACAAGACAGAGATCTGAGTGTATGACAGAAATATGGTTACATCCACCTTCGTACAACAGAAGGAACGCCACACGACAGAAATCTGTTTGTATGACAGAAATATGGTCACATCCACCTTCGTACAACAGAAGGAACGCCACACGACAGAGATCTGAGTGTATGACAGAAATATGGTTACACCACACCACCTTCGTACAACAGAAGGAACGCCACAAGACAGAGATCTGCCTGTATGACAGAAATATGGTCACATCACACCACCTTCGCACAACAGAAGGAACGCCACACGACAGAGATCTGCTTGTATGACAGAAATATGGTCACATCCACCTTCGTACAACAGAAGGAACGCCACAAGACAGATATCTGCTCGTATGACAGAAATATGACAGAAATATGGTCACATCCACCTTCGTACAACAGAAGGAACGCCACACGACAGAGATCTGAGTGTATGACAGAAATATGGTCACATCCACCTTCGTACAACAGAAGGAACGCCACACGACAGAGATCTGAGTGTATGACAGAAATATGGTTACATCCACCTTCGTACAACAGAAGGAACGCCACACGACAGAGATCTGTTTGTATGACAGAAATATGGTCACATCCACCTTCGTACAACAGAAGGAACGCCACACGACAGAGATCTGAGTGTATGACAGAAATATGGTTACACCACACCACCTTCGCACAACAGAAGGAACGCCACAAGACAGAGATCTGCCTGTATGACAGAAATATGGTCACATCACACCACCTTCGCACAACAGAAGGAACGCCACACGACAGAGATCTGCTTGGACAGAAATATGGTTACATCCACCTTCGTACAACAGAAGGAACGCCACACGACAGAGATCTGAGTGTATGACAGAAATATGGTCACATCCACCTTCGTACAACAGAAGGAACGCCACACGACAGAGATCTGAGTGTATGACAGAAATATGGTCACATCCACCTTCGTACAACAGAAGGAACGCCACACGACAGAGATCTGTTTGTATGACAGAAATATGGTCACATCCACCTTCGTACAACAGAAGGAACGCCACACGACAGAGATCTGAGTGTATGACAGAAATATGGTTACATCACACCACCTTCGCACAACAGAAGGAACGCCACAAGACAGAGATCTGCCTGTATGACAGAAATATGGTCACATCACACCACCTTCGCACAACAGAAGGAACGCCACACGACAGAGATCTGCTTGTATGACAGAAATATGGTCACATCCACCTTCGTACAACAGAAGGAACGCCACACGACAGAGATCTGCTTGTATGACAGAAATATGGTCACATCCACCTTCGTACAACAGAAGGAACGCCACACGACCGAGATCTGCTTGTATGACAGAAATATGGTCACACCACACCACCTTCGTACAACAGAAGGAACGCCACACGACAGAGATCTGTAATTCTTCCGTATATTACTCAGAGTCCCATGCATGGATAAACGTAGAAATGATTTTCCTGACCTTCTCAAGTAAAGAAATTAGCACATGAACAGTGGATGACGTCATGTTCAAATTATTACATTAACATGATGAAATGCTACTATGGGCCACGACAGCCCTGCCAATCAGCAAGAGGTTAAAACTACATGCTCAATGAGAATGACTGGAAATACCTTCACCTACATCTGAGCTGTTATATGTAATGTATTTATGTGTGATTTCCAGCCTTCTATTAATACCACGCTGTTCCCTAGTACATGAGTGAAGCATTAGTGTAGAACTGGATCCCCAACTGAAACTGTCGAGCTGACGGCCGACTGTGTTAACGTTATAAGCAGACCCGACACCTTTAGCTGGAGTTGGCTGCTAGCTTATAGTAAGAAAGAGCTTGAATGAGCCAAATTCTCCACGTTGCTCGCGGTACCTCTTCCGCATTCTTTACGAAACGATCGGTGTTTGTCTGCCTGCCTGTGAAGGTACTTACAAGCAAACTGCTATAACACAGCGTAAACATCTGAGCCAGGAATGTGCAAAGTTAGATAATGAAAGTTAAGTTTCTCGAGCATGCCTCTACTCCAAGGAGATGCCATATCCCATGTACAATCACCGCCGAATAACTGTCAGATACCATGTACAATCACCGAGCAATAACTGTCAGATACCATGTACAATCACCACATAATTACTGTCAGATACCGTGTACAATCACCGCGCAATAACTGTCAGATACCGTGTACAATCACCGCGGAATAACTGTCAGATACCATGTACAATCACCGCGGAATAACTCAGATACCATGTACAATAACCGCGCAATAACTGTCAGATACTGTG